ATAGATAGATAGATAGATAGATAGATAGATAGATAGATAGATAGATAATTTTCTGCAGCAAACTAAAAAACGGATATAAATATATAATTACTGCTGCTTGTTGACTTCTTTGTCTTTCTTTTAATCTTTCAAAGAAAAAGAATATATTCCTCTGCACTGTTGCATAATTTCTGACCTAACAACAACAATTATATTATAATCTATCAAATACAATCAAATTACCATCTGTCTTTCACACAGTAAAAGCAAGTAAGTATAACATTTTTATTAACAGCAAATGTGTCTACTTATAAAATTAGTTATTGATCCAGTCATCAACGGAATATTGGAATTAAATAACCTCTTCTTATGTTAAAATGGTAATTTTAGTATTTGACCATCAGGTGGCACTATTAAGCCTCTGTATCTCAAAGATGCACTGGGTGGACTTCACATCTTTTCATGTGACCTGCGTATGGAGTGATTTACGCAGAAGTATGAAGATTTGTTTTTTTTAACCATACTGCTTTAGGTGCTTGCTGCTTTCAAAACAGAAATTCTTTCTTACAGTAGCACAGGAAGACCATGTGACTAAAATGAGTGAGGCCATGGGGGAGATTTCAGTCTGTTCTTTTCACTTAATCAGATTTTTCGTAAATAATTCAGTAGAATCACATTTTTAGTTGACGGGAGTAACTCGAAAAGGGAAAAACTGTTTGATAAGCACACAGATCCAGAAAAGTTAACCTGACGACACATCAGGTTTCTTTTCATTTTTTAAAGAACGAAGTGACGAGAAAATAGGAGGTAAGTTGGTTTGCTTTGTGGCAATTCAAAAGATTGTTATATCGGTTAAAAGTGTGATTTTTAAAATAATTTACAAATGCATGCAAGAGTCCTCGTCTCGTCCTTAGACCCTCAGAACAAAAACAAGCCACAACTTTCAACAGACTAATACACACCACTCGGACTTTTTACATTTTTAAATGTAATTGCAGTATTTCTAATTTTCCAGAGAAGTACTGATGGAGAGCTTCAGCTTAAGAGGTTAAAAGATTCTTACTTTATTTCCACATTCTGCATTCGGTCAGAGGAGGTTCTTCCACAACTTTTAAATAGCTTCTGATACCACATATTCTATTGTTCGATATCATTCAAAAAAAGAAAACAACAACAACAACATGGAATTCACTCCTTAGAAACAAACAGTGTACCCTAATAAATATCTCTATCAGAAGTTTAAAATACACATAGATATACATACAGAAACTAGTGCATCCCGTTTATGCATGACCCTCTCAAATACAGTGTAATCTGTCAAGAAGTCCTACAAGCTTTAGGTTCAAAAGTACATATAGCAGCTTTTCTGAATTAAAATGTGTTAGTCATAGTGAAGGTCTTTGCACTGCAAAAGCACTCCAGTATCGTGTGCTCTGATAAAACCGCTCGAGGTCTGCACACAAGGTCAACAGATGCTAAAGAAAGGCAGTATTTGAGAAGGTCCTGCTTTACCTAAGAAAACATAAATATGGCGAGAACATTGATCCCTTCGTTTAACTTAAATATCTCAACAATTTACATAACGATACAGTTTAGAATCAGGCTTCCGTATGTTGCCTGGTACTGAGTCTTCATATTACCAAGGTCCCACAGGGAAATGTGACACGAGACATATTAAAGCATGAGTGTGACACGTCTTTTGGAACCCTTAACCAATCCATTTATGTCAACTAACTTGCATGTGTTCTCGACATGCATTACGTTAGATGCCCTTCATAATGAGGTCTTTTCTCCTCACCATATCTCAATGTAAGCTTTCACAGTAATCTATGTTCATTACCACAAACTGTTTGCCTTTAGACTCACTGTCACTCTACATAGAGTTCATGCGAGAGGAGGCTGACTGGCATTCTGAGGTTTTTTAGCAAAACAAATGAACAAAGCTGGATCTGAGGCTGGGCAAAAGGCAGTTTACTTTGGCACTTTTCTGGCGTTTCTGGTTCATTAAGTGCCTCGGATCCCTTAGTGTCAGCGCGGCAAGCCTCCAGACACAGAAGTGACAGTGGGGTTTTAACTTGTCCCTGAGTGTGCCGCACACTATTCACCTCCTTAAAAAAAAAAAAAAAACATTCATCAGAACCTCTATGTGCCCCAGACCACCGCTCAAAACATATCTAATGTAGATAGTAAAGTGTGCGAGAATACCCTTAAATAAAAAAAGAAAACCCAGAGCACCGAAACAGCACCAGAGTATCGTAAAAGGAGGCTGGTTGCATTGGTGTGCAGGTTCTCTCAGAACCCGATGGACGGACGAGGTAGGTGTCATTTGTCAGTGACTGCGGCAGCCATCGGGGTGCGTATGCTTCCAACCGCTGTGGCTGCCAGCTCCTCGATCTCTGCATTCAATCGCCGGATCACCCACTCCATGGCTTCACGCCCCTGACAGAGTAAAACAAAAAAAAAATTAGAGAGCAGAATATCCTCTCCACAACAGACTCGTTCAAAAAATGAAACATTGTGGTGCACTGACACTAAAGGACCTCAGCGTCCTCTATAAGTACAGTCTGTTACGTCCCGTGTTGATGACAGCATCAAAGTTGTATTTCCAGATCATCTATTCCACTGTCCTACTAGTTTTTCTTTAGAAATTCAGACCAATTTTCCTTTATTTAAAAAAACAAAACAAAACAGCTTATGCTTATAATAATAATATTCCTTAACATATCCTATGTATTATCTGAAGTGCTGAGGCTTAAACAATGATTATGCTTTCAATGCTCAGAACCAGAGGAAGATTTATTTGAAATCTTACCTTTCCAGCATTAGTAGAGATGGTGCTGGCCATGACTCCTTCTAGGTAACTGCTAAGACTGACCCCTTTCACGGAGATGATAGCTTCTTGTGTCAGTATTGTTCTAGAGAGGACAGTGGTTTGGAAGAAATGAAAGCAAAAAGTTAAAAGATGTAAACTGCGACGGCATAAAGAAAAAAGAAAAAAAAAGGTAAGTTTTTCAGTATCGCCATATGTAAGAACGCACTTCTCTGGATCTTCAGGGTGTGGTTTGTAAGTCAGCTTTTCATCCACGGACACCATGTTTGTGAAAGTGATCTAAGGGGAAAAATATATCAAATAATTAGCAAGTACATATATGGTTATGAATGGACAGATTGAGTGTTACTAGAACACAGACACTGTTAGATATCACATAACAATCACCGAACACGCAGTCGACACCTAATCTATGAATCTGTGGAACAAGTTAGACTTCATTCTGAGAATAACTTAAGATGTAACACTCTGAAAACAAGGGTGAGGTAAAATGCACTTCACAGAGAAAGGGAACAGGGTGTGGATGCTTGGGGGTTGACACATTCAACACAGACTCTAGTTTGCCAACAGAATTTCTGAGAACAGTTCAATTAAAAAAAATAACATTTACAAAAAGAAACTAGGGTTTTATAACAAATTTTATAGAAGCTGTAAATGTATTATCTATTAAACTTCAGAAACGCCTCTGCAAACGTCTGCAAATGTCAGGTCATGAAATTAACAGCACAACAAGGTGACCCTGTGCCATGTTCTGTCAGGCTTTCAGGCAGCTGCGATAGTTATTAGCCCTAAGGCTGATTTAAGAGACACCCTCGATAGTACAAGCCGTACCAAAAATCTTAACATAGACTCAAAGGAAGAACATTGCTGGCACTCACATTTGAAGATTGAAGTTCCAACATCTTCTCTTTGGGATCCACAACCGAATGCTCCTGCACATACGTGTACGTCCGCGTGTTTCCAATGAGCTGAAAGCGCAGAGAGGGAAGCTTTAACAGCAGCTTTAACCATCTGCAATGTATTAATTTCCTCTTTAAGGCATTAAGTGCCACAAATCCAACTTTGTTGAACAAGAAAGTTTAACTTAAATTGACAACCAAGCCAGAATTATTACACCTACGCAATATTTTTGATCCAATAAAAAAAATTAGGTTTTTCAGCTGCAGCTCCCATAAGCACATGATAAAAACCAAGTTCAATAGTACACAGAAGTCACTGAAGGATGCCTAAAGACACATCTAGATCATACACAAACACCTAGCCACTTAGTATTTACTTTGAGACAATCTGATTAACGGCTGTGTTAATATGCTGTCAGTCAGTGGGCTTGTCTGTGTCACAGTCTGCCCTTGGATTTAAAAGGGGCCCAGTCATGAGGTCGTCAGCGACTAGAGGCAACTGAGGGTCAGGACACCAGCTAGGTAGAAAGGACTAGACAGAGTGGCAGGCATTAGCCTCGTCATTACAGAGATCAGGAGGTCATGGATCCAGGGAACAAGATCAAGTGACACGTTATGCAAGTCAAGCGGCCTCCGTCACTGCTCTGCATTCAAGTTACCTCCGAGCCGAGACACATATGGAAAGTTACAGCAAACGGTGTCAAGGATTACATGTGAGCAATGTCAAAAATGGAACTACCATGTCCAGTACATCATGAGCCACGGTGCACAGTCACGAGCACGCCTGGCCTCAAGTCAGCAACCATGTCTGCTGCGGTCCATGAACAGAAATAACCTCACGTGTTAAAGTCACATTTGCTGAATGGAAAGCATCGTCTTCTCTCTGGCTATATCTAGACTTTTATTATGGCTTTTTTTTTGGCGTGACTCCGAAAGCAAATTTCCATCCGTTCAATCAGCACCATAAAACCAAAAGGACAGGGTGTTGGGTTACGACACTCACAGATTTCACTATAGATGGAAGACCCCATTCTGTGCTCAGCAGTCTTTTACTATGGAGGCGTCCCTGCTTGTCGATGCTTCTGTCGAGCACATCCACTCCGATCACACTGGGGTTCATGGGGTTGGGGTACTTCTGCATAGCAGCATTGGTCACCGTCTCCCATGGATGGCTGTCAAAACAAGCCCACAAAATGTATAGAATTAATCTATGGAGCTACACTCGTCCTCATTTCATACAACTTTAAACATTAAATGTTGACTAGCAATCCACAGCTTCACGAATTCCCATTTGAAAAGGTTCCAGTATTCAGATTAAAGGATTGAGTGGTACATAAATTGGTTATACTTACATTGCTTAACTGTACCACATATTCTTTGAAAGATAGAAACTAACCATACATGAATAAAACAGTCATTTAAAAACCATATAAAACACACTGGGCTATTTATTTAACTGATAGTGTTTTGTTTTTACGTTGTTAATCATTCCAATGTTCCCTATTTATGAATCCCCAGAAGGAAATAGCCTTCTATATTAAAATAGCAGCGAAAACAGCTAAATATTCCTGCTTCCATAATTATTTCATTTATCCAAAAAACGACATGCTAATAGTCCCATTGATATTAGCTCTGGGTCGAGATTACGGACATTAACCTTCATATATCTTCGCGAAACGAACTGGTAACTTGATCCTATGAATTTTACAAGTCAAAAAGTTAAAGTTTTTCGTCTTTGAGTGTTAGCTTTCCTCTTTTGCTATTTTCAAATGTAGCTGAAGGTATTGAATGGTTGCCACGGAAACGAGGGAACGCGTTTACGTCGTGACGTAGACGACTGCGGGACAGAGTAGGTGAAAGGTTACGCGGAGGGGGCGGTATCCGACTGCCCGGTTACGCAATTCAAAAGATATTTAGCACCTCGTCAATGACAGTCTTGTGTCCAGCTTTTCTTCGCTTGACAGTTGATTTATTTCCAGCATGCAGTGAAGCGCTAGTGTGCCTCCATGTGCGTAAAATGCCGTAAAAAAAAAAAGAAATGGCAGGGGAAGACATTTTTACGAAATAAATCTGGCTTCGTCACTTGCATCGAACGAGTACACAAGCCAGTAGTATTAAAGTTATTTTTAGCAGTCTTTCAGACAAAATATCCTGCTCTAGCACTGCATTGGAGAGTCGCGGCATGAATGAAAGGCAGTGTTAGTCACCAGCCGGAGTCAACCATCAGAAAGAACCAAGCAGACGGACAGTCCGCGTGTTATTTAAAACAAAACACGTTGTACTTAAAGAATTGACTCACTTGAATATGTGTTCCGAGGTCCAAATCTTCATTTTTGAGTCTGGGTGACCGTGGCAGGAGACGCTGGGATCAAGGCGTGAGTAAGCCGGTCGGCAGACGGTCACACTGACAGATATCAGTGAGCCGCATTCAGAGGCAGCAGCCAATGCCCTCCCCCCCCCATACCCACGTGGTCCCATAAAACCGTGACGTACTTCCGTTTGTGTAACTTATTCCACGTGAGTCTGCAGACGCAGAAAACAAATGCATGTAGCGTATTTTCTTTATTAAAGACACTTAATTGGTCTCTGGAGTATCATAATCTTTATTACCGCTGGATTATAGAGCCGGATCTTCCCGTGTTGGGCGTCTCCCGTCAGGCCGTGCAGCTGTTGCAGACATTGATGTTACACAATTAATTTCAATCAGGGTTGCAGGGTCTCTACAGCTGATCCAACAGGATCAAGTCACTGATCATACCCTCAGAGTAAACCTTACACCTCACATGCGGTCGAAGCCTGTACATAGGTTATCTGTCCTAAGGCCGCACAGGAGGAACACCAGAGGCATTTTCCCCCCTATTCCCTCAGCTAATAAGTAAAAAAAACTATTTTTTGGAAAATTCTATTTGAAATCCAAGAGAAAACACGTGGATCGATGAGACGATAAACATGCAATGGCATGAGAAAAACACAAAATGAATAGAAAATCTGGTGAATGATATCAATTCCTAGGATTTTCCCTCTATCATATGTCTTTTTTCAATAGTTTTGGTGCACAAATTATTCTACACAATGAGCTGTTTTCATTCAGGAGTAATTACACGGTGACTTGTCATTCACTCATAAGATTCGATTTTATTGCCACTTTTCATGGTTGAAAGAATGAATATTGTTTCTTGGGTTATTTGTTTTTACAGTTCTCAAGCCATTTGTGAAACAAAACCAATTACATAATTTTTAAATATTTTATTGGTCCTATAAAATTAACTGGCTTCTTGGTAAAAAGAGCCAATACCTTTGTGACTTCATTATCTCCCTGTAACTTGAACCCGACATTGAACACTGTTGTGCAATACCTCACTTGTTTCAGTAACCTATATTCTCGTGGGTTAGGTCACATCTTTTCTAGTTCACAGGTCCAATAGTACTGTGCAGGGGCATCTCGGCGTCATGTGCTTATCTCAAAGCGAGCATGCTTAGGCCAAATTATGTCTAATCTCTATGCCCCAGACTTGTTCAAGTGGGAGGAAACGTTATGACAGCATCAAACGGTATTTCTGTAGAGCCAATAGTTCAAGTTCCAATGAAAACTGTTACAAAATGGAACATTTTAAATATTACAATAAATGCCCCTCCTGTTGTTAAACACGATCACATTTTTATTTCAGTGGTTAATATTTTATTGTCAAACAAATAAAGTTGAAATTCACACATCACAATTATGTTTTTAAAAATGAAAAAGCTATAATGGTTTCCTTATAAGCCTGCGTACAATATTTGAAAGAAAAAATAATATACCAAGGGCAAACATAGAACATAAGTTGTCTGAATAATGTATAGAAAAGAAAATATGAAACTTGTCACAACACAGTAACATTAGCTTTCATGATTATTGATTTTAGTCAATGAAATTTAATCCAACTGTATCACAGATCTTATAAAAAAAACTTTAGCACCAAAAGAGGGACAGAAATTTTTTTGGAACCAAGTTCAAATCATTGATCAAGATATAGGGCACCTTTGCAGACATATGACATACAGCAAAGCATAATACTAACATGGTGGATTGTCCACTTGGTAATCACGTGGCAAATTGCTTTACACACAGGCAGTCAAGAGCAACAAACTGTAATATATATTGTTTATTCATAGTGTCAGCTAAATAACTGCAATTCTACAAGTCACATGCAATTCTTAATGATTTCTAATATATACTGTATACTAACACTATTCAATAGTTATTTGATGCATCTAAATATAACTTTTCTTTGTTGCAGTCATTTCTGTTAATGTGGCCGTTCTTCCATATTTAAAAATTCTAATCTCTGCTATGTACAAAGGGAAGTTACATCTATAAAGGTGACAATTAAAGGTGAGTTATACTATGCAGGTCTGTGGATGTGATCTGACTTGGCTCCCTGCAGATATGTGGTCTAATAATGCCTCGTTTCACATGTATGTTTGTATGCAAGTCAGCTGGAAGCCTGTTTACTCCTTTGGGAATCCCAAGAAAAGAGAGAAAAATCAAAGGTGGAGTGCAATCCGTTTGTCCTTCTCGTATGTTGGAATAACGTCTGCTATTGGTTTGATAAAAAAATCCAACTCTGCACAACAATGCTAGATATATAAAGAATTCACTAAGTAATAATGAACAAACTATTAGTTTTACAGTCAAATTGATCACTGCACATTCAAATGAAAGTGCCACAGTTGAATTTAAGCAACATAACAGGAAGCTGTCTAACCAATGAAATGCATTCATATCTGTACATACATCTTCTAACTATCTCAAACAAAAAAGGTTAGAGCAGATAGATTGTCTTGGTCATTTCATTGACATAGTGCTAAAAGGCAAATGGATGGAGATTTAGCCATAATAAAAAATGTTTAAACTGAACACTTTGGGTCCAAAATATTCACATAATCATAGATGGAACCCACAAATGTAGAAGATGTCATGTGTGCGTTCCTTTTTTCAGCATCTTAACAAAATTAATATGCTTGGCATGTATTCAACAAATGAAGTCATTGTCATCACAAAAGTTTGTCTGGATGCAGATTTCTGCAGAGAGCCGTGAACGCACCCCCTCCTTATATTTATGTTACCTCAACATTTTTACCAGTTGTTTAGCACAGTTAGACAAAAAAGTTGTAAATGATCCTCAATTGTGTAGTCTATAGCGATAAATGAGTCTAAAAGAGAATCATAAATAAAACTACAAATGTAATCCACTACATGTGAGCAAGCTATTGAAAAACTTAAACACCACAACCTATCTTACCAAATACCTACAAACCTTGCAATGGTGATAGTAAACATATAAAGATATCTACAAAACTATCACTTGTTTCGCCATTGGTCTTGAAACATCAAGAACACAAAACATTAGGCTATCAACCGTGGCTTTTTGTAAAGTTTCACTTGGTACATCTGTCAACTCCTTTGGTCTATCTCCAGATTGAGGCTTAGTAGCCCCAAATCTGGCTTTCGGGACAGTCCTACATAAATCAAACTGAGGGTGTCAAAAGTAACCACAGGTAAAACATAAACAACTAAACAGGAGTTCCCTCTCAATGCTGCAAAGCCTCCCATGCCACACGGTACGTTCTACTCATCAACAGTCTCTTTGCTTGTTTCTATCACTGTTTCCAATTTGACCTCTGTCCGGGACTGAACTTTTGTCGTTGCCGCTGATGATGGCACCTCCTCCTCTTCCTCTTCTGCTTCCCAATCTAGATCAGCGGTAGCGTCTTGGTACTGCTGGTACTCGGACACCAAATCGTTGAGGTTGCTCTCTGCCTCGGTGAACTCCATTTCATCCATGCCCTCCCCCGTGTACCAGTGGAGGAAAGCCTTCCTCCTGAACATCAGCGAAAACTGTTCGCCCACCCTGCGGAATATCTCCTGAATGGCCGTGTTATTTCCGATGAAGGTGGAGGCCATTTTCAGGCCTCGGGGTGGGATGTCGCACACGGCCACCTTGACGTTGTGGGGGATCCAGTCAACGAAGTAGTTGCTGTTTTTTTGCTGCATGGCAAGCATCTGCTCGTCCACCTCTTTGGTGGACATTTTGCCGCGGAAGACACCGGCCACTGTGAGGTAGCGCCCTCGCCTCGGGTCGCACGCCGTCATCATGTTCCGGGCGTCGAACATCTGCTGCGTGAGCTCGGGTACGGTGAGGGCTCGGTACTGCTGGCTGCCGCGTGCGGTCAGCGGGGCGAAGCCGGGCATGAAGAAGTGGAGGCGAGGGAAGGGCACCATGTTGACCGCCAGTTTCCTCAGGTCGGCGTTGAGCTGCCCCGGGAATCTCAGAGAGGTTGTGACCCCGCTCATCGTTAAGCAGACCAGGTGGTTGAGGTCCCCGTAGGTGGGGGTGGTCAGCTTCAGCGTGCGGAAGCAGATGTCGTAGAGGGCCTCGTTGTCGATGCAGAAGGTCTCGTCTGTGTTCTCCAGGAGCTGGTGGACGGACAGCGTGGCGTTGTAAGGCTCCACCACCGTGTCGGACACCTTGGGCGATGGCATGATGCTGAAGGTGTTCAGGATGCGGTCAGGGTACTCCTCTCGGATCTTGTTGATGATGAGGGTTCCCATGCCGGAGCCAGTTCCACCCCCGAGGGAATGAACCAGCTGGAAGCCTTGCAGGCAATCACAGCTTTCGCTCTCGTTCCTGACCCTGTCAATGACCTGCTCCACCAGCTCTGCCCCCTCTGTGTAGTGGCCCTTCGCCCAGTTGTTCCCAGCACCGGAGTTTCCTGTGACAAAGGAAGGATAGGTCGACAAAGCCAATTAATACTACGCAGTTAAGAAAATCAGATGTTTTGCATAAAAAAACTAAACTAAAATGTTGTTTCTATATTCAGCAGCACAGATTGCACCAATCTGTGTTGCCAGTTAAATAAGTCTGTGGGTTTACTTTGATCAAACATTTACATCTACTATTCAGATTGAGAAATACGCTTTGAGTTCTCAGGCTTTCATTGAGTTTGTGCTATATGTTCTTAGATTAATTTGAATGTTCAAGGTAAAACAGTTAACTTTGAGGACGAATGCTAGCTTAAAAATAACCAAACGTTTCCTCTGTGTCAATGTATTATTTTGTAAATGAAAAGAAAATTTAAGGAAAATTGTGTGTACTAATGTGTAAAGGAAACTTCATTTTCCAAATGTCCATTCAGATTCGTAGTCATGCTTACAGCTATATGATCACTATTGTGAAGGAATAGTGTTTTAAATTGAAATATTATTACCATGGTGCAGCTCCATTTCTGAATATTTCTTTGCATTTGGAAAAACAAATACATGAGAGACAGCTCGGTGGGGTATTTTCTGCCTTACCATGGATGAAGTTGTCTGGTCTGAAAAGGGCACCGATCCGACTTCCTCTCACGCTGTCCATAGTTCCAGGCTCCAGATCCACAAGCAGGGCCCTGGGGACATATTTCCCCCCTGCAAACAGCAAGGAAGTTTCTTACTAGGATGAAACCAGTTTGGGTTTTCCGTCATAGTTATGACCCATGCAATGAAACGAATGAGACGGCATTTTAACGACCCGAACAGGCGGGTGTTGGTTGGGAGTACCGTTAGCCTCGTTGAAGTAGACGTTGACCCGCTCCAGCTGGAGGTGGCTGTCTCCTTCATAGAGGCCTGTTGCATCAATGCCATGTTCTTCACTGATCACTTCCCAAAACTATAAAGGAATATGTAATCACTTAAACTTAAACAGAACTCAAATTTCTTTTTGGTTTATTTCACGTTATGATACTGTCTCCATTTTAGATTGGCACATTCATTCATATTTTTAAGTGCCTCCACAGACATCTAACCACTGACGTATGCATTCAAACTATTCAAACAAGAAGCTATTTTATACCTAATGAAAAGCCTTTTGGCCAAATGACCAGCATCGTGTGTTCTTAAAGCTTTATCATGGTGTTCCCCCTTTCTTGTTTTGTGCTAGTCACGATAAAAATGTCCCACCCATGTCAGAGTGGTTTGGGTTCTTATCTTTTCTCTGCGCGCTTGACAGGGAACACCCTCTGTCACTCACAATGAGTGACAAAGCAACAGCTCAAAATGCCCATCACAGTGAAATTCAGGAACCTATTTGAAGCCGTGGCTGAAGTTTAAAATGCCTTCACCATGATACATCAAGGATAGGTAGATTTCAATACATCTATCAACTAAACACCCCCTGAACAGACACAAATGAGTTTGATGTGGGTCACAGTGACGACTTTCGGTATTTTTCAGTATTAATGCACATAATCATTTTAACAGTGGAGAAAGCATTAGCCTTTGTTACCTTGGAGCCGATCTGGTTTCCACATTGTCCAATTTGCAGATGTACAATTTCACGCATGATGATTGGGTTACAGTCCGCGCCACTGCTGGGGGTCCGAGATAGTCCTCAGTGCCCTCATCAGTCTTATATACGGCCCCAGAAATGATGTCATCAGTTATTTGAGGGGAGTGACCCCGGACAAAAAGACGAGAAGGACTCACAAAAAAAGATGAAAACTCTGAGATACAGTATCTTTTTTTATGTATTAATGCTGACAGAAACATAAATAATTGTTGTTATGGTGTCTTTATTTATCACTTTCACATTTAGTTTTCCACTAATTTGTGCCCTGTTCGGTCAGTTAAGGAGCTAATTTTCTTCTTTCCTTCGTCTTGTTCACATTTTTACATTGTGTGAGAAAAAATCTATTTTCCATTGTCATCAATTGGAAAGAATTACAATGACAATTAAAAAGTTGTTTATTTTATTCAAGACTGAACAAACTTGAAAATACAAAAAAAAAACTCTCAAAAGAGTATCTAATCAAACCCTCACAGTGTTTTTTTATAAAAGCATATTTGCGAGCTCATATGGCTGAGCAGAAACAGGAAGGAAGAGTGTTGAAGATGGATAGAAGCGGTGCGTTCCTTTGTGTCAGATAACAACCATTTCACTAACCCCAGCCGTAGGACTTAGGCATGCTCTTAGAGCACATTCAGTCTGTCTTTACACTAAAAAGGTGTGCAAAGTAGTCTGTGTGATCAAACACTGCCTCGGTTTGCATGTTAGATGTGCCTTTGGGGACAGCATGCTGAGTTAACCTGTTCCTGAGGAAACGGTGAGAAAAAAATGGACAGTGAGTGATGCCACCATCTAGAGGATGAGTGCATACACAACATGATGCATGCAAACATTCTCAAAGTTTCATGTTTCACGTGTACCTTTGCACATGCTTTTTTTAAATTATTTTTTTCTTTAAGGCTGAACACATAAGCACTAACATGAGCTAATGTGAGGTATTGAAGAATTTCCCCAACTTTCTGAACTGCAATGCCCATAACTTGAAATTCTGAACCCCCATGTATGATCCATCTTTTTTTTACCACCATACAGACTCAGATGTACTTATGCATATTTTCCCCATGGCATAAGCTAAAGATAATATATACAATCTTAGTTATGCATGAGAAGTCAACAGTAATAAAAATTCCAAAGGTATCAGGTACAGACATAAGTGACACGTTAAGTCAATAGAATTTATCTTTTTTTTTTTAAGGAAAATTTTCCGCTTCCACCTTATAAGGCAGCCAGGAAGTCATGGAACAAAAGCCTCCTCTACACTGTATATACCAGTATATTGGAAAGACTGTTTGGGAATTCACCAAAAGCTGTTGCCTTTAGAGGAGAGAAAGGGAAAAAAATATGTACTTCCTGAAATGAGTAAACAAAGTTTCAAACAAAGAAACAACAGAAGTGAGAAGAATGTTGCTGTGAATATCCAGGATTCGACCTCTGGCTTGTTTTCTACGATTTAGGTCATTAGTTATTCCCTCTGTTGTCTGCTGGGGTTCATTAGAGAACCACAGTAGCATTTAGTTGTCGTTGATGACCTTTATGTGTTTTGCCCTGAGCCTCCAGCGCTTGCCTTTTGACGCATTTATGGAGGGAGGTGTTTATATGTGTGTGTGCCTGTGCCAGTGTGTCTGCTATGACTGGTGATGCGCCCAGTGTTTACATGCATGCACGTCAGAGTGAAAGGGCACAGGGGCATTCAAATATCCAGATCACTATCAGGTGAGTAGAGGCAATGGGACATCTGTCTCACTAGCGGGATGATTTTCAAACCACTTTATCTAAATTGTTTTCAATAATAATAATTTTGTGATATTAAAGCACACAAAACCACAACAGAGGAGTGGTGCCAAAAGAAGGAAAGGAGACAAGTGCATCAAGCTCCATGTCTTGGAGTTGGAGGTGCCACAATAAACAGCAAATATCCACATCTCATGACATTCCACTGGTAATTAGATTAATTAGATAATACTTGGTTGTCCTGGAGATGGCTCCGTAATAAGTAGCTCCACTGACACAGCTAGCAGTGATGAAATATTTTTTGTTGTTGCAAAACAGAAACCGTGGTTTGTTGAAGTCGTCACACACGGTGCACGTTCTTTGTTTCTGTGTTAACGTGAGCCAGACTTTCAGAGGACGGTTCAGGCTCTCGTTCCCCCGTCAGCCATGACGCTGCTGAGAAATGAGTCTTGACCTCTTTCAGTTGGGTAATCTATCTTTTTAATGTTGCTTTGAACCCTTCTGAGAAGAGCAAAGAAAATAATACACGTCCTGCTCACGTCCACCAAAAATGTTCAGCTCCCCGCATCCTTTTTAGGGACATCTCATTTCTTTCATTTAAGACTTTTTTCACATGTATTTTCTTTGCAGGTTTAACTGGTTAATAGCTACCAATTCATGTAATTAAGGGGAAAGTAACATAATTATACAAGAGTGTTCTTTTTTTAAAACAAGAGTTCAGGTCTTATATTATGAACTACAAAAGGTCAAAAACTAAAATAAGTTAAATTAATACAGTATTTTTGGTAACTTTTGGATCAAATATAAAATGGGGTTTTAAACAAATCAAGTATGCGTGTGAGAAAATGGCATTGAACTATTGACATATTATTTCACCTGCATTGTGCTTCAGAAATAATTTCAGATTAACAAAGGAGTTTTACGTGGAGTTTCAAACACAAACTTCAGATTTTCTATCTTTTCGTATTTTTCGTTGACTTATTGCTATTAGTATGTGTGCCTATTCCATGAAAATGTCTCTGATTCATTCTGTATTTATGTGTGTATCATTTCTGGTGGGTTATCAACAGGCTTTCAGAGAAATTGATTGAGACTTCATTGGCTGCTTTGGATGATAATCTTTGTTGGTTCAAAGAGTGCGCTTCTCCCCTTCTGTACCTCTGCTTCTTGACTCTCCGGGTAATCATGTGATCCGACCCCTCTCCATCGACATGTGTCAAACGGCAATAAACCGGAAGTTGGGAGCACTTAAATATCTTCCGCAAATTAAAAGCGTACGTCTCCACTGCCTTGGAAAAAAGAAGTGCATGGATTTGATCATTAGGGTATGTTCCTGAAAACATGTGCAGTGATAATGCTGCGTGTCTCCTTCAAATCTACAGTGATGGCAAAACATGCACAGTGTTAGTGTGCGAATAAAAATCTATTAAATCTCTAATTTATCCTCAACATTTTCAGCACCATTTGTAGACCAAGAGGGTTTACTATGCTTTTTATTACTGTTCTACATTTGCAGTTAAAATGTATGAAATGAAGAGTTACAGAGTAACGGATATAGCCTAAACTCATAATTTGCTTTTTGATACAACTGAGTATCACATTTGTTGTCTGTGACCCGGTTATAACTTTTTAACGAAAAACAAAACAATGTTAAGTAGAATAATTGCTCTTTCAGTTTGTTATAAGAATACACATAAAATAATAGTCGAATTTGATTAAAAATGTGTAATGTTTACATCCAAACAAATACTTCTAATCCAAAAGAGAGAATAGTCTCTCCAATTCTTGGATCAGGTGCTACAGGATTAAAAACATAACAATTGACTGCTAAATGGGGGAAAAAATTTATTTGTTTTATTTTACTAAATCAACTGTGGTGACATTAGAAGATTTATGTGAAAATACACACAGTTAATCATTGCATTGATGATTGTTTTGAACTTTATGACAAGTTTTCTGTTTGAGTAGACTGGACTTTTGATCACAGAAGCAAGTATTAAGATACTTTTAAAAAATTAAAAAACATCCAACCAAACAACCCAGCTTTGCAAATAAGTATATATTTGCTTCCATTAATTCACTACTCTGTAAGTCAATTCATTTTGTGTATATGTAGGAAAGACCTTGAAAGACACAAAAGGTCAAATGATTGGTGAATTGACCTGCTTGCTGGTTAAGAAATCATTGATAATCAGAATTTCTTTTTTTTGTGGTGAACTTGAAATAAATAATCTGAAACCTTTTCATTTTCAAGAATAGTATGGAAACTAGGAACAAAATCACAAACCTTTATAAAACATTTTTTGCCATAGTGAGGATCTTAAATGATTAAGTAATATTAATCTGCAGCTGGAATGAGTTGTGATCACTTGCACTTAATTCATTCCATCCCTTTTTAAAATTTGTGATTGCTCCTGTCTTTGTCCAGGAAATGTTTAGGCCTTCTTTATTTCTTTTAAGCAATTTTCCATCTCAACTACGATTTCTTTGTATTTTGGTAGCCATTGGATCCTTTGTGGTTCCATTCTATTCTCTTGTGTAATTTAGAGTACATTACAAACACACACGTTAACGCGTGGGTGGTTCTGAGGCTCCAGTTTGTGCTTTAGCTTGAAAGTTGCTACCGGAAGTCGGTCCGGTCCTCCCGGAAACTTGACCACTGACTTTCATTCCCAGGGTTCCGCGAGAGCCGTTTGCCCCACCCCACCTCTTCAGCGCTATCTATCTCAATGTACAATTCTCTGAGAAAAAAGGGGGCAAACATAATTCTGAGAAATACGGCAAAGGAACCAATCCCACCGCAGCGACCGGCTCGTGGGAGCAGCGGCGGCCCGTCGGCGCTGAAAATAACTGTCTGGTCGTTGGGATGAGTGATTGAAAACGCCGCGGTGCGTTCACGTATCATGCACATGTAACCATAATCTGCCATACGGATTCAAAGGGGGAATACGAAAAGCCCAGAGACATTGACAGCGGGCTGTACCTGCGCCAAACGGGGGAATAACGGAGGGACTTCCAAGAATATTGCGTTTCGGTCAAGGACAGCCAGCTGCCGAAAGCCACCCCAGCTTCGCCCGGAGAAGGTTTCCGATGTGAAGAGAAATACAAATTAACGTTTACAGAGAGAAAAAAAGAGGACGGAGAAGGGGCCTTTTTTTTTTTTTTTTGGGGTCTGGTCAAACCCCCAGAAAAAGCAGGCACCAGCGTCTCTATTGACAGCGGAGTGGACGTAATTTTGAAACGGGTTAAAACTGCTTGGTATTGATAAGGTGGCTGCCATCTAAACAACGACAACCTTCCTTTAAAAAAAAAAAAAAAAATGTGCGGGATTTGGAAGACAGGAGTGACAGAGAAAGAAGCCCCGGTGCAGCCCGATGATTCACACGCCGTCATTTAAAGAGGAAATATTTCTTTTTTAAATTTCCCCACCCACCACCTCTGATGTGCTTTGGTCGGGTGGACAGTGGATTTGGAAAAACCCAGTTAAAACCCCGAAATATCTAAAAAAAAAAAAGGGGGAGAAGAAATAGGCGGCCGAGGAAAATGGGGCTTCGGTTGCGCGTGTGTGTGGAAATGGATTGAATGGCAATGTGAGATATATCCGCCGAAGATGGGCTCTGGAGGAGACCTGTGCTGAGGAAATATCAAGGCTGAGAGCGTCAAAACATTGGCGCAAATAATAAGAATTTCCGTTAAAAAAAAAAAAGCCGGCGTTTGGAATCCAAAGCATCATGTGCAGCGGGAAGCTGGGAGTTTCTCCTCTCCGGCATCAGTGTTGATGACTTCATTGCGGATTTACAGTGAGAAAAAAAAAGAAGAAAAAAAAAAAGCCAGGAATCAAGCGTTTGAGAGGGCGGCATCGTTCCTCCGCTCATGATCGCTTGCTGACAAACCGCCAGTAAATATCCACATCCATCCATCCATCTTTCCACACACACACACACAAACACACGCGTGCGCACACACACAAACACACACACACGTTGTGCCAGACCCCGCCGTCTACTACCTGACGTCCGTTTCATCTGGCGACATAAATGTCTCCCATTTTGAGCCAGGTGTTCCTCTGCTGGGCCAGTTCAGGAATTCGGGACTGATTTTTTTTTTTTCATTACTTCCCTCCCTCCTTCCTCCCCATCCTGCACCCCAAAAAACCCATCCAAACCACCCCTGCTGGCCTCACTGGGTTTTTTTGGGGGAAGATGGGCTGTCTTGGCAATAGTAAGACTGAAGACCAGCGAAATGAGGCGAGGGCGCAGAGGGAGGCCAACAAAAGGATAGATAAGCAGATCCAGAAAGACAAACAGTTATACCGGGCCACTCACCGGCTACTACTATTAGGTGGGTGTTTAAAAAAAAAAGTTACTTCAAAATGAACCTTCTGGTGGACCTTCTTGAGCAGCTTTTTTCAGCAGAAGTGTAGTGTGTGTGAATGCATGCGTGTGTGTGTGTGTGTGTGTGTGGGTAGTTAGCAGCATCGCCTCACAGCTAGAGGGTTCTGGGTTCGAGTTCCCGGGGGAACCAGGAACTTTCTGTGTGGATTTTGCATGTTCTCCCTGTGCCTGTGTGGGTTCTCTCCGGGTTTTCCTCCCACAGTCCAAAAACCTGCACGTTAGGTTGATTGGACATTCCAAATTTCCCATAGGAGTGTGTGTGTGAGTGTGAGTGAGCGTGGCTGTTTGTCCTTGCGTGTCTCTGTGTGGCCCTGCGATGGACTGTCCAGGATGTACCCAGCTTCTCCCCAATTGACCACTGGGATAGGCTCCAGTCCCCCCCCCCGTGACCCTGATAGGGAACAAGCATTTACGATAATGGGTGGATGGATGTAGGGTGTGGGGATGGGGGGGCTTCTTGACCACTTCCTGTGAGGCATCGGACAAATGACGTGATGTCACCACGCTACCGCTTTATCGTCCTGACACCGAACTGCTGGGAAAGCAGGCCGGGGGGGTCATCTTGGAGTCCGATTGCTCTTTATCTTCAAAGATGTCCCGGTCCTCTCGCTTTTAGCTGGCCGAGGGAAAGCTTAGCACTTTGTTCGCTGTAGTTACAGACTGTTAAAGTTTCTAACCTTTGCCCAGAGCCGGCTGCTTAGGTTGAAAATGGTGCTGCTGACCCTTACCACCTGCGGAAGCAGTGCTGGCCGTTAGAACTGGCCAACGTCAGGGTTTTTTGTGGACAAAAAAAACGTGTAAAAGTGTCAACGTTTTTGCAGAGAAGCCAGAGCATTGTTCATGTATTTGAATCTGTGCATCAAGCCAACTTTTTGGCCCATTTTAGCCCAAGTAGGGCTTAACTTTAGCTAATGAAGTCCGGCGGTTTCCAAGTTGGGGGGGGTCAAGCCTCCCAGATGGGGACCAGTAATTCGACCCGAGGTGTTTCCTGAACGGTTTTAAGATGTAGAACTCCAACCTGTGCGACGCTGTCTGTTGAAAAGGGGCCTCCAGACGGCTCTTTGAACGAGAAGTGGAAGTGTCCCGTTGGAGGACGTGAATTCAGGACAGGGGGCTCTCGTTCTGAGGAGAAAGTTTGGGGTAGAAATGCAGCCCTCTCTCTCCCTGGCCGTACCGAGACTATCCCTCCCAGATGCCCACATCCTCCTCTGGTCCCTCCCGGATTCGTTGTCCGTCGCTCTTCCTCGGTGATCAACTCTGCTGACCTCTTGTGTTTTTAACCTCCATGTCTTCGCTCTGCTTTCAGGCGCCGGCGAATCCGGGAAAAGCACCATAGTCAAGCAGATGCGAATACTGCACGTAAATGGCTTCAACGCAGAGTAAGTGTCTCTCTCCCATCCTGAGTTCCCTCCCGCTTTGATAAGACCCAGCAGAACGTTTGCTTTTCCAAGTGTTTTTCAAGAGGGCCGAACGTGCTTAGATTTCTGCAGCTCAGATGTTAAAAAAGTGCGGGGCCCCATACTCTGTGCAGCAGCCCTCGGTTGGATTGTAGCTCGCAGCACAGTGACTTTCAGGCTTTTTTCTGGGACGGCTGGTGCTTCAGCGGTTCGTGGTGTTATGTGTAAGCATCGTGAGTCGACCCGCTCAGCGTCGTTCACCTTCCTGTTATAATGTGTAACACCGACCCGTATTTAGTCCTGATCACGGACGGTCCTGATCACCCCTCCCCTCCAAACTAGAGATGCTAGACTTTAGAAGAAGAAGCGAATGGCTCCTTACATTCACTTTTATTCAAAGAAAAAAAAAATCAAAAGACAAAACCTATTCCGTTCTCCTCCCTTAACTCCTGGTGCTCTAAACTTTGAATAGAAGTGTTGCTCGTGTGTTTATTTATCAGTTTTGTCAGATGAGGCCGTGGTTATGCAGATTTTATTGTAGCGTTTAGCTATCACCAACCGAAACGCCGCCGTCTGAAGGGTCTGATTCCTGAGGCCTTTGGCTGGCCGACAGAAAGAAGGAAGAAGAAGTGGTGAATAAAAGCAGCTTTGTTGAGGCTTTTTTTCTGTGTTCATACACACTCACTCTTTGCTGCTCTCACCAGAAGTTGGACGCCGTCCCTCAAGGTTGTTCCTTGTTGTTTGAGGTCTCTCGTCTTCTTCTTCTTCTTCTTTCGTGCTGAAGGAGAGCTGTGGAGCAGTAGAATGCTTTGACCAGTTCGAGTCCGGAGTGTGACTCAGATCAGATCAGATCCCCGAGCCTCAGTCTTTCTGGACGACTTTGTAACCTTTCAGACTGACAAAGATTCAGATTTAACGTGTTTTTAAAGTCCGGCGTTGGTGAGACTGAAACCATAATAATAATAATTTTTAAAAAATACGTGTCAGACGTTTGATTTTTTTCTTTTCTTCTGCGGGTTTTATCTTGGGTTCTTTCTATCCTATTTCATCTGTCCGTCGCAGATAAATCTGAAAAAGTGAGGTGTAATTTGTAACTAAATTTCCTTTTTTTTAACCCTCTTTCCAAAAAAGAATAGCGTTTATCATCTTGAGTGTCATAAACCATATTTCTCTTTTTTCTAATGCATGCTAATGTTTGTATCCAGAGCCTGACCCATCACAGCTTGAAGTGGACAAAAAATGACGAAGTCAGCGCAGTTTCAATTGCTCAGTAAAAATAATACTACATGAATAATATTGAATGAATGATTTTGTGTTTGACACAGGTCGTTTTAGGAAAGCTTCTGTAAAAAAAAAAAAGAAAAAAAGTGAGAGTTTTCCACTTTTACTTACTTGTATAAAAAATCAGAATCATTTTTCAGGTCAGGTGTCAAAAATGAGGGCAAAATAGGAGTACATTTCCTCATAGAACTAACGACTGGACCCTGAGGCACATATTTTTTATTTTAGATGTTGTGAAAGGCACACTTATTTAGGTATTACAAGAGTACAACAACAGGACCTTTGAGGTTCCCGCCCCACTGACACTGGACCCTTCAATGTACGATTAGAGTAATTGTGTGTGTAAAAAAAGAAAAGAAAGGAAAATCATTAAAATTAACAGTTTTATAATAGTGTGGATCTGTTTCCAACTGATCGTATACATGTTCTCAATTTGTTTTGTTTGTGCCAGACAATAAAGTCGAACAGTGCCCCGCTTCACCTGAATGCATCACATGTGTGCTTTTGTGTGTTAACGCATCAGAAATGTGCTCGTCTTGTGTTCCTCACAGGGAGAAAAAGCAGAAAATCCATTACATCAAAAACAACATTAAAGAGGCGATTGAGGTAAGCACACTCCGTAAACTGGACATGAAGCGGCGCCCAAATGTGTTCTGCTGTTCTTTTAAATGACCTTTCCTTCCTTCTTCTTCTCTTCACTCAGACGATCGTGGCCGCCATGAGCACGCTCACGCCGCCGTGCCCCGTGGCCTGTCCAGCTAACCAGGCCCGGATCAATTACGTCATGAACATAGTCAACCAGAAGGATTTTGACTTTCCTTCAGTAAGTGATTTCCCGCTCACGCCTCCTCACATTTACTTCTCAGTTGGGTGTGATCGAGGCTCTTAAAATTTCCGTTCTGTTGCGGTTTTCGTCAACTCTTGCGGTTCGTACATGACAATTCAAGGATATTTTAGAAAGATGACAGCTGCACTAAATCAGCGGCAACACACACAACTTTGCTTTGGATAAAAGTCTAAAGTGGCACGCCGTTTGAAAGATAAAGACTGGTCATGTGATCACTTTCATGCGTGGAGAACTTTTCCTGATCAAAGCCTGCTTCTTCTGTACATGTTCGGTCAAATCTGGCTAAGTAGAGGACAGCGTTTGTATGTGGAAGGTTCTGCGACAAGTCACCAGCCCACTCTGCCCTGTGCCCTCAGTTTGGGCTTGTGTTTGTGTGTGTGCGTGGAGAAAGGTAAACGTGCACTCTGGATCTTTTTGGCTTTTCCTGTTTGAAGTTGTTGAGGTTAAGGTGTAACTCTATCTATCTATCTATCTATCTATCTATCTATCTATCTATCTATCTATCTATCTATCTATCTATCTAACTATCTATCTATCTATCTATCTATCTATCTATCTATCTATCTCCATGCATTTTTCCGTTGTTGCTAAAATTGAAAATGTCTATGGTTGGACGTGGGGTGTTATCCCAAATAAAAACCTAGCTGGAGACAGAAAAGGAATCTTTTTACTCGGGGCGCCGCCTTGCTGCACTGTGCGAGTTTGGGTGGGCTCCGTCACATCACGTGCGAGACATCTGCAGTGGGCGCTGGAACAGAGTTGGACTTCGCAGCGGAAATAGCTCAGATTTTTTTTTTGTGTCCACGAATCAGCTAGTTGTCAAAGTGTAAATTTCTGGACTTCCCCTGAGGGTCTGAACCCCCCCTCCCACTAATTCACGCGTGTTGCTTTTTTTCTTGTTCACTGCTGGCATCGACAGGTTTGGCGTGATGATGTTGGGTCCAACAGAGTGGACGAGTCCTCTGAGAAGAACGTGGTTAGTTGACTCCAAGTTTTCCGGTAGATTGACATCTGGGTTAAAGTCTCTGAGGCGTCTGAACCCGGGCACCTGCTCTGGTTGTGCTGTTTGCCGGTGCCTCAGTAGTTAGCCGTGCGCTTTCGCTCGGGAGGCCGTCAATTGAATGAGCCTCTCACCTGAGAGATTCTCACCGCCCATTAGAACTGATTAGGTGCAATAAAGCTAAACGCGTCCAGGGGGACGAGCAATCCAGAAACACAGAGCAGCTCGGGGATTTCCCCCCCTGAACAGCAGGCAACACCTCTGCGGCCCGTCGGGCGGCTGCTGGAGACCCGAGGGGAATCCATTTCTTTTGTTTCGGCTCTGTAATTCCAAACATTTATCACCGATTAGCAGATTATTCGAAAAGCCTCAGTCGGGCAAGTCTCTTTGGCTTTGATAAACCAGAACCATTCTGCTACAGCCTCCCTGCTCATGGACACCGTGTTTGTTTGAGGGAAAAGAGGATGCTTGGAACATATAAGGTACAGGAACGTAAACTTTCCTCTGATTTGCCTAAAAAGAGAGGGGCAGCTAAGTTTTGGCAGAACTGAGGCAAGCTGGCTATAAGAGCGCCTTGACTGAAAATACCTGATCAATTATGTGATCGTTTACAGCGTTTCACCAAAACTTCTGAAAGTTTTTGGCGTGAACTTGTTGATAAGATCTATAACAGAATATTTTTTAAATAGTTGGAATGCTTTTTGGTCAAAGTGAGACCTTTCAAATGAATTATTATTAATCAGCTTTCTTTTATAGATTTTTTCACCCTTGTTTTTGTGTTAATGTCTCATACAACATATGGGAAATATATGCATGTGTGTGTATATATATATACAGTACACACACAAATGTACATATATGCATATTTTTGTTTAAATCATTTATTGTTTTTTTCGTGGCAGAAATTGAAATATGTGGACTTTTCTGTGGGAGAAATGTTCATTTCCGAGAGAAAAAATATAGAAAACAGTGTAATATCAAATCAGTTGTTTTCACACAGGGAATCAGTTACATTGGGGAAGAACTCTGTGTTCCCCTTTGCTTTCTCCTGCATAATAGCCTCTCTGTTTAAACCAGTCGTTTTTTTTTTTTTCTCCTTCCTCCTTGCACTTTTTGTCATTTAAAACTGAGCCTCCAGCGAAGAGTGTGCCTATTTATGTGCGAGCAGAAAGGACGTTTCCTGATACGGCCTCCGTCACGTGGTGGTAAACGTATCCTGGCGGCCCGTCTCGGGGCTGAGCCTCCGTCCCACCCGGGTGTCCGTCGCAGGGCTTGTGGGGTCAGAACTCAGAGTCGTGCCGTTGGGGTTGGGATTCGGCACCACGAAGGCCCTGAGGAAGCACCCAAAATCTCGGCCCCCTCTCACAAGTGTGGAGCTTTTGAGAACAGACGGAGGGGTTGGAAAACTTCCTTTCCGACCAGCTCCTCCACCTCCTCAGCCGTCTGCTCCTCCTCCTCCTCCTCCTCCTCCTCCTCTTCCCGCTCTTCCTCTCCCGGCCTGAGGGCGCACTGGAAACCAGTTGAACTGGTTGGCTCTGCCTTCAGCAGGGGGGAAGAAGAGAGGGGGGAAAGCGTGTGGAATATCTGTCGTCTCATCTTGATTTCCTCTGCTTCTTCACGTTCAGTCCATAATCCTGTTACTTCTGAGGTTATTTGCTCAGACCGTTTCGCCCTTTCACTGCCTGATTCTCGATTGTCCTCAGCCTTCTTGCTACTAGCTAAAACTCACACAGGACAACACCATCCACAAAAGTTCCTCCGTCCTCAGGAGTGGATCTGATTGTGAAAAGAGGCAAGAGGTTCAGGAAGAGCAGCAGATATAGGATAGGCCTTTTGATCACTTGTTGGCTGTTTGTGCGCAGACTAAACTCAATAAATCTTTACATCGGGGAGCATAGTCTTTAGCTCTCAGGGTATTAAAATCAGCAATTCTCCGAAGGGTTGAGTTTGCATTATTTGGGCTTTCGTAGCTCTGCTGGCAGATTACCTCAATCCTTTCCTCTGTCTGACTCTATAAATGTGATTCCTTCTCAGTAAATTTTGTGACTTTGCAGGACTCCTGTCAGGGCTAAAGAAATACTAGCTTTTTCACACCTTTTTTCACATGCTCAAATTAAAGGTACACTTTTCTATTTAAGTGTCGGGTTAGGGTTAACCAAGCTGTGATACGAGTTTGGACTTCCATGAAACCGAGCCGTTTAATTTTGGATTTTGTGTCGAATTTTCATCTGCCGTGAGGCTCTTTGTTTTTGCCCTTGTCCTTTGGTTTTAATCATACAAAATGCCACCACTCTTAAACACAGCTGCTTTTCTTCTTTTTTTTAATGGTCCAAATTGATAGTTTTGTCAACGTAGAAAAAAAAAAAAAAGCAATTTGCAAACTCTTGAAAACTACGATGAGGGCTATTAATTGCTTTTCAGTTCCTTATTTTTCTCTTTCGTTCCTTATTTTCAACTTTGCCTTCTCCTTTTTGACTAGTTATTAACAGGCCGAGCGCGGCCAGTGCCTCCAACGCAACACGTTTGTGACCGGCTGTACCCAACTCTCGGTGCCCCCCCCCTAGTTTGTAAGTCGCTTTAGATAAAAGCGTTAAACAGAAACTAAATAGACGACAGCTATGATGGGCCAGTTCTGCTGCCGCTCTGCTCTTCCCCGACGCGCTTTCCCAGTTTTCCCCTTTTGGACAGATGTGCTCGGGGCCCCCCCCTTTGCCGGGCGGCCCTGTCCTCCTGCACGGCCCCAGACTACGGCCCTTGGATGTGGTTTTGTGGCGTGTCGGAGGGGGGCATTTTTCCCGCTCAGATCCTCGTGATACGGGACGATCCAACAAGGGCCTCTTTTGTCTGGGCTGCTTCTCGATGCTGCTTTGGAGCGTGCAAGCTTTAAAAGACAAAACGAGGAGCCTTAAGCGACTCCCGTTTTCTGGTTTTCGTCCTGAGCCGTGGACACGTGTGCAGGCGTAGTGGACGGCAGCTGGACCCGCGTTACTCCTGACGGTCCAATGCCGGTTAGAGCTTTTTTCCACTTCGTATCTAACGATTAAAGAAAAATAAACAGACAGTTAGGGAGGAATGACGGGGTCTTGTACAAAGGGAGAACCCCAGGCTCGACTGAATGAGAACGGATTTAAGCTAGATTCACAGCATGTAGGTGTTTTCAAATCCTGAATCTTCCACACAGGATCATGTGTAGCTACTTTCTGTCATTGTGGAGAGATAAATGTGAGTGCTCCTGAATGTTGGGGTGCGTTAAAACATGACAACTTTACCAAAGCGACTGCTTATTTTCCACTTACGTCCTGTCCAGTTCACCAAACCTATCTGCCATGTAAAACACCGATCTTTGTAAGAACCCCGTTTTTGTTCTCAGTTGAATGAAGCGTTTTGAAGAGTGTGCAAACGAAGTCTCTTCCCCCATAAAGGCTCATTTTGGCCGGACTGACCGGCAGAAGATTGGAGAGATAGGGGCCCGTGTGGTGAGAGCCCAGCCTTGTGTCAGTACAAAGCTCTCCGTCTCTTCGTGAACTCGGTGAACTCCTCTGTTTCCGGCCTCTGCCGGAGCTCGCTCATCTGCCGCTCCTCTCTGAGCCGACCTTAAACTCCAAACTAGGCAAGGGAGTAGATCGCTGCCTCCAGCCCATCTGCGAGTAAACTCCTATTCCCCTCCGTTAGCGACCCAGCTGTAAGTGAGGAACTCAGGGTTCTTGTGGAAAATCGCCTTTTCCTCAAGTTTTCCCTCCTCCGTAAATAAAGGCAATTCTTTTTTTACCTCATCGTTTTCATCACAGCTCACTGTGTTTTGCCTCATAAAAAAAAGCAAAAAATCCTCAATCCCCACAATGTTTGTCTGTCATCGTTAAATAAGCTGTAATTTTAAATCTTTGTTTGTCCCTTGAATCCAGCGCTCGTTGCACCTCAGGTTCTCCTCTGCTGGGACCCGTCCGGCATGTTGTGTTGATTACGATCAATTCTCGTCCTCGCAGGAGTTTTACGACCACGCAAAGACCCTGTGGCAGGACGAAGGCGTGCGGGCATGCTGGGAGAGGTCCAACGAATATCAGCTCATCGACTGTGCGCAGTAGTAAGTTCAGTTTTTTTCCCGCTTCTTTTACTCACCTCCAGCCGTCGCACCATGTCAGACACACACTTATTGGCTCACACAGAAGCAGGCTGTTGCATCATTTCCGTGCCTTTGATCAGCTCTGCCTGACCTGCGAGGCACGCGTGCTGCGGGATGCCCAGTGGGAGCCCCCGTATGCAGTCACATCATGACGAAACAAAGTCGTGTTTTTTTCGTCTGGTTTTGATCGCGGGATGAGAAGCTCTTACACGAAAGAGTTCAACTTTTTTCTGGCTTTTTTCGTTTAGGTCCCACTCTCGCAAGTTACCTGTCGGAATTACTTGTCGCAGACACTGAGACATTTGAGCAGCAGCTATCCCAAATGGGGTGGTTTTCTGATCTCCGCTCTTGCTTGCTAAGGTCTGCAATTCGAAGGAATGCTGACTACTGACCGAGATCAGCGAAGACATTTATCGGCAGCCAGGAAAAGACGGGTTTGGTTTAAGGTGAAGGTTTTCGTAGGCCGCTTGGCCTTGCGGTAAAATATGAGGTGGACGCTCCAAGTCGTCCACTCTCAGAATCTGGGCCTGTTGCGGAAATGAACCGGTCGTTGGAGTCTTAAAAGTTTACTGTGTGATTTGTGCTTCAAGCGATAAGGAGTAACGCGCTCCAGCTGAAAGTCGTCCAGATTTACCAGGAGGCGTTTACGGCTCAGCTATGAAAATCCCGTCTGCGTAGTCGGGGTCGTCGGACATGATTTAAAAAGGCGCCCCGATTCAAATTCAGAACGAGTGAAGGGAACGGCTGAATCCGAGGCGGCTCGGGGAGAGGGGTATTAACTCCTCCCATCTCAGGCTTCTCCTGATGGAAGCAGCTACACCTGGAGTCCACGGCCAAACTAAAGGAACACGTTTTATATCCTTTATGTGCCATAGAGGTGTACCGCACCGATGTGGTCTTTAGCTGTTTTTAATCTTTAACGTATGAGTGATTGAGCTCATAGATTCAGACTTTCCATATCCCAGAGGTTAGTTTTAATTGGGGGCTTACGAGCTTTCGTAGAAAAGACATTGAGGAAGAGTACGCAAAGGAAACGGGCCTCCAACATCTGCTGACTAGCGGGAAAGAAAGTACGCCGCTAACGTGGCTTCAGACAGCAGATTTCTGGTGTGGCTTTTCAGGCCACAGGTGTTTTGGGCTGGTTTGCGTGGAGGGACGGAGAGCAGGGGGGGGGGGGCGGACCGAAGGGCCGAAGGAAAAGATTGAAATAAAGACAGGCTTCCCCCTGCTTTGTCAGGCCTCTGTCCGCTCCTCCACCCTCCTCCACCCAGCAGCTCCAGTGTTATGGATCAGATGCTGGGCTGGGTGGCCAGACCGGAAGTGCTCCCCTCCCCCCTCCGTGTGCTTATGTAAACGGAGAAGCAGAGAAAAAGAGAAGGGAGAGCTATTTTTAACCCAGGCAGGCTGCAGAAGGAGAAAGAATGAGCGAGTGTGTTTGCAGAGAGACAACTTCAGCATTATTGATGAAGGTTGTTAGCATTAAATGAAAATGTCAAACCCCGGATCACAACGGGGGTGGGGGGGTGGGGGGGTGGGGGGGTGGACGGGCCCGCCACACACACCACCCACCGCATCTTTATTTCTTGTTTTTTTCCCCAAAAAGAGAAAGAATCGCATCACCCAAGTTCATGCTATGATAAAAATCCAGCGGGGAAGAAGAAGTTGACGGGGCCGAGATGCTTTGTTGTCTCTGTGCGACCAGGAGGAAGTCGCTGGAGCTGCTCCTGTGCTCAGTCATGCTTCTTCGTGTTGTTGTGGTTGTTTTTCGCACACTTCCTGGCGCTTTGTGTGCCGGCGTTGCCGTCCGTGATTTCATCAGGACGCGCTGAGTTCACTGGCTGTCACTGTGGGCGTCCGAGGCGAGGGACTCGTCATGCCATTTTGTCTCAGGATGCATCATTCGGAAAAGTTTTTGGGGTTTAATTTGCCCTAATCTTTTTCATTCAATAGAAGCAGACAAAGACATAAATCTGTATTCATACAAAAACGTATGAGTAAGACGCGGTTGTTCGAATAGATGGAGAGGTTTTGTCCGGCCCTGGATTTGGTATGAAAAAATAAACTTAATCAACCGTTACTGTATTTCATTGAATTTTTTTCATTTATTGAGTATTAAATTGTGTTTAATGAGAAAAAAAAATAGAAAAACATTTCCACAACTCCAAATTTCTTTTGTCGTGACCTCAAATAACAAATGTCCCACAAAAACACAACGTGCTTGTTCCACTTTTAGTTGTTTTTTCACAAAGTTTTCCCCAATTCTTAGCCATTCCTTCAAATGGGAAGAAGGATGTTATTATTATTATTATTATTAGTAGTAGTATTATTTTCATTCTTTTATGCGAATGCGGCACAAGAAAAAATAAATGCAAACACATGGGGATGAGGGATGATTGCAGCAGCTCTGTTAAAGATCATACCTCTTACTGGCTTCTGTCTACAGATCTGTAGGACCATGTTCAAGGGCAAATTACGGAAACTGATCCAAAAATCAAAATTAAAACAACTTTTGGGTCTTCATAATTAATAAACTGTTAACCCTAAACACTATACATATATAAATATATCTATGTATATGTATGCAAGTATTGTTTTTCTTATTTAAATACTTTCAAAATCCATCAACACAAAATCTGAAAGAAAATTTGCAATTATTTTCCTAATTGATCCTATCTGGTTTGCTGCGTATTGGATTGCAATTCCTGTGTGGATGCAAGTTTACAGACATCTGGAAAAGAACAAACGGCCGGACCCGTCTCTTCACTTTGAAAGAGCGACTTAGTGTCTGAACGTTTTGTTGCTTCTGTATTTCAGCAGAAACGTCTCTAGGGGGACCACATTTTTAAGATGTAAAGGTAGAAATAGTCTCTTTTTTTTTTTTAAATCCAGTCCAGTTTTTATGGTAAGCCATGAATTAAAACTGAAATAAAGTTGAGCTGATTAAAGTGGTTGAAGTCCTGCACGGTGGGCTGAACGGACGTGGGAGATGGCGCCTGGCCTCGGAACTATCGGTCAGTTTGTTGGGGGCTCGTCCCATGCCTCCCCGTGTGCTGCCGGGATGGCCGGATTGTTCGCCTGAACCCCCCCGTTCTCCTCTGTGTTAACATGCGATGGTGCTTCTGTAGGGACAGAAAATGTCTGGGAACGAGTCTGTGACTCATCACAAGGAAGGACGGAGCTGGTGGGGGGGGGGGGGTAGGCGAAGACCAACTTATTGTGATGGATTAAAATGAGTTCAGCCGGCGTGGCAGATGTGCAGCGTGGGGTCGGGCGGTTTTTGAGGTGCTCTCCGGACGGCTTAGGGAAAACTCTTCAGCAGCGTGTTGGGATTTTATGTATCAACTGCTGTTTTTACCACATCTGAGAACTCTCTTCTGTCCCTCTAATTTTTTTTTTCTAGGTCTTTGCCCTCGACTTTTTGTCTTTTTCCTTTCTTCTCTTGTTGTCTTTTTCCCTGGCGTTTCCTTATTTTGTGTCTGACATAAGCTCTTTAGTTTTTTTTGCCTTTGTGCTTTGAATTTCATCTTTCCTTTAGCGCCCTGTTCCTCCCTGTTTTCGGCTTGTTCGGATTCAGATTCTTGCTTGTGTTTTTTGCTTGCCGAATCTCTCCTGTCTTTGTCTTACTTCCGTCTGACCTTATTTGTTTTTGTTTTTGTCTCGTAATCTCTTTGATACCTTTGCTTCATGTTCTTCTCTTCCAACCTTTCTTTTGTTAGTTCTTCCAGCTATAATGTGTGATTGTTCTCTATTTTTTGTTTAAATTCTTCCTCTTTGCATTCTTTTCTCCTCTCTAACCCACTCCATTCCCCGCATCGCTCTCTCTGTATCTCTTTGTTGCTCGCCTTCCCTTTCTCTGCCCCTCCTTTAACACTCTTTTTTCCCTTTTTTTCCCCTCCTCATTCTTTCTTTTCCTCCACTCGTTCCGTCTGCCTCTCCCTCTCTCTGGCCCCTCTCCAGTGGCACAAGATTTGGAGCCGATTGTCTATTTATAGAGCCTGTGGTTCTGTCACCATGACAACCAAGCTGGAGGCCAGGGCGCCAGGGAGCTATTTTTGGAGCCGCGCTGTACTGTCAGACACAGCCTTCCCTCTCTTTTCTTTACTCCTCTTTCTCTCCCTGGATGTGGGGCCTGTGTGTGTCGGCCGGCGAGGCCGTGGCTCTGGCCGGCTCCCGGGTTGAAGAGCTAACGTACAAAAAGAGGCAGCGAAGCCTCTGTAGCCATTCCCGACCCCAACTCTCCGCCTCCAGGAAGAGCATTTTCTGACCGGGCTCGCCGCTTCGCAGGCCCACAAAGTTGCACTTTTTTAAAGACTTTTTGTCTCAGTTCAAGTGCTCTGAAACGTCAAAATCAGAGGTTTTTTCAGAGTTTCTGCAACTCTGAAATCTGGAATTCGCAGTTTCCGTTTTATTTTGATTTTCCAAAACTGATTTTTTTCTTTTTTTTCTTCTTTTTTTTTAGCATGTAAAATAAAAGATTTTTTTTCTCACCATTTTAAGTCTCTCTGTTAAAATTAATTTGGGATGAGTTACATAAACAGAAAGTTGTTTTTTTAACTCTAACAATTACCGAAGCATTAAATTAAACTTTTTTTTCTTAATTAAAGAAAGAAAAAAGAATAAAGAAACATGAACAGTTAAACGTTTTTCTACTGTTTCCTTTAAATTAGTGGTCAGAGTTGACCAAATGATATCCATTGAAATTGACCTAATCATCCTGCTGGACAGAAGCTTATTCCCAGACATCCTCTTGTAAATAAATAGAAATAATTACTTTATAACCAACTGAAGGGCCTTTTGATTGGTGTGTTCTTTGGATAGGTAATTATGTCAACCATAAAAGAGCAGTTCTTCTAACTTTTAATACCCTAATGGATGCAAGTATATTGAAGCAGCCGGAAAAAGAGGCATTTTTTAGGGACATGATCCTGTTGCCCTACATTTGTGTGTGAGTGTGTGTGTGTGTGTGGTCATGCTGCCGATCAGCGGAGCGGCGTTGTTGGAGTGCAAAACTCTCCAGATGTTTTGCATTTGTATCACAATTGGTCATAAACCCTGAGAGTCATTTTCAAGTAAAAAAATAAATAAAAATGTTGCAGAGTTTAAAGACGGCTCACATTAAACGAGAGACATTTGCTAACTTTAGTTTTATTCTGTTCCGGCAAACAATGACTGAATAAAAAAAAAAAAAAACTTTCTAAAACTTCTGGAGAGCCGTTTTTCTATTTAAGCAAATTAAGATCATTCCGATTATTTGCCGTCCAGCTGTTTGAGGCATCAGCACATCTGTGGAAGCCTAATCTCGTCTAGAGCTGAGGATGCAGATGAGCGTGTAATCGAGTAATCCTTTCTGCTAATGCTGCCACTTTACAAAGATAAATGTTTTATGGGGGTGTTATCAGCTTTGTTGGGATTGCGCTGCCGTTGATGGTGTCGCCTCTCAAGTCTCCCCGAATGAAGGTCTTAGTGAGATTATGGAAAGGAGAAGAATAAAGGGGAAAATACAGTTTTCTCAGGGTTTTCAGGGGTTAAGTTTGTGACTCTGCAAAGAGAATAAGAGTTTTAAAAAAAAGTTAAAAGGAGGAAAATGACGAGTTCATTTTTGTAAATCCTATTTGTAATTTTTGAACAATCGTAACACGAGAATTTTGAGTGAAAATTGCGTGAAATATCTTTATTTTTTAACTTTTATAGTTACCCTTAAATTTGAATTTACAATTTTTTTTCTTTTTCTGTATTAAAAGTTTTTTTTTTGCATTAGGAGAGAGGATCCAGGTCTAGAAAAAATTGCTAAATGGAACATTTGATAGTCATGGAAAATCCTGCGTTTATTTTTAGTTAAAAAAACAAAACCCTGACCGGTAGTTGTACCTCAAATCAGCAGAAATGATAACAAAAAGATGTTCTTTATCTTTCTTTTGTAAATACTCTCGCTATTTTCAAACGCCAGACAAGTGTCCTGTGTGTATTTCCAAAGTCTAGGTCGGCCTGTCTGCCACCCCAGAATAACCCGGGCAGGTTAAACATAACACCGCGGCCCTCTCTGTTACTGGGGCAGCCACTATTATTTAGCTCGACTTACTCGGCCCGGTTATTATTGGCACCTCTCCTATTAATAGGCAGAAACGGCTAAAAATTGAGCGGTGTGTTTGCGCTGGGCGTGCCGCCTCCTCCGACCAGAGCCGTGGATAAACACCAGCTCGGCCTCGGCAGATGTCGGCGGCGGCCGTGGTAATGCTGTCATCTGTGGAGCGGCGGCTTTCGGGCTCTGTCGCGTTCAGATTATTTATGTTTTGGGAAAGCGGTAGGGGGAACTTTATGGGAGGACGGAGGCTGTGAGGCGGCCTGGCTCCGAGTGGCTCTCCACACGGGCCTGTGGGTGTGCGGGCACAACACAGAAACACTGTGGTGTGTGGGGGGGAGCAGATGAGCCACTTGGCCCCCGAAGAGAGCTGACGGCACCTAGCTGCTTGCCCGCCTAATAAGCCTCCGTGTGCCTGTTTGATAGAAGCATTCCCAAATCTTCTTTTCCTTTGTTTTTTTTCCTTCCCCCAGCAGTCTCACTCTTACATGGCCCTCTGACCCGAGCGTTGCCGAGGGGCCTTTTTTTTCTTTTTTTTACTGGCTTCCAGCCCCCTGCTTTTCTCAGTGTGATACCTGCAGCCCTGCTGTCACTTTTCACCTCTGCCTGCCACATTCCTGTTATCTCAGAGGGGGCTACATACCTGTTCTCCGAGCGGCAGCCACAAACGGGCGTCCCCGCCTTTCTGCTCGTAAGAACAGAGAGCCGACGGTCGGGCCGAGCAGACAAACGAGCGGGCCCGAAAGTAGAAAGGAGAGGGGGGGGGAAGGAATGAGCGCGCCTGCTTTCAAGTAACACCTTGAAAACTGACAATCCAGACTTTTTTTGTTTGTTCATTTATTCGACAGAAACCGCAGCAGTGTTCGCGTGGCAAAAGGAAACTACAGTAGAACTTCTGCATACGAATTTAATTCTTTATTTAATTTAATTCCTACTTTGTATGTTAAAATGTTCGTATGTTGGTTCAAATATTCCCATAAGAATACACTGAAATTCATATAATTCGTTCCACAGCCCAAAAACCTACGATAACTCCTTAATTAATGCTGCAGATATAAGTGAGATGTAAAAAGAAATTAATTATAAAGAAATTTTTATTGGAACTTTACTTCAGAGACTGAAGAACGGAGGTAGAGGTGGAGTCTGAGAGACAGGACATACCTTAACTTCCTCTAACTTGCACTACGTAAACTTTAAACTAACTTAACTTGTTTATCTTTATTTAATTTTTACATATGTAGATTTTTTCCTATGACTTCGACGTCATATATTGGAAATTTACTTCGGGTGTCGAGTCGAATATTTGGTCGAACTTCACTTCGTATGCTGGAATATTTATATCTTTAGCCAATCGTAAGTAGAGGTTCTACTGTATTTCCCCCGCTGTAAAAAGCTGCTGGTGACATGCTTACGCCTCACACAACTGTTATGTAGTTTAGAGTCAGAGGCCGCTCGTTCAGATGGCCAGCTCCTGGAGGCGTTCATACTGTGGTGTGTGTGGACTCTCAGTGATGCTCTCCCACTCTACATCACAGCAGAATGTCCTTTGGGAATCTTCTGTTGTAGCCCCTGTTCATTCAAGACCCCTGGGACAAACGACCCAGTGTGCTCCCGATGAGTCTGATCAGAGATGGGGGGGTAAAAAACAAAGCAAACCTTTGCCACCAAACCAGGCCACAAACCAGGCGTTTGAGGGGATTTTTCGGCAGTGCGCTCCGTGGGAGAGATGAGCTGTGTGTACTCTGGGTTTTTACCACTTCACACACACACTTCAGATGGATCCACAGCTGCACAACACACCGAGCCAGTCGACAAAAGCCCCCCAAAAAAGGCAAAAGGCGCACTCCTAAATGCTTTTGCGAAATCGTCAAACGAATCCTCAGGGGAGGGGGTCTGTGTTTGATGGGGGGGAACCGGTGAGATAATTCGTGCTGAGCTCCGGGAGAGGCGGGCGGCGTTTTTTCGTCTGCTCTGGGGCGTTAATGACACTGCGTGCGAGGTCCAGGCCGTGGCTGCGTCCCGCCTCCCCCTGCTAAACTGTGAAATACCGGCTGCATTGTTAACATGCTTGCTCGCCCCCCCCCCCCCCCCCCCAAAAAAACGCCGGCGTGAAGAGTCAGCGCAGACCACTGGGGCTTTTTGGGACGGCAGCGTGAGGACGGTGACTAAAAAATCCTCTCCGCCTGGAAGCGCGGACCATAGCTCAGCCCTGAACTCGCGGTCATTCCTCAGCCCCCCCCCCCCCCCACCCACCCCCACACACACACACTCTGAGCAGCTGTCTGATACAGTCATCCTTGAAAAACAGCATCAGTCAGTTCACCAGAACAATTAACATGCCTTTGGGTGGGCACTCTGAAAATGTGCACTGTGGGCCCGCATACCCACCCACACGCATGCACACACACACACAGACACTTCTCCTCCTGTGCAAGTACTACTACAGCAACCCCATTGACGAGGCTCCTCCGGTCTAACAGAGCAAACGGCTGCTGGTGACTCAGACGGATTCTCTGATCTCGCCGTGAATGAAAGCGCACGCCCCCTCGTGGCCTTTCCGGGGAAACTGTCCTCCATCTTTCTCATCCTCTCACTCCTGGCTGCGCACACACTTTGTACATTCTCCCCCCACTCAGTGCTCAAATATGCCGGGTGTTTAAGTGTCGCGCACGGTGAGTAAATGCAAATGTTCCGACCCTCGCCCGGACGATCGGCAACATCCTGTTGTGTTTTTTCGCCAACTCTCTTGAAACAGTAACTGAGGTTTGGGTGCCTTGTTCTGCTCTGTTTGCAGCTTCTTAGACAGGATTGATGTTGTCAGACAGAACGACTACACACCCACCGATCAGGTGAGAATAACTCAACAAGGGGAGACACACATGCATACATTTTACTTTGTAAGTCGCTGTGGATAAAAGCGTCTGCTAAATACATAAACTTAAACATAAAAAATGGTTCTCGGTAAATGAAATGAGATGGAAAAAAAAAAAGGATTGAGTTAACGCTGGCCGCTGCTCACGCCGGCTCAGTTACAACTCACCCATCCTTCATCAATGTTTATTACAAGCACGTTTTCTTCTTCTTTCAGTACTACAACAATTGACAACATTTTTTAATAAAAAAGAAAAAATAAGCTCTTCAGATAGTTTTGAAGGGCTGAATATATCGATAAGCAAACTGTTCACCCAGAATTGGGACAAACATTGCCGTAATGCACAGTAAACAAAGCTCCACGGATTCACCCACTTACTTTTTTTCCAGAATTATTTTCACTTTCGTTAATTCTTCCAAAGCCAACTGAAAGCTCCTCATCTTTTGGTTCATCATCCCTCTGGGACCGTTTTCCTGATTCAACACACGTCTTTCAAATCATCGCACAATTTATTTTGGAAGAATCTGCAGTCTTTGGGAGTTATCTGTTTGCTCTAAATGAGGTGTGTTGAAGCAGGGAATCATCTAAAAATGTTTGGTTCTCCCTGGTCATAAGCTGCTGTTAACCAGCTGGATGAAAGGATCTGCTAAATGACTTCATAAAGTAGCAGTATTATACGATAACGGCAAACTTTGCCCGAAATGAAAGTGTGATGATCGTCGTAGACGTCTTGAATTCCTCTTTGCTTACTTTCTTTCTGATTTTTTTACTTTTCTTTCTTTGTTTCAGGACCTCTTGAGATGCAGAGTACTCACATCTGGGATCTCTGAGACAAGATTTCAAATAGACAAAGTCAATTTCCAGTGAGTCACTGATCAAATTTGGTGATTAAAGCAAGTCACAGAAATGGCCGACGTTTACTCAAAATTCGAAACAGAAAATGATAGACTCTTATCCCAAAATGTATTTATTTATTTATTATGTCGCTTGTCTTGATGTTGATTCTCTGTCGATTTTGAGAATAAACCTTCAACTTTCTGTGTCTCGCAGTATGTTCGACGTTGGGGGTCAGAGGGATGAACGTCGAAAATGGATCCAGTGTTTTAACGGTTGGACATTGCTTTACTACTGTGATGAACGCAGTACAGATTTTACATGTGTATTTACCCATTTTAACCAAATAAATAATGCCACAAAATAGTTTCTTGCACTGTAAACAATACGGTCTGGTGCTTTTCTGGTCCGGTAATCCCCTCCTGCTGCGTGTTTGTGTTGCACAGATGTGACAGCGATCATCTTTGTGGTGGCGAGTAGCAGCTACAACATGGTGATCAGAGAAGACAATCAGACTAATAGACTACAAGAAGCCCTCAATCTTTTCAAGAACATCTGGAACAACAGGTCAGAGAGTCTATAAAGAGCCTTTTCCGTTTGTAACTCTTTTTTTTCCATTTATTTAGTACATTTCATGATGACTTTTTGAGAGAACACTGTCAGGCCACAGATATGTACAGTCTTGATTATTGTCCTGAAATATTTTTAAATCCTACTTTTTTCTTCTTTTTTAGAGGATAAATGTTTTCAGTGTCCACTATATATACAGGGTGTACATATATGTATGTATTTATTAAGAGAGACTTATTTATTTTTATGTTAATGTTTACAGTTATCTGGTTTTCATCAGATAAATTAGCCTCCTTCATTTTGACGGGTCAATTAGCAGGTTGTTTCTCTTGCATCCGTCTTAATAAAAGAACAGGAAGTCTGTGATGAAGCAAAGAAAAAGTAGAAGTGCTACTGTTGTAGAAGTCTTTCAGGGTTGTTTTGTGCAAATTCTATGCGGAACATCATTACTGTACATCTTTTAATGAGCATGACCATTTATAAAAACAAAACAAAAAACAGAGGCGCTTAAAAAATCATATTTGTGCGCTGCTTGCCAGAGGGCAGTGGGGGTGGGGGGGTCGACCAGGCTTGGAATGTGCAGTCGGTTTACGGCAGGAACCCCCAGAGAATAATGCGTCTTCTTTTCTCCAGCCAATGGCCGCCATAAGTAGACATCCAGGGGAACCTCTAACTGCAGAGGTGTTGGGTCTCTGATAGAGCAAAGCGACTGAACTTGTCCGTTTCCTTCCGCAGATGGCTACGGACCATTTCAGTCATCCTCTTCCTGAACAAGCAGGACCTGCTGGCTGAGAAGGTTTTGGCGGGGAAATCTAAGATCGAGGACTATTTTCCCGAGTTTGCGCGCTACACCACGCCTGACGATGGTAGGAATGGCCACTTAACGGACGCATCCCATCAATATTACAAAGGCCCGAGGCTAAACTGAGTTTTGTACTACGATTTTCTAAATGATGCTGTAGTTCAGTATGTCATCAAAGTGACCCGCTTACACCTTGAGTTACACATCTGTGGAAAAAAAATCCAAGTTTGATTGGCAGCTGTGTAGTTATCTGTGTGTGTAAAGTTTGCTTTGCTTTCTTTTTCTCCCCCCAAAAGCCATACCAGAACCAGGAGAAGATCCGCGAGTTACCAGGGCAAAGTACTTCATTCGGGATGAGTTTCTGGTGTGTATGGACCTCAGATTGAGGCAAAGCTCTTTTACCTGTTTGACTGTGACGGGGTTCCCTTTGTTTCACTTTTAGGCGTCAGGTCATTGTAGTTTTCAGCTGCCGTAAACTCTAATAAGCATGCTGTCTGTCAAACTGAACCATGAACCTGTGAAGAAAAACATTGAGTATAAATGCCTTTGACTTTTTCTACAGAAGTACACCAGCTTTTCACTCTTTACAGACATTTTCTACAAATAGAAGTCATCACAAAGGCAACTGCAGCTTGTCTGTTCTGCCGACTTGTTTCTGTTAGTTTAAGGTCTTTTCGTTTCTCATTCCACGATAATGGAACAGTTTTATCTTTTTACGTCATCTCAAAATAGAATACTGCTCCAGATAACAGGACAAAAATTTGTTTTGGAGTGCTGTGTGTTTACTGTCGCTCACCACTCAGTCATAAGTGAGTTTGCGTGGTATAATTTTAACGTCGGTACTTCGACACTTCAGCATAATGAAAAAGTTTTCGTGATTTTCTGAGAAAACAAATCACAGATACGATCGAATAATCCGACCCAGACATACATATACACTTTGCTGTCACCACGCACTGCTTGCATGATCTGATGATCAGATATTCTGTCACAGATCACACTGCAATGATACAACTACATGTATCAGGACTTTTTTTTCTGTTAGGGTTTTGTAGTTGCTGGAAAATGGTTGACAAAGGGTCTTTATTTATGCCAACGCAAGCTTTGCTCATCGTCATGTCTGTGCAATGGCTGGTGGCTGGCTCACCAGCGCTAACCCGTCCGCGTTCCCGTGTGTTCCCCAGAGGATCAGCACCGCCAGCGGGGACGGCCGGCACTACTGCTACCCGCACTTCACCTGCGCCGTCGACACCGAGAACATCCGCCGCGTCTTCAGCGACTGCCGGGACATCATCCAGAGGATGCACCTGCGGCAGTACGAGCTCTTGTGATGCGCGGCCTGCGTCAGGTCTACTCATCTACCTACCGACCCACCCCCGGGGAAACCCCACCACCACCACCACCACAATCACCGACTCACTACCACCGACTTCTCCCAACAGCTGAGCTAGCCGCCGAGCGTCTGCCCCTCCCATCCATCCTCACGCACCTTTTCCCGCCAACGCAGCTCAAGTAGATGAAGAAAGTGGGATGACTTTTTTGCCATTTCTAAAAAAAAACAACAACAAAAATGGAAACGCCATTTAACCCACAACAGACTCATCGACTGTCAGCCTGCGCCGAGGGGTTTGACCCGGGGAAAAGGGTGGAGACTGGGCCACCCCGCCCGCTCGCTTTCTCTCAGCTTATATGAACACACACTCACAGGTACACACACACACACACACACACACGACCGAATGAGACGTTTAGACTTTTGGATAGATTTTAATATCGCAGTTGCTCAATCGTTTCAAATCCCAAGCCAGAGGGAGGGTCAAATCATTTGTTCATGCCAGACTAAAGAAATTATTCACCGCGTGCTGAAAGAAGATGGCAACGGACAGGAAAGGTGGCAAACCGATTCGGAGGAGGGCCGCCTGCTGCTGTTCCGCTGACTAACGGCTGCCGGCAGACAGGAGCATGACTCAACACGAAGTCCCACAGCTCACGTGAGCTGCTCCTCAAGAAATAGTTGAGGAGGAACGGCAGAAAAAATACCATCCAGCGCATAAATCCATGCATAGAAATGAACTTCATGCAGTGCAAAAAATCCAAGCTATATATATAGATATTTATATATGTGTGTATATAAATATGTATATATATATATATAATTATATATAAATATTATATATTCCTGTAATAACACAATTCAACTTTCAAGTTTTTGTTAGTTTTTACCTCCTGTTGTGTTTTAGTGTACACACTGTGCGTGAGATCTGCCTTTGCGCACCATTTAAACCCTCCCTGCACACACACACACACACACACACACACTCACACACACACAGATATGTGACTACACGTACTTGCTCCTGCTGCTATTTGACAACTATTCAACAGGTGGAGAATAAAGGAGTGGGTTTATTTAACAAGGAAAAGAATGAACTAAGCAAAAGGAAAGCATGAAGTCAAAGACTTACAGAGACTGGATGCAACATTTTTAATAAGAGCACAGACACACGTACACACACACACACACATATGCTCCAGCCCTCATTCGTCCCATCTTTCTCCCCACACACCCCCCCCCCTGACCCCCCCCCCTGTCTTGTTCTCTCACCTCTCCAGCTCCCACCTCCTCCTCCCTGGCTTTACGTGCATCTGTCTTTATTTTACTGCTGGACTATTATTCTTGTACAGACTGTAAAATGTATTATTTTGTACAACTTTATTGAAAGAAAAAAAATTACTTGTAGAAGATCCCTGTGCCTTGATCAAGACTGTACATGTAAAAAAAAAATGAGCTAAAATGTAAGTTATGTTTCACTGCGCTGTACAGCTGGACGGGTCAGTCCCATCTCGTCTGGGCTAGCTCACCCCTCCGCCACGGACTGGGAAGGGCCGGGGCATCGGGTCGGGGGCCAAGGCCTTTTGTCTGTTGCTTGGTTTTTCTATTTTTTTTTTTCTTTCCCACGTTTATTGGTTCGTTGATTCATTTGTCTTTGCCTCCTTTGGTTTATATGAAATGGAAAATGAAAAAAAATGAAGGAGAAAACAATCAGACCCACCACCTTAAAACTGTGTATTAAACACACATAAATATATATATGTGTGAGTGTGTGTGTGTGTGTGCGTGTGTGTATGTGTGTGCGTGAACTTTACACATACATCTTATGAGCTGTCAGCAACACCTGCAAACTTTCTGGTTGCAAAGTGTAAGGTGTAAGTTTTTTTTACTTTTTTTTTTTTCTTTGCTTTATCTCCTTTTAAGGAGAAGATAATATCCATGTGCAAAACATTGTCTGTTTCTACATAAACCAAATTCGTTTTTGCTTAAACAAGTGGAAACAGTTGTACTAGTGCTTTGGTTCATTTGCAGGCCTGTTCGATCCTCACCTGTAGTTCACGTCAAATGTCGGTTTATCAGGGACACTCAAGTTAATGCAGTCTAACACAACAGTTCTGCAATAAATCCTTCCCTTCATGAAGGTTATACTGTTCGATGCTTAGCTGTCTTTTGTAGATTGTCCACCCTGTCCTTACTGATTAGACTCGGCTGAAGTCATTTAATTTTTAAAAGCAAAAGTCAAGACTCCAACAGGTTTAACCCTTGCGTGCCCTCCTGGGGTCACTCGTTAAACTGGGGAATGAGCGATATTAGAAGGGGGTTAAAAATAAGCAATCAAAGGGTCACATGAAACACGGTGGTGGAAAAGAAAGTATCTTTTTTAAAATTTCAAATCAAATCCACTTCATTGTTGGTCACCTCTTTAAAACAAAGTGTGTGTGATCACTTTGCCAAAGTGGAACAACATCGGCCATGCTCTTAGAGAAGTAACTGTTGCTCACCGTCAATCTAGAAAGGGATTTAAAGACATTTCCAAACTATTTGGAGTTATTCGACTGTGTACTCATTCCATGAGAGAGATCATCACATACAAAGCTCAGATGATTGACACCTGAGAAGCTTGAGTCTCACTTAGGGTTTATAATGTTAAAGTTTGAGACATTGCAACGAGGTTGGCCCTGATAAGGCTTCACCGTCTAAAAGGAAGATGTTGGCAAGGTATAAGGTTACAAAGTCATGTGAATATTTGTAAATCACAAGACGTGTGGAACAATGTTCCTTTGGACCAGTGAAACCAAACGCTCTCTTCACCTCAGCAGTCAGGACCTGGACACCGTGCGCTGTTGAGCTGACAATGAAGCCCTGGTTCCGGCAGGGTTTTAGTGTCAAATGTGTCGCCATCTGTTTTACTGATTCAGGGTCATGTACAAGCATAGTGATCCGAAATGGAAAACAGATAGGCTTTAACCTAATGAATCATGTATTTAGTTTTTCACACACCGATTCTGCGTATTCTAACTTAATATGTCATGTGTTTTTCATTGTTAGGTTTTATTTATCTAATACAAAGACTTGGTCTAAACATGACATTTTAGAATTTAGAACTGATAGGTAAAAACCTTTGAAATGAATGAGGGATTGCTTTCTTTTTCGCAAGAAAACCACTTTACCATCCTTTAGTGTAACATGAACAGATTGATGAGCTTAAGCTATTTTAAAGGCTTAAGATAAACACAGTCTCAGCTGCACCAAAGTCTAAAGTTGAGTCAAAAACATCTCAGCATTTCCAGGATTTTCTAATAAGACTGATGTATTAGACTGCAGCAGGTTTAGCAAAAGGTCAGCCTGCTATTCTGTTAGTGTTCACAGGTTTTATCATGCACCTTTCACCTAAATCACATCCTTAGTCGCTGCGCACTTTATATGGTATCGGGTAAAAAAGATTGCGAAAGCTGTTTTCATGTCAGCAGATCCTCACCTGTGTTCTTGATTTTTACACGGGCTGCATCAGTAAACAAGTTTAATTTGAGCTCAGCCCAGACTGAGGTATTTCTCCTTTGGCCGCAAATGTTTTCAGCATTTGTTGGATATTTTTCCCTTGAATTTTTTATGATCAAGAGAGAGGGCTCATTATACCCCGGGTTCAGCAGACCTAGAGATCTTAATGGCTGCCTTTTGGTAAATTGTCAAAGCCAGCCTATACCTGCCCTGTTTATTGACATTGCAGAGTCCCTCAGAAAACCGAGTAACCAGAACATTTGTTTTACTTTTCCAAAGATGTGGGGCGTACAAAATCTGTATCAAAAACTTATTTTCTCATTATAGGATAAAAAGGTGAACAACAGTGATGTAGGCAGGCCTCCATTAATTGCTATTGTCCCACTTTATCTTGTTTAATATCTTGTATATAACAAGATTCAAGCCCTGCTGAAAAAGTAAAAATATTCTTATTCTGAATCTTGTATAAGTTGCTGTACGTGAATTTTACCAATAATATTGTTAGAAAAAATTACCAATGATTTATATGACAAGTATCAATGTTTGATATCAGTATTCAATCACAACTGTCGGTTAGGCATAGAAATGTATTCATCACTGAAATGACACCTCCTAAAAATTCTGGACCTAAAAAGGTTGTCCTTTCATTAAAAAAAAAAAATCAGTATAAAATCAAACATTCAAAAAAGTATTCATTTTCACAACATCTGATATGACAGTCCAATATTTCACGCAGACGTTTTTTACCCCGCTCCAGAAGAGGGCGCCAGAGTTCAGCAACAAAAAAACACACGAAAAAAAAAAAGGAAGAAAAAAAAAAAAACAAGCACGTGGGCCCCAAACCGGACGACTGAACGTGCTTCCTCCGGCTAAGCCCCACCTCCGCTTTTCCATGCATTGGCGCGCTTCGCCGCTCAGTGGCCGTGGCTCTCTGCTCCTCCCCGGGTGGCGGATTCACTGTAGCGGGCTGCAAGCGGACACACGGCAGGCATGAGTGCGGCGGGTACTGCTCCGCCCGGTTCGGCGGCGGTTCACGTCCAGCAAGGGCTGAAAGAGGCTCTTATCGAGACGCTGACGGCCATCCTGTCCCCGGTCCAAGAAGTCCGCGCCGCTGCGGAGGAGCAGATCAAAGTGCTGGAAGTGACTGAGGGTGAGTGAGCCCTGTTTGTTGGGTGATATTGGGAGGCGATACGGATGCTAACCATTTTGCTGTCACTTATTAACGACTCGGGCTTCTGCTTGGATGGACGGAGGGCTGCTGCTGCTGCCGTCAGAACGATGTTGACTAAGCTAACGGCCAAAACGTTAGCAGGACTCCCCACGTCTAGCGTAAGGCCACAATTTAAGAAGTTATTGACGGCCAAGTTAGCTGGAGAGATTGGGAGAAAGCGCAGGCTCCTATTGGGCTGTCAAAGAACGTCTTTGCCTAAAAACGTTACGAAATCCATCAGGTCGAACCTAGCGATAAGATAAACTGTTAGCGTTAACCTAGCTAGTTAGTTACATTCGGCACATGGGGAAATGTGTGGAGCCCGGCCTCGGCAGCAGGGTGAACTCTTCTGTTTCATTTCAAACGCCCAGAAAAACGTGTTGTTGTGCGTCAGGTGCGCGGTAAAAGTCCGCATACTTTCCCGGTGCAGCGCAGCTGGAATGGGGCGACGTTACCCCCCCCCCCCCAGTGTTCTGGGTGTCAGTTTCTGGGGCGCAACGTCTCTGCTCAGAAAACGGGTGGACGACCGGCGTCGACGCCCAGTCCGGGCATATTTCCCTTCAGAGCGAACTGTTAAGCGAGTTTAGGAGGGCTTTTATGGTTAAAGTTACATGGAAAGATACTCATGAAGCCATTCCGTCGTTACTATGGCAACAACCTCACTCCCAATTGACAGATTTTCCCGCTAAGAGGTCTGGGGTTCGGGGGGGATCCCTCCTAACAGGCTGCCTGCTTCCCTCATCCATAAATACGCAGGGCACAGATTTCTTTAGGTAATACTGCACTTTGCTATTAAAACAGGGACTAAGAAAACTATTTGAAACCACATTTGAACGTATAGTGCATCTCTGATTTATCACCTTGACCAATGTCAGTCCATTTGAAAGAATACATAAAGCATAAATGGAGAAAAAACAAGACTTGGTTGTTGTTTGCATATTTACTGTAGTTACTAAAATACATCTTGGTGTTTTTTTGGTAGTCTAAGTCCCGTTTGAGTCGTCAGCTTTCTCAGCGTGTGTTTTATGATCATTACTTTACAAATTGATGAACCATATACTGGCCGTGAGGGATTTTGTTTTAAAGCGTGTAGATTTCTCCATTCCCAAATGCTACGATGCTGAGCTCCTGCAGATGCCAGAGCCTATGCACGCTGGGGAAATGTTAGATTATATCATTAGAAGGCTTAAAGGGACCGAGATGTGAAGTATGCTTGGATTTGAATCATTGTTTATCAAATTAATAGGGAACAGCAATTTTTTTTTGTGATTCGATAACAGCACGTGTTGGATTACCACATTACACACCTTATCCTGTAAGGAGATTTCTATGTCATTTTGTAATGTCGTCTGTTTGTTTTTTTGCAACAAAAGTTGTTTAAAAAAAAAAAGAAGTTGATTAGCTTCACAGACCCATTAAGCTCCGGAGAAATTATCTCCATCATATACGCTTCTCTTTCATTTTGTGTTCAGCAGCTGCACTCTACACTCTCCCCCAGACTTTTCTTTGTCCCGCGGTCCTCGTGCCGATGTTGAAAGGCTAATTGTGCACACTGTCTGTCGGGCCGCGCAGCCACGTCACAGCGAGGTCGACCCCTTTCCGCTGGCCCCCCTCTAAGGCAGCTTTCTGTAGGATGGTCAGCACTAACATTGTCCTCTGGCGCCTGATGTCACTCTCGGTAAAACCCAGTCAGAGGGCCAGAGCTGAGGTTGATCCTGAAATGTGTAGTTCATCATGTACTCTTCACATTAGAGAAAAAAAAGCTCACTATTGTGCTTGATTTTTCTTTTTTCTGTTTTTTTTCTGAGGATTGAATTGAAAGTGTAGTTATATGAACAGATTCTATCATGTGATGTAGAAATGGGCCATTTCAACTGGGCCATTTCAGTGTTAACAGCATGTTTCCTGGCATTCTACTGATTTGTCCTCATCCTAAACTCTTATTTGCCGTGCTAGAATGATATTCTTTGTGCCATCTGATGACTACATTTGACATAATGAAATTCTTTATATTGCATCCTCCCTGGCAATCCGCTCTGTTATAGAGTTTGGCGTCCACCTGGCAGAACTCACGGTCGACCCTCAAGGAGCACTCGCCATCCGTCAGGTGAGGAGAGATGGGGCAAATAGTCATGGATGAAGCAAGAAGTCCATTACACACACTTGTAAACATGATCCTTTTCAGAACCGTGGCTCTGTGTGTCTCATGTTTGTAGCTGGCTTCCGTCATCTTGAAACAATATGTGGAGACTCACTGGTGTTCCCAGTCCGAGAAGTTCAGGCCTCCTGAAACCTCCGATCAGGTAAATCATCTCTGGATACCACGGCATCAAAAACGCATCACTTCTGGTTACTAACCATTTATTTTTTCTACGGTCATTCTAAAGCAGTTTGCCACTGATAATTGAAGCCGACAACAAATAAAGACACCGAAAACATTGGTGCTATATTTGTTTTTTAAAACGATCAGTTATTTGCGAAAGCTGAGAAGTTTTAATTCACCATTTTATTCATTCAGGTAGACCAAAGTGTTCGAGGGTCTTTTGGAAGTTTGAGGGAACCACATAAAATAAGAACCTGCAACTGTTTTTTTTAATAGGGTTTGCGGTATAAGAGTCTGATGACATAAAGGCTGTGGTTAGAATTTCAGAATGGACAGGAAAGATGTTTTAGTTCCAATACATTTTTCAGAAGGTAACCTGAAGCTTTGTAGGCATTGGCTTTTGCAAAGTCCTGACGCAAAGCTCTGAATATTGAAATCAGGAATGAGAGGTTTGGATTTTTTTTGGGGAAAAAAGAAGTCTCACACTATTTTAGGCCGGCTGCTGGAGGACTTGAAAGCAGATTATTTCAGCCTGCCGCTGCTCCCCTTTAGGCCAAAGCTGCCATCAGGGCGCTGCTGCCCAGCGGGTTGCGGGAGTCGATCAGCAAAGTTCGCTCCAGCGTCGCCTACGCTGTGTCAGCCATCGCCCACTGGGACTGGCCCGAGGCGTGGCCGCAGCTCTTCACGCTCCTGATGGAGATGCTGGTCAGCGGAGACGTCAACGCCGTTCACGGGGCCATGAGGGTCCTCACGGGTATGAACAAAAAGGAAATGTAACACGGTGTTAAAGGAAACTTTTTATTCTCTGTGTTTGGGATTTTACGCTTTAATTCAAGGGCCACCACGGAAGAACTGGTTCTGACGTTACATTACCACGTCTATACACCTTTTTCTCAGTTAAATGTACCGTTTTCTTTACCGACTGTTCATCATGCAGAGTTCACTCGCGAGGTGACGGACACGCAGATGCCGCTGGTGGCTCCCGTCATCTTACCCGAGATGTACAAGATCTTTACCATGGCCGAGGTAAAAGGCACCTGCCATAGTGTTCACTCAGTAGCCACCCCGGGTTCTTACCCCGCCGCTCCACAGCATGAACCGTTTAAGCTCGGTACGCTGCGTCGCCCCCCCCCCCCGACGTTCTCCAACCGTTGCAGGTTTACAGCATCCGCACCCGCTCCAGAGCCGTGGAGATATTCACCACCTGCGCCAACCTCATCTGCGCTATTGAGGAGCTGGAAAAGGTGGAGAGCCGACCCTCACAGATCGAGCTGTCACATTCAAATGGCTTTCTGTGTTTAAAAGAAAACAAAAAACAAACAAACCCCCAAAGGATTCACTGGTTGCTGTTAATCTTCTGTGAGCACAGGGCGCAGCCAAAGCCTTGATCTTCCCGGTGGTGCAGCAGTTTACAGAGGCGTTCGTGCAGGCCCTGCAGATGCCTGATGGACCCTCATCTGATAGCGGCCTGAAAATGGAGGTCCTCAAGGTGAGAGAAGCCAATGATCGAGCCCTCCTCCCATCCCATCCCATCCCATCCCATCCCATCCCATCCCAACATGTCTCAAATAATGAGACAAGTGGGCAGAGCTGTAACTACCGTGTCTTTAGAGACCTGTTTTGATTTGCTGGGGATTCCTCTCTCAGGCAGTCACAGCGTTGGTGAAGAACTTCCCCAAACCCATGGTGTCCTCCATGCAGCAGATTTTACCCATCGTATGGAACACGCTCACTGAGAGCGCAGCTTTATATCCTTTCCACCCTTGCTGATCAGTAAGTGAAGGGCCAACAGAAAGCTCCTCCAGTTGAAGTCAGTCTTCTTTACTTTAAGCCACCCAGTCTTCTTTAAGGACTCTTTTTCCTTAGCGGGTTGCTTACTTATGTCCGAACAGAAGTCAACTACACAGAGGAAGTGGAGGACCCCATCGACTCAGACGGTGAGCTGAATTGAAATCGTCTGTTTTTTTTTCCCTCTCTGACATTCACAGCAACATGTCAGTGGATCGTACACTGAGGGTTTCCTTGCCTTTCTCCCTTTTGCTCTTGCAGGTGAGGTTCTGGGCTTTGAGAATCTGGTTTTCAGCATCTTCGAGTTTGTGCACACCCTGCTGGAGAACAACAAGTTCAAGAGCACGGTGCGGAAGGCCCTGCCCGAACTCATCTACTACATCATCCTGTACATGCAGATCACGGAGGACCAGGTGAGAAACGGCTGAAAACGGGGGCGTGCGTGCGTGCGGGGCAAAGGCAAAACAGAGTCTCACCGCGGGCCTGCTTTCTGTGGTGTTATCAGATCAAAGTCTGGACTGCAAACCCGCAGCAGTTTGTGGAGGATGAGGATGACGACACCTTCTCCTACTCTGTCAGGATATCCGCTCAGGACCTTCTGCTGGTAAGATGAGAACTGAGGAGAACTGGGAAAACCCACAGCAGTTTTGAATGTCTACGAGAAGGCCACATTTCAGCTTTCCTCTCAATTTTTACTCTGAACTGAGCCCAGAACACAGCTCAGGCTATGGCTGCTTTTTTGGTTAACTTTAAGTATTCGCAGCCACAAAAGATGATTTAAATATTTGTATTTCTTTTGTATTCATTTGCTGTCTCCTTAACCGAGACAACATGTTTTTGTCAGCTCTGTGCTTGCTGATTAATTGATCCTTTATCTTTGCATTAATTCTCAAAACCTTTTCTGGTTCGAAAGTAACACTTGATTATCAGCCTAATAAGGTGAGCCGCTGACCTCTGGTTGCAGGCTGTGGCTGCAGAGTTTCAGAACGAGAGTGCAGCTGCGCTGGCGGCAGCAGCCACCAGACACCTCCAGGAGGCAGAGCAGGCCAGAAACGCCGGCAACGAGCACTGGTGAGGAGACCACGCACACTCTGAGCTCCGGATCGGCCTGTCGAACATTTGGGGTTGCTCTTTTTTTCCCCGTCTAAAACCAGCATCAGGAAACCTTTTTTTAAAAAAAAAGTCTTGTCTCAAACCAGGTGGAAGATCCACGAGGCCTGCATGCTGGCCCTCGGCTCAGTGAAGACCATCATCACAGAGAACGTAAAGAATGGCCGTATCCAGTTTGACATGCACGGGTTTCTGGCCAGCGTCATCCTTGCCGATCTAAACCTGGCAGGTAGGACTAGTCCGACTGCTGATGACTCAGAAATTCAAAAACAGCAATTTTAACAGACTAAGGATCACCCAACACTGGAAATGGGTCTTCTTCTCAGACATTTTCATTTTACTTTCCTCTCACTTGAAAGAAAAAAGAGATGGAGCATTTGAACAGATGCTTTTTCGTCCTGTTTGTCTGTGCTTCTCTGATAACCGTCTCTCGTTTCCAGCGGCGTCGCCGTTCCTCCTGGGCCGGGCTCTGTGGGCGGCCAGTCGCTTCACGGCAGCCATGTCCCCTGAGCTCATCCAGCAGTTCCTCCAGGCCACCGTCAGCGGCCTCCACGACAGCCAGCCGCCGTCCGTCCGCATCTCTGCTGTCAGGGCCATCTGGGGGTGAGCCGGCTGCGCCTTTTTTTAGTTCAACGTTTCAGATTTAGAGGTGCAGCGATCCGCTTCTGAGGATACACTCTGACTCTTGACAGCTGAAATTGCATTTCTGCCAACACCGATGGACTGGAAGTGTCAAATTCCAGGAGATGGTGTTTATTTAGTCCCACGCTGGAGGAAATGACTGAATCAAAGTGTTTTGGATGCAGACTTTTGTGATCACGAGGTGATGAGAATGTGGTTTGAAAAAAAAAGAAAAAGAAACGAGTCTCCCTGTCCGTTTTCAGCTACTGTGATCAGCTGAAGCTGTCGGAGAGCACCCACGTTCTGCAGCCCTTCCTGCCCAGCATCCTGGAGGGCCTGGTCCAGCTGGCCGCCCAGTTCAGCTCCGAGGTGCTGACCCTGGTGATGGAGACGCTGTGCATCGTGTGCACCGTCGACCCCGCCTTCACCACCAGCGCCGAGAACAAGATCTGCCCCCTCACCATTGCTATTTTCCTGAAATACAACAATGGTACTTTTTCTGTCCCTGAGGCCGTTTCTTGCTTTGGGATTTAGTTTCCTCTATTTTTCCTCTTCTTCTTTTGTCGCTTTTATTTTCAGCTTTCAGATTCAAATTCTGCCTCGTCTTTCTCTGACTGCAGACAGCATTAGGGCTTCGAAAAGGTTTTTCTTTTTGATAAATGTTTGGAGCAGCATGTAATGGACTGTTCCACTTAAGAGCTTTCCCCATGCTGACTTAGACCCAGTTTGATTGTGTTTCCTTTCTGTCCCCCAGCACCAAAAACAAGCCCCTGACTGAAAGAGGTGTATCGCTCAAGATGCAGAGTCGGCGTAGCATTGAGTTCTTTCCCTTGCATGTGAAATCTGCCATGTGGACACATATACTCGCCGTTCCTCTCATTTCCCTGCCGTTGAATATTTAGACGTCACCAGTTTTACGTCTGTGAAAACGTCCCAATGTGCTATCTAAATAAGCTAATTGGTAGCTGGGTTTCACATCGTTTACTCACATCCTCAGGTGTTTCAATAGATGTAGCTGGTTTTTATAGGAATCTCTTGTCCTCAGACCCTGTGGTGGCCTCCCTGGCGCAGGACATCTTTAAGGAACTGGCCCAGATCGAAGGCTGTCAGGGCCCCATGCAGATGCGCCTCATCCCCACGCTGGTCAGCATCATGCAGGCCCCCCCGGACAAAATCCCCACAGGACTTTGTGCTGTAAGTACGTCAGTATGTTAGGTGAAAAATGTGCTCTAACAAATCTGAGTCCATCTGGAAGATTTCGCAGTTGGATCGATCAGATGTTTTGATGGTAGAGAAAACTAAATGAAAATCTTACTTAAATGTACCGTTTTCTGTTATGCTATCTCTTTCAACACATCTCTCATAAAATAGAATTCAGAGTATCTTCACAGAAAAGCTAAAGTATCCCTTTGCTTTTGTTAATTTTGTACAAAATAAGAAGGCAGATTACACATGCCCTCGTTACTAATGTTTTACCACCACCACAAGATGGCGATAGAGCATCGGGCCATTTTCCATCTGAAAATGAAAGAAAGCCTCATTGTATTCAGGCTCCAGTAAATCCTGGAGGGGGGGGAGGGCTGTGAGAGGATGCTGATGGTGTAAAAAACGTACAGAGCCATTCAGGAGGTTTATTCGACACCCAGCACATGTCATTGGGAATGGGAATCAGTTTTTATTGATGGCCAAACAAACAGGCCTCCAGAACAGCGAGAGTTAAGATTAATATTTGCTTTAGTGGTACAGTTTTGGAAAAAGTGGAAATTCCTCAAAAGAAAGGAAAAAACATTTCATTCTGAAGATTAAGGTTGTTTTCAGAAGTTGATTCATGCAGTGCCAGAAGATCCGACCCGTTTAACGCCTTAGCCTCCTCACTCCTTTTCAGTTTCATAGTAAATAAAAAACCTCTGGGTTGTGCTTCCGTCCAGACCTCCATAGATATTCTAACTACTGTGGTCCGAAACACGAAGGCCCCCCTGTCTGAGATGCTGGTGTGTCAGGCGTTCCCCGTGGTGGCCCAGTGCACGTTACGCACCGACGACAACACCATCATGCAGGTAAACGGCGTCTGCGTTTCCCACGGGACGCGGGCTCCCTGGTTTCTCTGCGCAAAGTCTTAGATGCGAGTGTCCGCAGAACGGAGGCGAGTGTCTGCGAGCGTACGTGTCCGTCGCCCTGGAGCAGATTGCCCAGTGGAGGGACGAGCAGGGAAACAGCGGCCTGTGGTACGTGATGCAGGTGGTCAACCAGCTGCTGGACCCCCGCACCTCCGAGTTCACGGCGGCCTTCGTGGGCAGGCTGGTGTCCACGCTGATCTCGCGGGCGGGAACGGAGCTCGGGGAGCAGCTGGACCAGATCCTCCGCGCAATTCTGAGCAAAATGCAGCAGGCCGAGACCCTGAGTGTCATGCAGGTGGGAGGCAGAAATCCCTCTCCGTCGTGTGTCGGCGCAGACGTGTTTGAAAGCGAGTCATCGGCTCACCCTCCCTCCCCCCTGCTCTCCTCTGCAGTCTCTGATCATGGTGTTTGCCCACCTGGTTCACTCCCAGCTGGAGCCTCTGCTGGAGTTCCTGTGCAGCTTGCCGGGGCCGACCGGAAAGCCCGCCCTGGAGTTCGTTATGACAGAGTGGATGAGCAGGCAGCATCTTTTCTACGGACAATACGAGGGCAAAGTCAGGTCAGTGCGCTGGAACGCCGGAGCCCCACCTGCAGCCAAAGCTGCTTTTAGAGCCCGGCGGCTGTGAGGAGTTTCGACCCAACAGCGGGGTATCAGGAGCAGATGTCATGTTTCATTTCTCAGACTGGCTGTTCAGCAGACTTTTTCATTTTTTTTTTCACTTGGGCTCATCACTAACTTTATTGGTTTATTTATTCCCCCTGCAGTACCGTTGCTCTGTGCAAGCTGCTGCAACACGGTCTCAACACTGATGACAAGCGCCTCCAAGACATCATGGTGAAAGGAGAGGAGCTTTACAACCCCGACGACGGCATCCGCACCCGCTCCAAATCTGCCAAGAGTAAGACCCACAGGGATCCCGGTCGCTTATTCTGGGGAAAGTCAATTCATGGATTTGTGGACTAAACCGTGTGTGATATGTTCATGTGCAGACCCAGAGCGTTGGACCAACATCCCTTTGCTCGTAAAGGTCTTTAAGCTCATCATCAATGAGCTCTCGACTGTGGTGGAGGCCAACGCCAGCAGGGCCAACGCGGCAGACTGGAGCCAGGGTGAGTGGAAACTGCCCCTCGGGGGTTTCACCCGCCGAGCAGCTGAATCCGAAAATGGGCGGTCTGCCCCTCTCTGTGCTGACTGAGCCCCTTCAAACGGGCCCTGCTCCGACTACTGGTCAGGAAGAAGCCCTTTGATCTACTGGAAGATGGCAGACTGCTTGTGTGTTTCTTTGCTGTGAGCGCTTGTTTGTGTTGGGCTCAGATTCCAGCGGGATGTGGGACGACCAGGAGGGGGAAGAGGGGGAAGATGATGATGAGGATGAAGGACTGGCAGGACAGCTACTCTCTGATCTCATTGCCTCAAACAAATACGGTAGCGGGAGCTGCTTAGGGCTAATCTTTGCTGTATTTGCTGTAGAGAAGGAACTCACATGGTGTCTATGTTTCCACAGACGATGATTATTATGAGGATGATGATGAGGATGATCCAGATGCCTTGAAAGACCCCATATATCAAATTGATCTGCAGGTGAACCTTTGACTTTATCTCTTACTTCCATGAGGAATCTGGGCTTTTTCATTCATACATTTGTTTATTTATGTTCAGGCAGTACTTCGTGTGGTTCGGTTTAACAGCCAGCTGTAACCTGAGCTTGACTCACTTGTAGTTGTTTTTTTTTATCTTTGAGCATCAGAATGTCAAACCATCAAATGTATGATGCTGGGTTTTTTATTTTCTGATTGATCATCTCAGATGTTTTGGGGCAGGTTTTATCCGCTAAAATCCCGTTTCATGTGTCCTTTTCAGGCTTACCTGACGGATTTCCTGACACAGTTTGCCCAGCAGCCATGTTACAGCATGTTCTCAGGTCACCTCAACAACACTGAGAGACAGACCCTGCAGTCGATAGGACTCTAGCCCCGCCAGTCCACCACGCTGTCATCTTCCACCAACAGCCCCCTGAAGCAACGCTCAGTCGCCCTGTCACTTTACTTTAATTATGGTGAATTTGCTGGATGGTTAAAGGACAGAGGAAGAAAGGTGGCAGGAGGGGAGCAGAGTGGGAAGAGGCTCAAGCACTTACCCGTGACTCCCGTGTTTCTTCAGATGTGAGACAGGATCAATTATTTCCAGACGTCCGAATGAGGACGATGGAAATGGAGAAGGAGCCTCAGGCCTGTCGGACGTCTTCCCGTTTACCAGTCGCTTTAAACTGGACGAGTGGGTTAGAACACCTGAACGGAGGGAAGACGGGTCGCGTCCTGTTTGAAATCATCCCGTCATTTTTGTGTTTCTGTGTTAACTGTGAAATGCAAGATGAAAACCGATTCCAAGAGACTTTAAACAATTATCGAAGGAGAAGAAAACCCCACCAAACGTGACGCTTGAGACTAATCATTGGCGGCCTTATGTTCCAGAAAACAATGACTGTCTCTGAATGGAAATTGAAAGCTTTTTGATCAGCTGTCATATCTGGGATACAGTGGGTATTTGGGAATTCACTGTTGCCATGGTGATTCACAGCTGTGTCATATCCTTGTATTCATTCAAATTTAGAGTGAAAATTTCTGAATAAAAGTCAACATTTCCAGAATGTTTTTTCTTCTTTTCTCTTTTTGTTTTTTTGGTGCGCCCTTACACTTGGCTTAATTTACACCTTTCAAAAACAATTTTATCGTTCTTTACAGATTAAAGAAATCATTCTAAAAAGCAGTGTAAGAGGTAATAGAAGAGAAACGTATACGTTTAAATTAATGGCAGGTTAGCAAAGATGACCAAAATTAGAAAGAAGCAGGTAACAGAAATATAATAAATATAAGCGAGTGCTCGAGAGGGGAGTCTGAGACTACTTCATTATGACTTCAATAAACACAAGTCTGAATGGCTTTTTATTTGTGCTTCTTCTGTACAATATACCTATTTATTTATTTTTACCAAGTCCTAAATATGGTTTAATTTAACCCTTGACCATTATTTCAAGTATGCTGCTTTCCTTATGACATTACCCATTAGTGAGGTTTCTAAATCCCTTTTCTCTGACGATGGATTGAAGAGGGGTGATGCATTCAAGGCTGCTCGAATACGCATAACACCTCTCCACACGTTGAGTGACAAGGCTGTAATGCATTATTCTCAATTGCCCTCCGTTGCAGTACAGTTCCAGCATGTTTCTTTTGTAGGCAGGTACTCGAGTTTTATTTGACTACGTGAGATATGCAATTCCGGTTTGATGGCCAGCCAATTCCAATTACTTTGATTGTATCAGTAAAACTGTACTGGTTCGCGACCGTCCTTGGCATTAGGGGATTCCGACTTTTGGTGGACTTTTGAAGGCAGCATCCTCCTCATCCAGGCTCAACGGCGTCACAGTGTCGTTTCAACGGATAAATTACCACCGCTCAAGCCTGTCCCGTCTCCCATGCTCTTCCGAAGCAAGGATAATGCCTGAGACCGACTGCTAGCCCGTTCGCTTGCGTGGGTTTCCGTCAATGAAAAGACGAACAGCTTTTTCAAAACCCCTCAAGCTCGATTCGAATTCAGGATGGAGACGATGGGCAACGCGTCCCTCCTGTCGCTGACTTTGGCGCTGCTCGCCGTCGTCCTCTGCACTTCTCCCGGTAAGATTAGAGCAGCGGGTCCAGGCCGCGCCGCGCCAGCTAACTCTAACCGTGCAAGTCGGTGGAAGTTAGCTCCCGGTGACCGTCGTTTATCCCAGCTGTTAGCCTCAGACCGTGCGGCCGGACTCCGCCAGTCCCCCCCTCGGCAGCAGCCGCGACACGACCCAGTGTTGCCTTCAGGGGTCTCCGCGCGAGCGCCTGAACTCGATGTTGATTGTAGGCCCGGGTACGGTCATTAAACCCCCTCTGGTCAGTGTCCGGCTGCCGTTGGAGTGCTGTGCGAGCTGGCCTGCTTCTGTTCGCCTACTTTCTCGTTTAGTCCCCCTGAAACTTAGCGATAATCTTTCCATCTCCCCAAAAACAGCATTTACTTGTTGTCTTGTTTAAAAAAAAAAGAAAAAAAAACTACTTACCTACTTACGTTTGCTTTAAGACATGATTTTTTTTTACTGTTAAATATTAGTCAGTTGTAAGCAGGCGTGTGCTGTAGGAAAAAAAATTTGAAAGTTTAAGTTGGTGTCATATCTGAAGAGAATACATATGGAAACAGGCGGCTGAGGGGCTCTTTAAATGGCTCTGACTCGGAGATGAGCGCTCTGTCCTTCTATGTTCCCCTTTGTTCAGAGAGATAAAATTGTTCAGGAGTCTACATGTTTCCTCATTTCTACTGAAGGTTCGTGTGGACACCATAATAAATCCACCTGCCACTTCGATGCATTGAGCTGGGAGCCAGCCACAAAGTGCAGGAGCCACATTTAGTTCTCATTTAAGTTGGTTCAACTTTTGGTGAGATTAATTTGATCCTCTGTTGATAAACATGTGAAGGGGTATGCCCAAGTGTCCAAAGTGTAAGTCCATGCCTTGAGGTTAGGCTGTGTCAAACAGTCTGCTGCACCCTGTTAAAGGTAGTGTTTTTTTATTTACCAAAGGACAGATTGTGTATTGTCCATGCCAGCACTAAAAGGTCAAAGTCCCAATTTAGACAGGGCAAAAGAAGGAGCCAAGGCCACGCCGGCAGGTCTTGACACTTTACTGGAGACCACCAGTGTTGGAGTTTCCATCAATAGCTCTCTGTGGAGAGATTCGTTGTGACTTGGTTCAGTGTAACATTTTAATTTATTTTGTGTCAGGGCTTCGGAGGAAGGTGGCCACCATGCAAAGCTGTGCGGCTTTTAGGAGTCCCCCCCCCAAAAAAAAACAGTGCTTTTCAGGGTTTTCGCATCAGCTTTGATGATGTTACTGAAAACACAAATCACGTGAGGTGGTTTAAATCCAGTGGAGAGTCACGATTTGAACTGACGTTCTTCAACAGAAGGTGATCAGCTTTCCATGCACACAATGAACATTAAATGTCTTCATGTCCCATCAGTCACTCATCTAATCTGAAGAATCCATCATGACTTGTGTTGGTAGAATCCCTCTAAACCTCTAGACTCTAGAGCAACTTTGCTCACAAAGAACAGCCGTCTGCCACTGGGATTTGTTGCATAATGCATGGCGGCTCTGGCTCGACTGGAATACGAAAGAAGAAGAAACGGGAGTCAGCAGATATTTGAGAGACACATTCTTTTTTTTTCTCTCTTTCCCTGAAGGCAGAATAAAAATGAATCTGTACGTCAAGTGTCAAGACTTCTCCCATTGTGACAAAAACAAACGGCATTTTAATAAATCTGATGTTTGTTTTTTTTTACTTAGAAAAAGAATAAACTTTGCAGAGACCAAAACTTCAAAGCAAAGTCAGACCTTCTGTTTTCCTCATTTTTATTCCATTTTCTCCCCCATAACGATCTTCTTCAAGCATTTTTCTCTTAACCTTCGCGCCTGTGCAAACTTTGTGTTGCAGTCAGTGGGAACGAGGACTGCCTGTGGTATGTGGATAAAAACGGCACCTGGCACAACGGCTTCGACTGCCCTCTCATCTCCTTTTGCTGTGGGAACTGCCACCGCCGTTACTGCTGCCTGGACGCCTTCAAGATGATCACGGAGCGGGAGCAGAAACGCTGCATGCTCTTCCAGTTCAGGTAATGACAAAAGGAGAAAAGAGAATGACTTATCGGGCTACTCCCTGCTAACACGTCACTGTCTCCCTTTGAGGTCCAGACCAGTTCTTTGCTGTCTTCAACAAATTTGTGTCTACACAAATTTGTGTATATAAATATAAAATAAAACATATATTACACATTTAGAAACATTTATAAAGATAAAACATATGTAAAGCAAAAATAAAGCAAAGACAGTACTGCAAAGACTTGGAGATGTGGATGTTTTCGGTATGAATCATTAAAAATGCGCATCTTGTTTGAAAAAAAAAAAAAAAAAGCTGATCAGATCGAGAATGGCACCTAGAAACTCATACACACGTTGATGCTGGTAGCACAGTGGTTTCAGATTATTACATTTCTCTCAAATGTTCCCCTCACTGGTTGTCACATCACCTGTCTGCACATGCCACAGTCCCACACGACTGGGTTTAATAATCCTACAATAAGCGAGCTTGTACCTGAGAGGCTGCAACATGGCAGCTTTCCTCCACCGCAGTGGGGCTCATCCATCACTATCCAGCAGCGAGCAGACAACCTGCAGCTCATTAAGCCCGGTGGGTGATCAGATCCGTGGGCGTCAGAGGCTGAGCTGAAATGGAGGCCTTCGTTGCCTCGCTGAGACGCTGAGATCAAGAGGTGGCAGAATCTGGTAGAGATGGAGAAAATGAGGGTGAACATCATTTACGGGAATGAGATAGAGACATTTGTTTGTGAAGCGTCTGACTTAAAAGGGTTCTCATCTCAGCCATCTCCACTTTGATTCCCCCTAAAGGGAGTTGCATTTAGCTGGATAAAAGAGCAGGAGTATTTTTGAGGTGAGAAGATCAAAGTTAGACGGAGAATTGTTTTTGTAAGCTAACCCGTCTGCGTTCCCCTCTTAGCCCCACTACGCTGGCTGGCATCGCCTCCTCCATCCTGCTGTTTGTTGCCGTTATTGCGACCATGGTCTGCTGCTTCATGTGCTCCTGCTGTTACCTCTATCAGAGACGGATGCAGAGAGGCCGGACGCCCTATGACGGTGAGACCTTTAAACTTTTAAGTCCAGCTTTGTCTGCTGTACTGCCGAGTTCATGTGTCCACTTACAGACCGGTGCTTTTTCGGCCTGTAGTTCAGCAGATTCCCATGGCCAGCTACCCAGTGGAGCCCCTGTACGATGCTTATGGAAAACCACTTGGACTCTCAGAGTATCCTCATGCAGGATATCCCATGGCACCTCAGTATCCTGGCATGCCCCCGCAGTACCCGATGATGCAGCCGGGACCTTACCCACCACACCCAATGGATCCTATGCACGGCCAGGGTAAGAGCAGCAGGACATAGCTCCGAAGGAAGCACTGACCGAACAGTGCAGACGGCAGGTGCCTGTGGAGTTTCCTGGCCATGACCTCATCTCAAGTTTTAACTCTTACATTTAAATCAGAACACACAAAGCACTGGCCAACACACTGGTTAAAACAAAAGTGCCTGGAGGGGAGCAATAATCAAATGGAGGGAGTGCACGTGATGTAATCAGACATGTGACTGTACTTTGGTTACATCGATAAATAGCCTGGGTGGCAGATGAAGGACTAGCACAATGGATTTGGACTCTTTCCGGGGAAAAAAAAAGAAAACCCAAAAAGAAAACGTGAATGGGTAAAGAGCTCTTGTGCAATTGACTGTTCCAACACACACCTGTAAGACAACATGATAAAGTAGTTAGAAACTGTCGGGTTTTAAGGCCAATGAATGCTCAGGTGAATGAATGCACAGATTTCTGTGTCTGATCAGTCGGGGCTCCCTGAGTCTGCAAAGGTTTCCCATGAAAATTGACACAAGTCTTGGCCAGAAAACTGTCGCAGCTGAAAACACTTCAATGCTTAGGAAGCGCCATTGACTTTTTAGTTTTTTTGTTATCACAGAATAATGGTGTAGTGCTCTGACTTTGCTTTTTGTCCTCTCATTTTCCAGCCCCACCACCTTACTCTCCACCTCAGTATCCCGGTCACTGATGTGCTCATCTTCATGCGTGCCCAGTGGAGAAACAGCCATCACTCGGAGAGAGGACTGTTTCAAAAGGATAAGGCAGCAACAACACCCAAGCACAGTCAAACACACACACACACTCACACACTGACAAACACATTTTCAAATAAAAACTACGGCTCGACTAGTAGTGGTTTTCCTAAGAAGGAGAACAAAAGGCACTTTAAGGATTTTTTTGTTGTTTATTTACAGCTTTTTACAACCTTCCTGAAGCACTAACGTAAAACAAAATCTATCCTTTGACCCTTGATGGCCCCGAGCAGATTTCACAGAAGGCGTCACCTCGTCTTTTCGGTGGAGACGTCTTGATGCTTCCACCTAAGTGACAGAGTTTTATCTTAACAAGTGAAGCAGATCTGGCAGGATGTAAAAACACAACAATAACCTCTGATTGGTCAAAGAAAAGAACGATTTACTTCCTCGAGGTTGTTTGAATTAAAGAAACTGACAACTGCCAGTAGCTTTATTCTGAGTAATCTCTTTGTCACTGACACTCAAACTCTGCCTGCAAGGTAAAAGCGACATCTTTATTTTTGTGTGTCGGCAGATGCTGAGGTGGAGAACAAATTAGAAATTAGGGCAGCAGCTTTGATTGGTTTGAATCAAAAGCTGATAGATTACTTTGTTTTAACTCTGTTTTGAGTAGGAATCCTCTTAACTTTTAGGTTGAAGTTTGGCTCCACCTTTTTTGGTATTTGTTACTCCTAGCTGTTACTTATTGTGTACCATATCAGCATGTTACCCAGTGAGAGTTATTTGTCCTCCTCTTCTTCTTCACTGGTTTGAAGTAATACAGAGTTCAGTCGTCATATTAGACCCGCACTGCCAGGCTGAATGCCCACGAGGAAGTTCATGTTAAATGTTCATTTCCTGTAACATATCAGGTCAGGGGAGTTGCTTCTTGATTAAAACAAAATGTCCCGCCTTACTGTCACTAACCATGAAAAAGAAGAGATTAACTATTGAGATGCATATTTTGTAAATCTGTTTTCAGTTTAATATTTTATGATATTGTGACAAGTTGTTTTAAAACGGTGTGCTGTTATCGTAACCTGAGATATAATATGATGCTTTGACATCCTTCCATTTAATATTTATGACTGAGGTTACCTCTTACTGTGAAAGGCTTCTCACCGTGTGGACTCAGCTACTAAGCCAAAAATGACTGCTGCTGCACACTGCTGAGGGAGTGGTTTGACATTCTTCGAAACTCACTGGCTCTCTAACGAAGATGAGAGAATTAGTGCTGCATCCACATCTGTATCATATAGTGGCTGGAAAAAAACACTGAGATTTTCTCAAGTGAAGTACAGATGTAATAAAAGTATTTCAAACAGAAATATTAACAGAGAAGCCACTGCAAAATGGCCACAGCTTAGTACATCAACTCTGACTCTATTAACAGTCGGATTAGGATTGAGCTCAAATCCTTTTTTCAGCCATACAGTATTTGATAGGCTGGTAAAGTGTGAGTCCAAACTGACTTGAGAAGAAAGTGGTGCAGAAGTTGAGGTTGGTTAGGAGTAGAACCTGGGACTAAATGCAGATGATATTTGGACTCCAGCTCTTTGAACACTTGACCATCTGGTATCCGCCTGCTAGCAATGGCATGATAAATATAGACAATACGGAGCAACAACAAGCGTATCGTTTAGAGTTGAAATGCTATGTTGGTGTAGATTCTCAGTCATCCAGGTCCTGGTAATCCTAAGAGTTTGATTAAAAGCAACTGGACTTTTCTTGGCTCTTGAAGACATTTCAGACCGACCATCCTTTCGGATGAGAGGTAAGACACCTTCAAGATCCAAGAATAAGTCCAGCTGCTCTTCATTTATCTCTTAGTTGAAACGGTGAAAACGCCCTTTCCTGACGGCACGTCGCTCTGACATGCTTTCCCAGTTTTTTGTCATCTTTAACACCAGTAACAACAGGTTACAACAAAGGCTAAAGGCCACATGAAAAAGTCTTTTTCTTTTTTTAAAAGTAAAAATCACGTCGGACCTGAGTGGAGCACCTGCTACCTTTTTTCCCACGTTGGAGGATTTGTTCTGCAAAGAAAAATCCTTTTGGGTCCTGTGACATGAACACAGGTCATTTAGACTGTTAGACTTAAACATTTCACACTGGTCCCACATGTTTTTAAAGGATTCCAATTTCCCCCAAACAGAAGTTAGATGTTTGAGTTGAGTTTATTTATGCTAGTTTCTGGGAAAGTTTTCCTTTAGATTTAACCTTGGTCTTCTTTGTCTCTCTGATACCAGCCTTTACCCAAACCATTTATCTAATCCCTATGAGACCAGCGCTGACGAAAAAACGTAAGGGTGGATTTCTCAAAATGTCAAACTACACTACTGAATTTTAGCCCTCTGATCACTGCCTCTAAAGAAAAAAAGAGGTCATTATCTGTCATTTATGGAAAAGGATATTCAGCATATTGAGCTCTGCTTCGACAAATTTTTAAAAAGACAAGAAAAGACAAAGCTGATGGTCGGGTTGACTCACTGGAGTCTGACTGCTCCATCTCATCTCATTGATCTCATTGTGAGACCTTGCGGCACATTAGACAGGAACCATTGATTATCTTTACAGTGTAAATGTTCCCTCTCACACAAAGTCCATTTGTACAGATTTGTTGAAACTTTTTAAAGCACAAAGAGAACACTGGAATACTTGGTACGACGCGTTCATGTGTAATTAATATAACAATTTGCTCAAAGATGTTTCTGTTTATTTGTGCTTCTAAACCAACTCCATGAGTGTGTTATAATGAAACTGACTTCAGGTGAAAAAGTAACCTGTCCAGATATGGCTTTTGTCTGTTGTCCTATGGATGGAATGACATTGTAATATAAAGTAAGTGGAAAGAGAATATTTCTATTAACATAAAATTTAACTTTGGAATGTAAAATTAAATGGCCTGATGTGTCTTTTTTCTTTTTCGTGTGCCTTTTCATTTTTTGTTTTAAATGGACCGTGTTAGAAACAGGATCACAACACGTGTGTGTCTAACTTTGTCCACTAGATGTCAATATTAACTGTTCGGATGTGAAAAAAGTAACATCCTCCCAACCAACAGCCGGCAGCGTCATGGGTAGCATCATCTTACAGTGTTACGTTATCCTGTAAAGATTCAAAATCATTTAGATAGTTACCCACATCAAAGTTTTGTAGCCAGTTTGTCCAGTCTTTATTCAAAGGAATTTTTAAAATCCATTTTTTTTTCCTTTTAGTATAATAAGAGAGACATTCAAACTGAAGACACAAAATATACAGTAAAATACCTTTTAATAGTTAATGTTACATTAACTATCGTACATATACATATTCAACATATAAAGGATCTTGAGCTAACTTTGTTGCATTCATTTGTTGCAATTTGTTCGTCATTGAGTCTGTTCTACATATTCATAGAAAAATGGAAAAAAACAGCTTACTTTCTTTAAATTTCAAATGGACTCGTGACCTTTTTAAAAACTACATTAAAATGCTTTCTGTTGGTTGTTTTTAATCTTGTTGAATGGAATGATTAAAAAAAATTATCATAAAGCATTGATTTTTTACTGGACAGTTCCATAACGAGGACATGAAATTTTGTATGTGGGCATTTGTTAGGTTTAAATTGGAAATTATCGTGATTTTCATAACCTGTGCTACATAGTATTGATACTGAACCATTTAAACAATTTGACACTGAGGTGCCTCATTGCATAGAAATTTTCCTGAACATGCTGTCTCCTCATTTTCTTATTGAGAGGATATTTCTCTTAGTTAGTTTAATCATTTTCGACATTCATTTAGATAGATACAAAGATGAAGTCATTACTCTGACTGCTTTTGCATCTTTTAGTCATCACTCTGGATGTAAACTGAACCTGTGGTCTCTATGCCCTAAAATACAAAGAAAATCGCTTTTGCAAACGTCTTGAATCAAACTTTGGGAGAGACATTTGTGAACCACTAATAAACAGCTAGTTTCCTCTATAAACACGGTGTAACGGGCGGTCTGTGTGAGCCTGCTCTGTAAACTTCAGCCCTTCCCATTACCTTTAAAGGAGTGTGTACCCTGAACTAAATATGGACATGCACTTTAACAGGATTTCAAAGAATGTCCCAGCCTCACAGTCCACTTCGATGATGCGAGCTTCTTGCTTTTCGTCACTGGTGCCCTTGACTGCGAGGCTGTGAGGGGAGCGTCTTTACGCTGGGATCGATGCCTCTGGTGGCTTTTGGGGAGGAGGACATAGCAGGCAGCAGGACATCAGCTTTGGCCCTTAAAAAAGCAGAGGGTCTCCTCATGTGAGGTACTGTTGATTCAAGATTAATTCATTCCCTTTCTGACCTCATAGAAGAATCCCTCCCAGACATGTCCAGACGAAAGGTAAGGGGCCTGACCCGTACGGGCCGCCAGGTCAGCGAGGACCCTGACCTGGACAACCTGCTCTCCACCCTCTCCCCGGAGGAGATGGAGCAGCTGGATAAGGATTTGATGAATGTGCCGGACGTGAACGCAGAGGATGGAAAGACCGTCGTCCAGGGGGAGAGCCAGCCTGCGCAGCCACCTCGGGCCAACAAAGTCAGGGACGCGGCTCCTCGAAGTGACACCAAAGGGAGGCTTGGTCAAAGGGAGCCATCACTTGAGGTTAGTGAGGAATCCCCCATGAAAGCTTTGTGGCGTGCCTAAAGTGATATTTAGATGTCGCGTTGCCCCCTGTGTTTACGTTCAGGCTCCTTCCATCAGTCTTAAATGAAAACACCTGAAGGTGAGTGACCTTTGACTGCTATATGGCGGTGCTACATGGTATTCATCATCAAAGAGTTACCAAAGTGTAGCTGCTCTCCATGAAGCTTGAAGCAGCTCAAACTCTTGAACCCAGAGTCCGTCGGTTCAAAAATAGCAGTCCCTAGAGTTGACTTCAGTGCCAGGAAAAACATTGTTTTTCCCACTGAGGCTTTCTTAGGCCCACTCCACACTCCTTAATCACAATCATAAACAGCGACGCAGCCTCTAAGAAACATTCAAAAGAATCTTCATGACTCCTGTGACTGGGCTTTTACTGAGCATAAACTGAAAGTTCTCTTCAGTTTGAGAGTCAGATTTCTGGGAGTTTGTGTTGTTTTAAAGAGAGCCACTCCAGTCAATAAGTGGCTGCCCCACAGAGCTTCTTAATCCTGCTCTGATGGAATTCCGCGGTTGATTGCTTCTACACTCGCTGCCTTTTAAGGATACATCTGCCAGGGCCACAGCCTCACACGGCAAAACAGATGGAGCCTCACAAATCAAACACTTCGCAAGCCACTCGATGCAAATGTATGCCCGCGTTTAAAAAGCCGTCCCTCGTCCACATGCTGACTGTACACACGCCTGCCGCATTGTGCCTGAGAGTTTGTTTATAGATTGAGCATCATTCACTCATCTAGAAGCTTAAATGTAAGAGCGGCCTCGGCTGTAACATATATATAGAACAACTGAGAGTTAAAAGATGCTAAATCGCAGCTCTCTTCAGTGTCTGCCGTGGTCCTGTGTCGTTTACATATTAAACGTATTGGTTTGCTTTCAGTCTAAGTTCTGCTACACCTGTGTTTGTCGTTCTGCAGGATGAGCCCAAGAAAGAGAGCCGGAAGCAAGAATATCTGAGGAAGATGGGCCTCAGCCAGGAGGGAAATGAGGATATGAAAGTGGAAGCAAGGAGACAATCTGGCGTCTCAAGAGAAAGAGATATCAAGGTGGAAGATAGAAACAGCACAGGTCCAGAAGGTTTGAAAGAGGAGCGAAGTTGGCGGTCAAATAGAAACAAGAGGCAGGAAGGCAGAGAAAGTGATGTGAAGGAGGAAAGCAACGGGAAGGAAAGATATGAGGACAACAGGTTGGGAGACAGAAGAGATAACAGGGAGAGCACGGGTCGTAAAACCAAAGACATGATCTCCAAGTTACAGGAAAAACGGGAGGACAGCACAGAGAAGGAAAGGAAAGAGGACTATAGGAAACGAGATGAAAGCAAAACCAAAGACATTATTTCGAAGCTGCGTGAAAAAAGCGAAAGGGATGCAGGAAAGGAAAGGGAGAGGAAGGCTGAGGGTATCAGGACACAAGGGCTTGTCTCTAAAATGGTTGAGAAGCAGAGCAAAGCTCCAGAAAGCCAGACTCCAGACGGTAAAGCAGAAGAGAAGAAGCCTAAAGCAGAGGAGAAAAACAAACCCGACACAAAACTCCAGAACCAGCCAGCGGACAGGGGTGAGGCGCAGCTGAAACGCAACAAGGCGGGAAACCGAAGTGAAAGGGAAGAGCTGCTTAACCACAGCGACCACGTGAGAGACGAGGACCCAAAGATCAGCGCCGAGAAGAAAGAGCCGGAGAAAAAGGAACAAGAGGACAGTAAAGGGAAGCCGAAAAAAGCCGAGGAGGCTCCGAAACACGGCAACCATGTGGCCAAAAACAGCCCCCTCAAAGCGAAGCAGGAAGAGGAGGAGGATGAAGACTCCAGCATGTTTGACGACCTGATGCAGCAGGTCCGAAGCAACGACGCCTCCCTCGCCGAGCTCAACGTCAACAACTCGGAGGTCATCAAAACCAAAACGCTCATCGAGTTTGCAGAGGCCCTGCGAAGCAACACCCACGTCAAGACGTTCGCTCTGGCCAACTGCCGGGCCGATGACCACGTGGCTTACGCCATCGCCGGGACGCTGCGCAGCAACAAGACCATCACCAGCATCAACCTCGACTCCAACCACCTGACCGGAAAGGGCATCCTGTCCCTCATCCAGTCGCTGCTGCACAACTCCACGCTGACCGAGCTCCGCTTTCAGAACCAGCGCCACATCTGCGGAGGGAAGACCGAGATGGAGATGGTCAAGGTCCTGAAGGAAAACACCACCCTGCTGAAGCTGGGCTACCACTTTGAGCTGGTCGGGCCGAGGATGACCACCACCAACATACTGAGTCGCAACATGGACCGGCAGCGACAGAGGCGCCTCCAGGAGCAGAAGCAGGCCCAGGCCAACGGGGAGAAGAAGGGCACGCTGGAGGTGCCCAAAACCGGAGGTGGAGGATCTCTGAGGAACTCGCCCAAGTCCTCCCCCAAACCCTCTCCCATTCCCTCTCCAATGCCTTCCCCGAAGCTCAATCCGAGGAAGGGAGCTGGGGGTCCGGCTCCACCACCACCTCCACCTCCTCCCGGAGGCGGACCTCCACCCCCGCCACCCCCCATGCCTGATGGAGATCGCTCAGGCGGCAGCAGGAACTCAAGGGACCAACTGCTGGCCTCGATCAGACGAACTGACATCAAACAACTGAAGAAGGTGGGCACAGTAAAGAGTTCCGGAACGGTTAGCTCAGTCGGGCTGCACTCAGATAAACTGCCCTCTTGTTCTCCCCACAGGTGCCGGTGCCAAAGTGGCTGCAGTAACACTTCCTGGTGGAAAAACAAGGTGGACAAAAACGTGTGCGACGATGGACATCTCACCGCGAGGTTTCGAGGGCATAAACCTCCTACATTCCCATAGCTGGTTGGAAAGTTGTGCAATGGGATGCATGGAGAAGCATGAGATGGTTGAACCACTTGCCCTCAGTACGAGTTCTCCCATCCAACACTGGACCAAAGGGACTATATGGAGAAAGAGTGACGCAGTGCTCTTTATAAACCGACTGCAGAGAGTGCTGACTTTGTGGCTTTCTGTCTTCAGTTCATATTGATGCTTTATTTTTTTTGCACTAAATAGTATGAAGACGATCATATAACATGTTGGCTTGTATATGCGTCTGACTGTGAGCATGATGAGAACTTCTGATATGCCCAGGTTCAAATAACTATAAAACTCTCATTAAAAAAAAATCTGGCATTAATTATATGATTTGATCTTTTATTTATTAGTGGAGAGGAAATCCACAAGAAACCAGTCAGCTGATAGTCTGGAAATATCAGGGAATTGATAAACATAGTGATTTGACTTATGATAAAAAAAGAGGCCTGGGTAACTTACGATTATGTCACAAATCTCAAGACATCTCAGGCAGTCTTGGAAAGCAGCCCAGTGAAATGCAGTTCATCGGGAAGATCAAATGGCTGTCATTCAGTATGTGAAGTTGTATTTAGTACATTGTTGCATGGGTGTTTGATTATATTACATAGTTTTTATGTAATTTAACAACATGTCTTAACATTACTAGGGGATTTGGAAAACCATTACAGGATCAATTCCGTCCTCATGCTTATCTCCTGTGTATGTATGTGGTATTTTGAAGTGAACAACATGCTAAGACCAGCTTCTGTGTGATTAACGAAAATCAGAGTGCTATAAAGAAGGACACATTTCTTGTTACACACACTCTCTGACAGAGCCTGTATGTCTTCAATAAAAGATTCTGGTATGTTTGCAATTATAATGCAATGTGTGGCTGATGACATTAAGATGACTGCGCTCAGAATGCATAATAGTTACACAACCAAATATAGATATGCATTCATAACAAACAACCGACATGCAGCACAGATCATATTCGAAGAACCTGTCCTTCTGCATGTGATTCCTGAGTTATTTATAAATTTATTTTTGACTCTGACATGACTTTTTCTTCCAAGTTTGTTGTGAAAAATGTTGGTCCAGCTTTATCATCCAAAGCACGACTAGTGTGACCACCAACAAACTGGATCAATGCAATGTGGGGAGCTGAACTTCTCAGTTTTCTGTAAAGCAACAGCCTTGTCCAGTGGTCTGACTTTTAAAATTAACAATATTTTCAGAAATGCTATACATTTTTTTAAGAGGGAGCAGGTCCAATTTCAATGATTTCACGGAATCTGTAAAAAAAACATAACAAAAGAAACCTTGTGCCACACCAAAGATATTCAGAAAAGCATTGTTTACATTTTAGAAATTTGTCTGGAAGATACTTTCTGACAGAATCAGCTTTAAATGGATGTAAGCAGCAAGTGCTGCTTATTGTCTGGCCACCTGCCGCCATCTCTTGCTCTCAGAGAAGTGGAGAGAAGCAACAGCAGCAGGCCAGTTTATCTTTCCAAACTCTGCCTCAGTCTTCGTATCCATGAAATACCCATATTTGGTCAATTCTCAATGAAGGCTTGCTCTGCAATTCATTCCTTTCCCCTTTCTAATAATGGGCTGACAGCCAGCTGTGTGTCTCTGGGCTGTAGTAGCTCCCCTGACCAACAGTGCAGCTCCCTGGTGGAAGAAAAACAAAGGCTTCCAGGAGGACACAGTAACTGTTTAAATGTAGAAAAGTATTCAGTTCGCATTGCAACACTGAATTTGCGATCTTATTCTAAGTTTAATGCATTCTTAACTGTACAGTATATCAAGATTCTCTCCTGTCAGTAATGGTAGATTAATCTTAAAAGCTTGCTTAATTTCTCAAAAATAGTTCAAGAAGTGGTTTCTTTATACAAATATCCCAATGGAAACATAAAACCATCCAAAATCATTTTAAAGTGTGATGACCTAATAAAGGTTAATTTCATTTACTGTAAAAAATACTTTGAACAGTTTCACAGCTATAAAATTGCCACAATCGGACCGCAGAGAGCAATAATGTATCTTCAAATAATCTCCTACCCAAAAGAAACAACATCCGCATCCATCCATTTTCTATAGTTGGACACTATCCCAGAGACACTTAGACAGCTGACTGCTAAAGCAAACACTGCCAAAAAAATCAAATAATGATAGGACGAAACAGCAAATTGTAAAACTCTATATTAGAAAAACTTGGATTGTATTTAATTAGTTCTCTGTTTATATTCATTATATTAAAAACTCAAATTTCAAATCAGTTTTCATAGAGGAGGTTACCAGTAGCCTTTTTTTCCTACTCATTCATCATGTTGTTTCATCAAGTCTCTCTCCCCACTCAGTCGAATACTTTGTGGAATTGTCCTCTGACTGTTATTGTAAGTGTGTTATAGTATGCTTGTGATTTAAATACAGTTGCCTCCAAATGTTTTAAATCTACAGATTAATTTGTACATGATTATGCAATTGCTCAAATCATGATGGTGAACATATATGCAGGTGTAAACTAATAACAAATTGGACAAATTTGTATTCACATTCACATTTCAAAAGGATGAGATACAAAATGGTTTAATAGGTAAAGAAGAACAAAACTTGTCAATGAAACCTATGAAAATGAGTGATTACATCAGGGTTACCCAACAAATTTAATATTAACAGTGTAATAAAAAGATACATCTAATATTTGTGGTATTATAGAAAAGTATTGCAATTTGTTTACCATTATAGCCAGAGTCAGAATTTGTTGATAATTTAGCTTAAGAAAAGGGTGTTATTCTAAACCAGACCACGTTTGGTGGGGCGCTAGTCTTTTTAATAAAAATAAAAAGATTTGCAAGACACCCCAAAAAACACGAGGAAGAAACAGCACTTTACATCACGTGGTCGTTAGATGTTACGTCAGGGGGGAACAGCGAAAGAACAAAATGGAGGAATATGCCAGAGAGCCATGGTGAGTCTTAAACAGAAATAAAAAGACATACACGAGTTGTTTCAATACGTTTGTTATGTGGTTTGATAATGAATAACCATTATGTTAATCGTGTGGGAGTATTTTAATATTATGACTTGTGACAAATGTTGTAACATCTTAATCAACACCGGCTAGTTAGCTAAAGTTAGCTGAAATGCTAAACTAACATTGCAAATGTATAGGCAGTGTGCTAACAGCAGACAGAACTAGCTAATCACGTTTTTGGTGACCTTGCCGGTTTTCTCTCTTTCATATATTTGTGCTTAATTTCGTGACCAGTGTTGCTAATTCAGTTCAAAACCAAAAACAATTCACATCTACGTTTTAACTTTATCGTGGGCGTTGTTATTTTCAGAAGGAAGATAGAAACTGCCGAAATCGGGGTGATTTTAACCACTGGTTCAGCTAGCAGGTTGTGGGCAGTGTGTTTTGGCAGCATGAGGATTTCACAACAGATCGACACGTGCACCCCACACAAATATCTAAAATAAGATGTTAAACAAAATCAATAATATATCTTGTCCGCTAGGAGTTGACATTGGTCATATACAAATTTTTTTTCACATCATGTATTTATATATGTTTGTAAAGATTTGTATGTTTGTGTATTCCTGTAGGTGTGTATAGTTTTTTCATAACAAAATTAAAGTAGTAAAACCTATGTTCTTCTGTTTTGGCATTACTGCTTTGATAGATTAATTGCATGTCAGCACTTTTACTAAGAATCATCAGAAGATATGATTTTTTTAATATGTTTACTTTATCCTAAAACATCTGGATTTAACAAGTTGTTCTCTCAAAGTGCTAATGTCAACAGTGTCAAAAATTCTACCACATTTGAGTTGATGTGTGCAGCAAATATTGGCTGAAAGTATTTATGATCCAAATAGTAACGCATACAATTCATTTGGGGGGAAAACACACACAATGTAGGCAATGTTCTTGTTTACAGTGTAATGATCATATCTTAATATTTGTGATATAAGTTGGATCATCCAAACAGTTTTTACTCAACAGTTCTCCAGTGATCTGCAGATGTTTGTATTTTTTATGTCAACTTTGAATGTAAATATTAGCTTTAAGGTATTACCACATGTCAACAACGGGAATGTGCTTATTCCTTCCAAATCATCCTGGGATCATTGGTCATCTTTAATCGCAAGCTGAGAACTCTCATTTGTTTCGCATAGTGCAGCTTCACACTACAAATGTAATGTGAGATGAATCTTTATTGAATTGTGTATTCTAATTTTAGCCCTTGGAGGATTGTGGATGACTGTGGTGGAGCGTTCACCATGGGAGCTATTGGAGGAGGAATATTTCAGGCAGTGAAAGGCTTTAGAAATGCACCCTCAGTAAGTTCACACACCTTTTTACAAACTATTTTATATACGTGGCAAACTGTTATTACATCTTCACAGATAAAGAGTTACATCACTTTTTATTCTTTATTTAGTGTGAGCTCATGCAGTGTCATTTATTTCTTCAACATGTGCAAGGCTTTGTAAATGTCCTGTCATTAAGATTTTTAGATTACAAATGCCACTAACTGATGATAATCTTGTGTTTTTTAGGGAATGAGCCACAGAATGAGAGGCAGTATGACTGCCATCAAAACCAGAGCTCCACAACTCGGAGGTAGGAGCTAATGCTTAAAGCTATGACTGCCATTGTTTTGCTCTATTTCAAAGGATGTTGGCTTGTATACATTCCATTTGTTCTTTGTAATTACAGTATTAATAATCTGCTTTGTTGGGGGAAACCACTCGCATTGCTGCGGCAGCATGATTTAATTGCCCGCTGCTTTCTGTTTGCTCATTGTAATTAGTCGTCACAGAGATAAATACCACTCACGGAGACCCTCCTTCAACTATGAAGACGTTTTTCTTTTTTTCTTTCTACTGTTCCATTGAAGTGGACAATAAAGTCCTGACTCCTACCACACATCTTTTATGTGGAAAATGTCAGACTCCATTTAAAGCTGTGTTTCAAATGTGTTTTTTGCAGGTAGCTTTGCTGTGTGGGGAGGCCTCTTCTCCATGATTGACTGTGGTTTAGTAAAAGTTCGTGGAAAGGAGGATCCCTGGAATTCAATAACAAGTGGGGCCATGACAGGAGCCATTCTTGCTGCAAGAAGTGAGTGCGCTAAATAGAAGTTGCTGCGGACGCATTACTTTTAGAAAGCTCTGGTGTGAATGGCATGGTAATTAAATTCAAATCCATGTTAAATAAAACTATTTATAAAACTCATAAATAAAGAAAACAGTACCTTTGTCTCAGATCGGTGCCTAAATCCATGTATACCTGTTTTAAAAGAGGCGGAAATAATAACTCCTCTTAGTGATGTTTTTTAAGACTGAGCTGTACTTCGAAGAAAGACTGAGCTACGGGCAACAGGGTGCACAGCTGTAACAAATAGCCTGTCCACCTATGATTTTTTTTTTGTGCTTAAATACGTCCCCCCCTTTCATTCTGTTGCTGGTAGGAGCCTGGGAAATCTCAGATTATTAGCATGTCATTCATGTCATTCTCAGCAACTGGTGGGTAAGAACAATTTGAACACTCAGCAGAGGGTGACGGTGCCTGCCAAAGACTGCCAATTTGTTGGGTTTGTGTGCATCTGTCCCCTCACTCGATTTTAATGTATTTATTGTTAACATCTTTTGGTCTCTGCTTCTTCAAGTTCCTCCTTTTGCGTTACATCGGCGCTAGTCATCAGCTTCTGTTTTAACATTCGTGATTCAATTAGGAATCTTTTATCTTGTATGCAATTCTTTGCACATAATGATGCGTATTCCTTTGCAGATGGACCAGTAGCCATGTTTGGCTCTGCAGCCATGGGAGGTATTCTGCTAGCATTGATAGAGGGTGCTGGAATCCTGCTCACGAGGTTTGCCTCTTCACAGTTCCCCACTGGTGAGTGATACTTTAAATGCAAGTAGTTTGTAATCCTAAGAGCTCGAATAAGGTCAGCTGGATTTATTCAAGTTCTTAGGATTACCATGACCTGGATGACTTGGAACCTACACCCACTGTGGGGGGGTTTGTGTCATCACTGTTGCATGTTTGGAAAATCACAGACTCATTAGAACTAAACTGTTACATCCAGTTGTTCAACATTAACAGGAATGAATGAATCACTTTGAATTTATAGAGCCTGGTCTCACTTATAACTTGAGTTGATTTGATTATACTTCTAATGCTAGTGTTCTTTACATGGTAAATACTGTAGCAGAGAGAAAACTGTGGGTGTATAGCAGATTAACTTCTGATTGTCCTACATCTGAAAATGTCTACTCCATTCTGGATGCATTGATCATCACCCCAGTTTTTTTTGGGGAAAAAAGAGAAATGGAGATTTTTTTTGTTCTGTGTGGTTTTCATCAATGATTATAAAACCACAAGCTCAGACAACAAACTCAGCCATAAGCTTGTGTCTCCAGTTTTTTGTTTTTTTTACTGTTTAACTGCTGACTCTTTTTTTCAGTAAAAAAATATGTGGCTGTAAACTCTGCTTAGAATCGAAGTTTTGGGTTTGCTTTAACTTCTTTACTCATTCCAGCATTTTTCTTTTTTCTTTCTTTTTCCAGGCCCCCAGTTTGCTGAGGAGCCTGCCCCAGCTTCCATGCCCAGCGCTCCCTTTGGAGACTACAGACAGTATCAGTGAGAGGACTCCCCACCTTCTTTATCCACTAGGCCTTTTGGAATTCCTTGCTGAAGTTAGGAAGAAGACGTGGAGGTTCATTATACCATCACATCACACATTAGAAACTCTGCTCAACTTCATGGGCTGTCAGAGAAGTGAAGGACAGAACCCATCTTCGTTTACCTTCTTTCAAGAGCCATGTTCTGATCTGCCTTTAGCCATTCTCAGCCTTTTCCCATGCTTCTGTTTCACCCAATTCTGGTGCAGTTCAGACATGTGGTCCCAGTTGTTGGCATTTGTGGGCTTGCGGGGACGAGGTGCTTTGTGTTTGGTTCATATACAGTGTGTGAAGCACATATCCCGGCAGATGAGTTCAGTGTTCAATCTAAAAAATAAAAAAGTCATAAATGGAATATTATGAATAATTTAAATGACTATACAGTAAAGACTTTCCTCATGTATACACTGATGTTAGTCCTCATTTGCCTTGGAAATGTCACACGCTTGGATTATCCAACATCTAGCTGGGCCTTTTATTCTATTTTATTTTCAGTTATGAAGGCGACCTCCATCAGGCATAATACCATTCCTGGAATATTAGTTTCTTATAGAATGAATTATTTATTTTAGATTGTAAAGACTATCAGATTGTTCTGTTTTACGTGACGTCAACTTGCATTCAGAACTCAGATGTGGAAGAGACTAAGGACAAAGGATGGCCCAGGCACTTCAACCTATTGTAAAACATTCAAGCAAGGGATTGATGCATATTGTATAAAATCTGTATAACAGATTGTACTGTGGTACAATAAAGACATAAGTTTTAAAGTGTGTCCTTTAGAACTGCTTACCCACTTATGCTCAATATTGTAAAAGGATGGACAATTGGTGAAAATAACCTTAATTTTTGAATATTATCTGTGCAGAAAGGCTCATAAGGTGTGCTCCCTAAGCAGGATTGTGTTCTCCCCACTAGAGGGAACTCCTTTCAAAAACATCCCAAAACTGAGCAGCTTCCCCCATTAAAGCTATGTGTGAATGTAAAAGGACAGAGCGGCAAACAATAAAGACTTGCTGATGATTTCTGAGTTTTGATCTAAGAATCATAAGAAAATACAGTAAAACACCCAATCCATAGTTAAATCCCCCCTAAATACTCAATTTACTTTTAGAAAAGATACATATTCACATTTATATCGACTTTTTATATCTAGAAAGGATGATAAAACTTGAACCGTAAGAGTGGAAATTAATCTGTTATTCAGCTTTGAAAGGAAGTACACAATGAGAAGATAAGAGGATCAGCAACATGAATTAAAGTTTTATATACGTTCAACTAAGAATGTTTTTCAAGAGGAAGATATATTAAATTCAAAAGGTGGAGTTATTAGGCGTAGATGACATTTCTTGTCCAATAAGTTTCATGATTATGATCAATCAAATCTGATGTTAGTTTTATATAAAGATATCTGGATCGTCATTCAAACATCTTTTGGATAACACATTTATTCAAATGATTTTAGAAAATGTTAAGATATCAGTTGTTTTTAAATACTAGTCTGATCATTTCAGTTTATCATAATTTTACATTAGATGAATGCTGATGGTATTTCAAGTAAAAAATGCAAATGATGTGGGTTCCCTGTGGGGATGAAATCTTAATTTAGACTAGCCCCAAAAGACACCGCAGCTGCAAGTGAAATAGCTTGTAAACTGGAGGGTTTATTTTGATCCTGCACTCAGGCAAAACTCTTAAAATACTAAAAATACTAATGTGAAAATGGTGTGGAAAACCCATCTAACTGTAGCAGCAAAATGTAGTTTAAGTCGTCAGTTTAAAGGGCATGTTTGCCTTCTATATATTATTGAACATGTGTGGGAGAATGATGCTTAGCAGCTGGAGGTGGATCTAGTTTGAACTAATCTGTTTGGTTAGAGATCAGATGAGTGTTTGGGGCCAAGCCTTTTCTGTCTTTTATTTTGGTCCAGTCTGATTTCTGGTAAACATTTTGAGTGATTTGAGCATTTCTTTGAATGAAATCTGAATAAAGCTGCATGCCTATCTGAAATGTGACCCAGGGGTTACATCAGGTCAGAATCCCCTACAAAAGTGATATCTAATAACACCAATCCCGGCAATCTATTAGCAAACAAAATTAACTTGTTAGATAAATTCCCCCAAGGGCATTAAAATTCTCCTCTAATGTTATTGAGTGCAACATTTCTGAGAAGGGAAGTTACTTTCAACAAGTATTTTTACATACAAAACATTTGCATTTCTGCACTTTTTGCTTTTTTGAGATATCATTATTTAACTTCTTTTTACTTTTTTTTTTTTTTACAGATTTGATATCCAGAATGTAAATCATTCCCAGCATATGAGTCATGTTTAAAGAAGTGCTGGAGGAAATGTGTAGTTGCTGTGCAATATGCAACCATGAATAAATCCCCCGTGTGTGTGTGTGTGTATGTATGTGTGTTTTCTGATGACACACATCATTACTATGCAGCCCGTTATCATGCAAACGACGCGGGTCGAGCGCTCCGTGTGTCATGCCCTTTTAAGAAAAACGAGAAACAGTCGGAGTGACGTCCGCTGCGCACAGACGCTGCCGGAGGCCAACTGACGAAGTGACACTTGCGGAGCGGCGAGAGACAGCAAGCCAGAGACGGTGAGTGCAACGCCAAACTTTACTCCATGGCAAACGCCGTCAAATAAGTCATTGGCGCGCGAGAGCGTGGCGTCGACCCTCGCGAGGCAGCGAGCGCGCGCAGCAGATTGCACGGCGTGGGCTTTAGCTGTCGGGTGAATGAGAAGATTTGTCTTCAAGTAAAAACCGGAGTGAGCACTCCCATTTTAGTCAAGGCCAGGCGGAAGGGCAGGTAACGTTAGCTTTCGGCTGTGCCTTCCCCGAGAAAATTCACCCTAAAGCGGCGTGGTTCAAAGCTTACCGTGTTAGGTCGATGTTTGAATATTGAAACTTGCGTGTCCGCAGCACGTTTCTGACAGGCTAGCTGTGTTTGGGATAAGGTGCGGGGGGAAAGGAATGTTTCGGCTAGTTAGCTCGCTGCTAACGAGCCGCGGCTAACGGTGTGAGAAGTGTCGGCGGCCCGTAGCAGCCAGTTAAGCTAGCTAGTTAGCGGCAATTTGCTAACTAGCTTGATAACGGGGCTTAGGGTAGTTGCCGGGGTGAATTTAGATTGTTTGTGGACAGATGCAGCCCTCGATTGGCTGGATTGCAGGCTGTTATTGTAAGGATTTATCTGTAAGCAGGCTTAAGATTTAAACAGGGGTTGATTAATGTTGCGGGAAAATGTTGTGATGATTACACATCGACGCTGTGTTGGCGACCGCTGTATGGTGAAGTCCGAGCCACAGATTGAAGGGACTTAGCATGACCTGAAGTTATCAGCATTTGCCTCTGCCGTAAGCAAATTAGGTCCAACTGCAGTGATATTAACCCGAGACTTTCTCTCCTGTCCAAGCTTTACGTCGCAGCCCATTTCTGCTCCAAGGACAATGACGCGAGACTGTAAACGCATGTACCCCCATCCTCAAATCAGAAAAACCCAGCAGGCCAGTTGCATTAGTGGCGACTTTTCCTAATTTCCCTGCACATTTCCTCCATTGCCCGCTTTGTCTCATCGCAGGAAGATTTTGAGGGGTAAATGTGTGCTATACAGTCCGCATGCCCCCAGCCTGCAGTCTGGGGTTCAGAACAGGAACAGAGACTGGGGTTATTTTAGTTGGTAGCTGCTCCTTTTCCATCCTATCAGCACGAAGCCTTCTCGCTCTTTGGAAAGAGGATGTGGTTACAGGTCAAGGCCTCCACCACACAGATGCAGGCGGCTGACAGCGGTTGTCAGTTACTGGTCTTTGTCAGAGTTAAGTCACAGCAAAGTTTTGGTGCTGCGCTGCAGTTTTGCTCTGACTCACAGGGGCTATCGGGATCATGGTGGATCTGAACAAGATGCACTGGGATGTCTTTTTAAAGTATGACGGGTATCTACGAGTACTTCTGACGAAGGGATAGGTCAGAAACAGGCTTCAGATAAATTTAACAAATGTTGGTTGAAGCCATTTTTCAAGTAGGGGTTGCTATCTGTAAAATTTTGTTACTTAGAAGCCTTATTTTTTAGGAAAAAAGTCAAGGCATCTGTACCTGTAAGAACCCAACCAGTCAGTTGCTAATGAAGGCATAACACTTATTTTCTGAGTTGGCTTTCATGGTAACTGCTTTTTTTATAGGCTTGTAAATCCCTAATTCCTAAGTGCAGTTTATAAGGGAAAGCCATGGAAGTAATTATAGTAAATTAGAGACAGGGTTCAGTTAATAGACTACAATTAATTAATCCAGTAAATGTCTTTCCTGCTCAGACTGTTTGACAGCAGATTAGAATGGGTGAAATCAGTTGTTTTTTTTTTGTTTTTTTTTGGAAGATCAATTTCTGTAGAGTCCTGTCCTGGGATTTTAAATGAATTACCAGGATATTAGCAGGAAATCGGATTCCTGTAAGTGAAAAAGTTATTCCCTGCTCCAGCTCACTTTGAAACCCTCATCTACCACTACAACTATCCAACCCTTTTTTTTAACCACTAAACCGCAAATGGCTGTTTTCTTCACAGCATAGCTCTGTTAAATCTCATGTGGCTGAGCAGCAGGTGAGCCGACACACAGTCTGTGTTGCTGCTGCTGCTGCTGTAACCAGCGGATGTGTGCGTTTTCACCAGATACGGAGGGCTGCTGTCAGTCATCCCGTCCTGCTGAGTCAGTTGGGGTGACAGCTTTGTTGCTGTCAGATCAGGAAAAAGGTGGACCCTGGGTGCTGGAGTTTATTCGCGAGATCTCTTTTTCCGTCAAATCAGATTTGCGCTTTATTCAGGTCCAGGTTGGCCTCCACCGCCACACCTAATCCAATTTCCAGCCTTAGATGGAGACATACCTTTGGCTTTGGTGGGTGAGTGATGCAGTGATGTCACGGGGGAGCGTGTTTTCTGTAGGCATGTGGCTTTCCCTCGCTCCTTATTTGCTGCCGTTACTACGAGAGGAACAGCAGCCGTGTGTTTGTTTTGTTGGATGCGAAGGCATGTAGTTGAAGGCGGCGAAGAGAGACCTTTTAATTTGAGAAGGCAGATGTCCTTAAATGGCTGCTTGTGTGCGTGTGTGTTAGGGGTGGGTTGGCAGGGAGATGAGTGCTCTGACTTGTATGTATGATGTCTGTGGTGTTAAAGTTTGTATGCTCTGGGTGTCAAAACAAAGTCATCCTGTTGAGTTTTTTTTTTTTTTGCTTGTGTAAACCATGTTAATGTTATGGATGGAGCATTTGGGGTTAATTAAATAAGACGGTTTATTTTAGCTGTAATCAATAAGGCCATTTAAAATGGAAGGCGGTATTTGTGTCTTGGCAGCCAACGAGCTCGACCACTTTAACATTCTTGAGCACGAGTGAACGTACACGTGATGAGAGATGCCAACCCTCTCTTTTGCCTGAGCCCACCGACACACTAAAATATCCACAACAGTTCCCTTTTCAGTAGTTTTTTGCTCGCTGATGGAAGTAGACTTCCAAACGGAGTGTCTTCACTTGTAAGCAAAAGTCAATCTTTATCAGTTTACTCCTCTGACAAGCTGTGAGAAAACAAGAAACCCACGAGTGTGGTTTCTGTACCACCATGAGAGTGGTTTCCGTGCCTGCCACCTGAGCAGGAGTCACTTTTTTTCTGCAAAAGCCATTTTTGCTGGGGCAAGCACTAACAGTCAAACAAAAGGAAATGTGGATAATCATCTTTTTCAATGCCTGAATCATTACAATAACCTCTCTTAAATGTATTATTTGACTGGGTAAGAGGGCAGACCCCAACCCAAATTAAACTACTGGCTGTCTTCAGAATTTTGTTCTGTCAAAGACTCTGCATGGAAGTAATGCAAGTAAAATGGGACTGAACACCCATCTATAGTTGTTGCTTCCCAAAGTTGTTTAAATGTGAGTAATATGGGACCAGACTGGCATTGCCACAGCTGTGCACACAGCAAATCCTGAAACCTGAGGAATTTGCATGGATCAGATTTTCTTTTTATCCTAACAAGAAAATATAAAACATGTATTTTTTTCTTTTAAAGGGGTTTTCCCAGTCAGCATATTGTACAGCATGTGTAAGATAAACAACTATATGGCAAAGGAGGGTAAACATACGAGTCGTCTTATCTGACGAAAATGGGAGCGAAGTCCGATGCGTCTGCATGAATATGTGGACTACATGCATAAGAGGCAAACCTCGGCCCTAAGCTTACATTAACTTTTACATCTAAGATCTGCACCTTCTACAAGGACATTTCAAGAAGGAAGTGAACAGCTGGAGTTTGACAGTGCGTTTTTTGGCAGAGCGGACGTCCTCTGAGGCAGTCTCATTATAATGTAACTGCCTCTGTCACAGAGTGGCCTCCTGACATCATCTGCCGTAACAAGGGTCAAGCCACAGCCTTCCTGCATGAGAAGCATCGTGCAGACAGCTGACAAGTGAAGGCTAGCCTAAGTCTAAGAGTGACATTGTCCGAGTAACACTTGTTTACGCGACGTTGTGCACACACTTGACTCTGAGCTGGAAAGCTTGCACTCAAGAACAGCAGCGTAGGCCTTTCTAGCTCTCTGTTCAGTGGTTCCTCCATCATGCAAAGAGATCTTTGCTTCATGTGTGTGCAGGATTAGGAAATGTGAATTATCCACGGTTCAGGCTTCATATCGCTCACGGCTGCTGCTTGCGGTTGAAGGTGGAGGTCCCCAGAGTATTTTGGAGGAGTTACCTGTAAAAGTGAGGGGATCGTCTTTGTCCCAGAGTGGCTAATGTTTAGCTTCTGATCGTTCACAAAAAAAGGGTTGGTTGTCGAGTGAGGGCACACTGTCATCTGCAGGACCCGATTTGAACAAAAGCCGTGCTGCTCCCAGTGAGCTCCTCTTTCAGAGGCGTTCAGAAATGCAGGTCCGTGTTTTCAGAACTAAGGCTGATTAAAAAATAAGCTGATTGTCCTCAGATCTCAGCACAACCATAGCTAATGTGAGTGTCAGTGACATAAAAATGGGGGGGGACTTGCTAAGGCCTTTTTGTGTTCCTGTAGCATAACTACTAGTGACCCAGTTGGCCAGTCCAACTGACTCTACACTGCAATGTGCCAGCGATTTGAATCCTTCACATCCCTTAAAGGGATATTCCACTAATTTCTCAATTTCCTTTCATCTCGGTTGCCACTTCCCTCAGCTGTTTTCTGTCAGTGGACACGGAGGCGGATGCCATATTGTTCCATTACAAACTCCAAAATGAGTTGAGCTAACGGTTCTGACAGCAGGGTGTGTTTTGGTGTGCGAGTGCCAGATGATTGTGTCATTTGGAGGAATATCTGCCAGACTCATGTATCATCTCCCCTTTGGATCCTCCTTCACTCATTTTCACCACAGCTGGTTTGTGTTAGAGAAGGGTCACATACTCTTCACCTCCTCCACCCTGAAGCAGCTCCACTTTTGGGTGTTCCCTCCATTGTTGTGCTCCTTTTTGTCCAAAACTGCCAGGAATGACTAGAATCCCTCCTTTCTGGAGTGGAGAAACTCTGAGACCAGACCCCAATTTTCTTTTAAAAAGTTTCTCTGTGCAGAATTAGTTTGTTTCTTTTCAAGCTTTTCTTTTTTAGCACTTGTTTCTGTTTCCTTTGTCCCATTTTGCTTCTCTCTTTTTGTCCAGAGCAGACTGTTGGGCTGTCCAGTGAAGCAATCCCGCCATGCGTGAATACAAGCTAGTGGTGTTAGGCTCTGGAGGTGTGGGCAAGTCTGCTTTGGTAAGTATGTGTGCCCTCCTGGTCCCCTTCCTGTCCGTCTTGCCTCTAACACCCCTGCAGAGAGTTTCCTGAAGACTTTGTTAATAATTACCAAGGAAAGAGCAAGACATGTTACAGATGTCTGAAGGAACCAAACAGTAAAAGGACAGAAATCTGAGGGGAATAATGTTTATTAAAAGAAACTGCAAGCGCAGATATTACATGTAGTTTCCTTAGATTCACAAATTATTTTAGCTTTGTTTCCTGACAGCACTCATTCCGTTCTTCCTCTTTTCTGCTGAGAAACTTTTTTTTTTTTGTGTGATTGTGTCTATCGTAATAGTGGACAGCTGTGCCAATTTTAAGCTCTTAGCCTCAGTGTGGTTCCAGCTAGAGAAATCCCTTAAATCCTGAAGTAAAGACTCAATAATTCAGGACTTGAACTGGTTTTCACTTTTGTGATGAATGTTAGTGTATCTAGCTGCTATTAGAGGGCTTACAGAATATCATACATGTTGATAAAATGTGGCGGGCTAACTCGTCGGTGTCAGTCAGGTTAATACCTTAAACTCACGGGATTAAGATTTTGCCAGGTTAACCTGCTTGACTCCCAATTCTAACCTGCCACCAAACTCAGAGCTCTAAATAGAACCTTTTTACACTTCACTGTTACATTTACATGCAGCCGCTCATCTGTAGAGTAGGGCTGCAACGATTCGTCGACGTTGTCGACAAAAATCGATGATAGAAAAAGTCGACAATGAATTCCATTGTCGACTATTGTCGCCAGACGTGTTTTTCCAACAGAGTGAGAAATCTCACTTAATTACAATCTGCCCAGAGTCACCTGCACAACAGCGTCGCGGTTACAGAAATGGCGGCGTCCAACACGCGTACAAAAACTTCCAAAGTTTGGGAGCATTTTATCCTTGATACAACGAGTAAAAAAATTACGTGCAAGGTTTGCAAAACAGACTTTGCGTATCACGGCAGCACCTCGGTGATGCATGAGCATTTAAAAAGAAAGCATGTTGGGCACTTAAATGAAACGGAGTCTGACTCGCCTCGGTAAGATTTAAGCAACAATAATGCTAATATGTTTTGTCTTTTATGTACGTTATACATTTTCTAAGCGTTTTTTCACTTTAAAAGAGAGCTTTAACGTTATGCCTGACTGTGCCTGACAAACGCATTCTTATTTACGTTTTGTATCAGCTGCAAAGTTGAATAAAAGATGCATTTTTCATTGAAGTACCCATTTTTCTTGTGTTTATAATTTTCCACTTAACTAAAGCAACTTTATGCTATTTTTAAGAAAAAGTGAATAACTATTCGATTAGTCGACTAATCGTTTCAATAGTCGGTGACTAGTCGACTATTAAAATAGTCGTTAGTTGCAGCCCTACTGTAGAGCACTGGAGTTTCAGTCTTGTGCCACCATCCTTCACTTGTACTGACCATCCATTGGCATTCATTTGAAATGTGACCTTTGTTTCTCTTCCTTTGTCTTCCCTTGCAGACAGTTCAGTTTGTACAGGGAATCTTTGTGGAAAAATATGACCCAACAATAGAAGACTCGTACAGAAAGGTGGGTTTCCCATGAGGAGGGAAGAGGCAGATGGCTGGCTTTGAAACCAGCTGATTGTTTGCAGCTGCTCTGTACGTTCACATCATGATAATGTCCTTGTGAACTTTCCAGTTTAACAGGCCCCTTTTGCTCCTTCTCTGTAAGCCTTCAGCGTGGCAACATTTTGGTCCATTTACAATGACTGAATGTACAGTCAACGGACTCAGGCCTGAAATCGAGCTTCACATAGTTGTTGTTTGTTTTAATTTGTATTTGTTTATATTTCTTTTTACAGCAAGTTGAAGTAGATGGGCAGCAATGTATGCTTGAAATTCTCGACACAGCCGGCACAGTAAGTGAATGTTATGTTATTGACATTTTAAAGGTTCCTAAATCTGTTTGTTGAACTCTGGCTTTGATTTAAGAAATACACTTAATTCTTTGTATGATATAATGCAAAGAATCTAAATAGACTGAGTGGAGTGCTTGTGCTCAACTAATATTACTGATATATACATTTGAGTTGATCACACATCTTAGTTTTTACATGATGATCTGATAAGACACAAACAGAAGTTGTAAATCCTCTCATTGCTGAATATGAGGCCATCAAACATTGACCCTTTTCTTATTTAGTTTCACCATGGAATTTGGAAGTTATTTGGATACAAACGTTATCTGAGGTGGCAGAATCGTAAAAAGTTTCTCACGGCCTGCTTGTTCCCTCTGCTAATATAGGAACAGTTCACAGCAATGAGGGACTTGTACATGAAGAATGGCCAAGGCTTCGCCCTGGTGTACTCCATCACAGCACAGTCCACCTTCAACGACCTCCAAGACCTGCGAGAACAGATTCTTCGAGTAAAGGACACAGAGGATGTAAGTGTCCATTTGCTCCTGGGAGGTTTTGGACCTTTATCCAGTTCTCCCAAAGATGCATGGAAATGGTCTTGATCATCCATACTGTTCAGATAGGATTAGGCTGTTACAGACACTTATGTGTGTTGAGTCCAGTAATTCAGACCTGTGTCACTGCAGTACAATATTGTCATTGTTTGCTTTGTCTTTTCATTAGTGTTTAGCAAAGACTCAAACAGCTGCAGAAAGTCAGATCCTTTGTCATTAACACACACACAGTATTATCTTCAAAGTTTTTGCTCAGCCTGGAAGAAAACCACATACAGTGTGGTTTTCTTTAGGCCTGTCCCTTTGCTTGGGTCCTTAACACTGAGGAAAGGACAGAGAAAAGCGGATGTGTTGAGGGTACTGTTTGTTAGCCGCACATTTCCACTGCTCTATTTCTCTGGTAAATTGTGAGGCTGTTGGAGTGAGTAAGCCCTCCATCCCCTCTCTGGAGAAGCTGATAATGTGTCAGCAGGATCTAAGATGCCCTTTTTTGGTGATCTCTGGAGGGAGCGAATGTTACCATAACCCTCTCTCTTGCTCCCCCCTCCCTGTTTTTTTCCCCCACCATCTATATTTCCCCTCTGCACAGCAAAAAGTCCAGTGTTAATTTAACTCCCACAGATTTGATTTTAACACTTTTTCAGTGTTTATATAGTCCACACTCTTTCTGAGTTAAATTAACACTTTCAATATAGTTAAAATTTTAACACTTTATCAGAGTTACTTATTTAACTCACAAAACAGGGTTCATTTAACACTGTGGGATATAATGGATAACACTGATCCAAGAACAAAAATTTACCACTTTGTTAGTGTTGATTTAACACTTTCAAGTGTTATTTACTCCAAAAAATTTTACTTTATGATTAATTATAATTATTAAGAAAAAAAATTGACACAAGTAAATCAATTTTGAACACTTTATTTTTGCAGCTGTGTTTCCAACATTTTAAATTGTGGTACAATGAACAAACATTCATTAGAAACGCCATAAGAGTTTTGAATATCAAAAGGCTTATGAAATTTAAGTTCAGGGATTTTTACTAAATGCCTTTCTTCACTTTGAACAATCCTGAAAGCATGATGATGATCATCAAATGTTTCTGTGAATAGCTGTTTAGATAACAAAAGAAAGGTATTGTCAACTAAAAGTACATCACTTATCTGACAAAATACTGGCATCTCATCTTGAATTGTGCTGCAAACAGCAAGTCCTGGTCTGTATTCAACACCCTCAACTCTAACCCAGCTGGTTGAAAAAACATCTCCTGATGAAATCATTTGAAGCATTTCTTTGTTCACCACATCTTCATCTTTAAGTGAAAATGGTTTGAGTGGCCCATGCTCATTTTCTTTAATACTTATTGTTTCCCAATGATAAGCTATGGCCATCTGATGCTTTTTCGCAAGTGATTTGGTTATATTTTTAAAGTTTTTAAAATATTCTTTAAACATTTTGTGTTTAGCCTCAAACCTCATAGACCACATATGTAACAATGGACCTATTTTCCTAATGGAAGATGGATAGTGGATCATAAAATGATGCTTAGGTATCAAATTTCGATGTGGATATAGGAACTTAAAGAGTCTATGGTGTTCAACAATCAAATGCTTCAAATATATCGTCATACCCATAGTGAGAATAGGAGAAAAGACAATGTTCATTATTTCTAGTAACAACAGTAACAAGTACCAGTTTTTATCTCCTGTAGGAATGATGTCCCCAAACAAAAGTGGAATGTTTTTGACAAGACACAATGTCTGAACAGAATTCAAACCTATACTATTTCCAGCACTCTCCAAAATAATTTTTGTGGGACGGTTCTTTCTTTCTAAATACCCATAATCAAAACTATAAATCCTGGAAAGTAAATCTTGTTGTGATATGAAGTTTTGAGTAAGATATTCAAAAAGTAATTTGATCTCATACTGAGCAACCCCCTCAAGAAGATCGTGCATTATATCAAAAGAATAATTGTTGGAAACATGAAAATAACTCAATGAATTCAGTGAAGAATTTTTCTTCAAACCATACAAAGACTTTAGCTGTGGGTTTTCTTTAAGAGATTTATAAAGCATTTCAAAATGTGTCTTTTCTCTAAGTACTATCTTAGGATCATCCTCACTGAATACAGTTTGACAGTCACTTTTTTCAATTAAACAAAGTCTACAAAAGTAGTGACTACTAAAAGATTCATTAAAACCAAGAATTGTGTGCATCCCTAAATTATCTCCGGTGATTTGGGATATTGTGCCATATACTGGTTCATCGCAAAATGGAAGACTAAGGCCTTGGCTTTCCAGATTTTTTAGATCTTTCATTAATGGCTCCAGAATAGAATCAAAACCATATTTGTGAAGATCTTGTGCATGAAATAGCGATATCAAATGAATATTCATTAAAGCTGAATTAAATTTAGGAGGCAGGTTTCTTAGAACAAAGTAGAGACAGCCAATTTTGTGAATTCCATGTTTTGAGCCCAGGGGATTGGCTGGTTCAAAATCGTCATAAAATATTTGAATTTGTAATGCAGCTTTTTTTATTGAAAACAAAGGATGTGTTTTATAATAGCTTCCGTCAGAAAAGTCTGTGTAAGTGTTTTTCTCTGATCCATAATCTTTCTTAATTATAGTACAAATGTTTTGATTTCTGCACATGAACTGCAATGTTTCCAATATCGGCACATATACAAACGTATCCTTCACAGGTACCTGATCATATGTACCAGATTTCTGATTCAGCCTACTATCATATCTTACTCCCAGTGTTATCTCCACGGGCTCAACAACACCCCATTTAAGATTGAAATATTTGTTTCGCTTCCATTCTGTATTTAGGTTTGAGAATGGGTTTTCAAATTGTTCAAATGACTCATTTATCACAGAAATATTGGGATCACTTTTGGGTAATGCAGATATAGCGGTTTCCTTTGCTTTTAAGTGAATCTTGTTTGTTAGCTCTTCTAAATCCCCCACAATTGACGACACTAGACTGCCAGAGATTCCACTGCCTTGTAATTTAGCCACTATAGATGCACACATCTCTTTAGTTTGATCTTTAGAAATCTGTGAGGAGGTGCTCTCATGAGAAGGATCAGAGGAACAGCACTGATTTAAAGGGGTTAACTGGTCATCCAAAACATCTGTTTGACATGTCACAACTGTATTACAAGATGAAGAACTTGGAATAGCTGAACTTTGTGAAATTTGCTGAACATTGCTATGAACATTATTAAGATGCTTTCGAAAACCCGTGTATGTCAGAAACTGATGCCTGCAGCCATGCTGAGAACATAACAATTTGAATTTTGGTCCAGGACAATAACTATGTTCAAGTCTTAAATGTGAGACCAACTTCTGGCTGCTTGGATACAGTTTTTGACACATAAAACAGGTCAACATTTTGTAGCCTGACTTACTCACAAGAGAGCACAAGGGACTGGTTTAGCAGCCTTGCTCTCATGTCCCTAACTCTGGGCGATTCTTTAATTTTGCCCACGTCAATGTTATACACTGTTGTCTGCAGAAATGTGTAGAAATTCATCAATGCAGCATCATAAGAGACATTAAACACAAAATGTGCTTTGAAAAGCTCATCGAATGCTCCAAGAGAACCATTTGTCTGGCATGGGATGAGGCACTTATCCATGACGATGTAGAAGCTGTCAATCTTGCTTTTCTGACGCCCAACAGCAAGGAGGTATGGCTGCAGACCCCATTGACCCCGGAGATGCTCCTCTAAACTGCAGCATGACTAAAATGAAAAAGATATACACCAAACATAAGAAACAAAACATATAGCTTTACGATACATGTTACATAAAAAATAAATTTAAGTATGCCCAGACATCTTCAAAGCTGTCATTCAAACATCTGTATTTATACATGTCTATAAAAGGAAATAGACAAATAATTTGGCATATTTTAAATTTAAATTACCTTATGAAAGACAACAAGTCTCTCAACTGCATCACTTGCACTGATTTTTGGAGACTTCTGTCCTCCTGGTTGCGGTGGAAGGAGATGTAAGAGAAGTAACAGCGAGGCCATTTCTTGGTCATAGCCTGAAGACAAATTTATAAAAGTTTTCAGATATAATATCAGAACTTTATGAGTACTCTGAACAGTCAACTATCTTCAGATATATCTAGGTACTTACTAGATGTGTTGGCGAGGTCATCGCTATGAAGACTTTCCGCTGATTGCACCAAACTTCTCAACTCAGGTGTAGAAGTTAAACGCTTAGCCTCCTTGATGACATTTGGTTTGAAGATCACATCCCACTTCTGCAGCAGTCTGGATGAGGTTTCTTCACTGAACAGAAGACTGAAGTCTTGATCAATCTTTAATAACATGTAGAAATCAAATCATTATAAGAAGGTAAAAATCCACATTTAAAGACTTTCACAACTCACTTGAACACTTACCAATCCTTTTGTGTCCAGGAACCTCTTGAACGTTGCCAGAATATCATTTCTTCCACTGGCATCTTTAATAAGCTTGTGACGGTACTCAAAAGTCTCTCTCATCTTCTGAAAGATCACGGACCTGTCTGTGGTGTGGTTAAGCAGAGATATGGCCTCCTGACAGGCATTCCCATCAAGTTGTTTTTCAACAATCACAGTTCTCTGTATATTTGGGCCGCCAGATGAAGTGTAATTGGTGCTGCTTAGTGGCACAAGAGATCCTCTTCGAATCTTCCTTAGGACCGTTTTAAGACGCCATGAAATGTATCCAGTGCTGCTTGCTGCATCATAAAAGTGCTCCTAAAAAGTAAGAAAAAGAAGAGAACAAAAATTAAATGTAAAATCAGTTTTGAGTCATAAAATAAAAGAGCATGTTTGATTGTAGAAACAAACAAACAAAAAAAAACATTACATAGCCTTTTTTGGTGTATGGATCCTTGAGGGATGGGAAGAGTGTCACTATTCCAAAGGCATACTTCTCTCTGATTGCTTTAGTGGGGAGGTGCCTAACAGCAGATTTTAAATAGGTGATTAAACATTTTCTCCAATTATTATACCTACATAAATTAAACATTGTAAAAACAAACATACCCATGTTTATCAATCATGTCAGCCACCAGTATGTTCACCATTTGTCTTCTTGTGGCATCAGTTAAGGTTTCTGTAGTTTCATACTCCTGCAGAATTTCTTCACCACCAGACTTGGTTTGTAGGACACCTTCAACCAGCTATAAAATGAATTAATAATAATAAATAAATAAATACAGGAAAAACAGGAAAAACAGGAAAATATGCAATATGCAGATTAACAAAATATGACAAAACATGTCTGGGCATACAAAACAGAATTTAGAGGCAGACAAAAAATATTGTTACATTCTTAGCAGACACTGAGTTATTAGGATTCTCAGTTTTTTGCTTCTTGTGTGGCATCTCATCCAATAGTATGGTTGATGTTGATGCATTTGAGTTGAAGCTCGAGTCGGACTCAGAAGCAGATGACCATTCTGAGAACTCTGAAGAGAGACAATAGACATCAGTGACATTCTTTGGTAAAATCTGTATAACAGTTGATTTAATTTGCTTTGGTATCTCACCATCATAGCAGAAAACTGTCAGTACCACATTGCCTTGTCTAAGGAGGTCACTGAATATTTCTTCGTCAACTTCAGTATCTGTTGCATCTTTGTATCTCACTTTGCCATCAGGTGGCAGGCAAAATCGTTCAATGACTGAAAAAACAAGGCAAGATTTAGAGCCTAATTCTGTAATTAGCTGGATTTTTTAAACTAACAGTTACTTGATATTGATCATGCGATTAATATGAAACATATTAATGAAAATACAATGGGTTACTCTTTTTACTAACCACAAATGTGTAAAATGTGTGTGAAATAGACATACATCGAAAAGAATAATGCCCATGCCCTACACAGATGTTTGATAAATAACAAACCTTTCTCATGAAACTGATTAAAGTCAAACAGCCCTTCGACCTCCTCCAACTTCACGTACTTTTGCAGGTCACCATACTTTACATGGATCAGCATTTTATTTAAGCATGGGATAAACCTAGACAAAGCAAAATAAGGTATAGGTCAAACGTTCACCTCGCTGTAACGTTCCTCGGCTATTTGTGGCGCGTGACTTCGGCTCGTTGATGTTCCATGGAAGCTAATAGTCATTACCTCTTACATTCATAAGGCCAAAATTATCATTTTAAACGGCAAAAAATATAAGTATATTTTAGTATATGGTCCGACAAAATATGTTTTGTAAGAATTACCATGATAATATCAGGTGTAAGTGCTACTAGCTACCACGTGGGCTAATTGCTAACACATTGTGTAAAATTGTTGCAAAATGGACATATTCAGCTGCCTTTCAATTATGTGGTAATTAGAAGAAGAAGTCAAGTCACTCACTCTGTCAATGTAATAGTGCTGGACAAAAAATTTAGTAAATTGGACACTTACCGTGTAGAACAGGAGATTAACAAAATGGAGCCGTGTTCAGATTGAAATCAAACGAAGACTCTGAAACGGAGGGGAGGAGCTTATTTTCCTCCCAGCAGAGTTGATTCAACACCAATGCAATCAACTCTGCGAAATAACTCCAACACTGGACTTCATTTAAATCGCTAAATGTTAAAAAAACACTTAATGAGTTAAAATTAACTCTGACACGTCTAACCCTGAAATTTTAACTCTCTACTTTTTGCTGTGTGTAGACTACAAATGTACAGATGTACATCTGTGGGCCAATACCCCCCCCCTGCACTTTTTCTTTATTTTTTAAGATTTATTATTTTTCTTTTTTAAACTGCTCTTTTCTTGGAGTGTTGCTGCATTTCCCCCCCTGCCTTCTCTGTGGCCTTCCTTGTGGTCTTTCTGTGGTCTGGCACTGTGTTTTGGTGATTGGGCTGTCAGGGATGATGTGCAAGGGGAGCCTCGGCTCATCAAAAGCATACTGGATTGTTAGAATGTGGTACTTCATTAGAGCCTCTGTGGTTTAGGATCCGAGGTTAGCCCCAGGCCTGCAGATGGATTGCAGGGTCTGGGGCTCCTCCACATGCGAGAGGGCAGCTCATGCTCAGTTCTACTGGAAGCACGTTTCCTCTAAATGCGTTGTTCAGTTTCAGCAGATTCACTTATCTGGTTGTTACGGCTGCTCTGGCAGCTATCAGCTCAGAGGTGATTTCAGCCTTTACCTATCCAAACAGTGACATCTGTTTATCTTTCTTTGCCCGATGAAGGAATGCACAACCAAAGGAAATGCTAGGCATATTTTCTTGTAATCCTCGGTAAGGACAGATTTTCCTATTTGGAGACAGCTTCATGGCCATTGCAGAAGCAGAGCATTGAATGTGGCTGCTGCAGCAGCTGCGCTTTTCCTTAGCTGCGCCACGCACCATTTACGGCAATGCTGGCCAAATGCACGCATGCATTTAATGCCAGGGTCAATTAAAGCACCTTCACCAACTGTGTGCTTCACAGTAAGGTCAAACCCAGATCTTTTTGCAGAGGAAAATAAGATGAAAAATCACCAGGTTATTTAAATACTGGCATCCTTTACTTCCCTCCACAGCTCTTACGTAAGAGAGGTCTCATGACTTTTCCGGGCCATCTCGGTCTCTGATTGTGTGCCTCGTAAGGCACTAACTCAATGCTTGTGACTCATTGCTTCATTTGGAAGGACTGACTCCATTCACTTCCAGGGTTCTCTCCCCTCCTTTTCTGTATTCCCTGCAATCCAATCTTTGGCATGCCGTTGTGGGCGGGATAGAACCTGTCTGTAGCATGTTAATGGTGTTTGAACAGCTTCTCTGTGGGCCGTGCGGATTCTTCAAGTAGGCTAATGCTGCCTTGTGTGCTGCTGACACCGAACATTTTTTCTTCTTCCCTGCATTCCTCCATCCTTCCACCCATTTTCCCTCCTTTTTTTTAATCCCAGCATGGTTCTGAGTTTGTGTTAGCAAGGCATGCCAGTGGTTCTCCCAGGACCCCTGGGAGAAATGTCGCTCAGCAGTCTAGTGTGAGGGCTTGTTTGGATATCAAACATCAAGACACAACCTCTGTGGGGTTAATATAAACATCTCAATTTCCTGTCGTCTGCCTCTCGGAGAAAACGCCAGACGGAGAAGACTTGGATACAACTCTGCTTACTTAGTCACAGTTGGGGTTACCACACTACCAGAGCATCAGCCACTGACAGTAGGCTTGTAGATGGGAAAAGGTCTGAGCAGGTTTGATCCCCCCTGGATACAAATATACAGCTTAAAGATATCCAGTTTTTCCCAAATCTACAAGACATGTCTGGGGGGGGGATTCTTATGGAAGCTGTGAAGGCAGGATTTCCCAAGCATGATTTTTTTATTTTTTTTTTTTACAGCTCGGCCTCAAATAGATTTCCTCAGCTGATATATTGTTGGCGCCTGGTGTGCTGCAGAAGTTTCCACTGGCTGATTGTTTGTTGCAAAGCTGTACCACAAACAGAAATATCCTGTGAACCCTTGCAACAATAAGTCTTCTTCTTAGCCAACTCTTGAACCATTTTCTGCTCTCATGGAATTAGAGCGCCTGGTTTAATGAACCACAGTGGAAATGCACTGCATACCAGATGGAAGCACACACACACAAACATTCAAACACTATCATAATTCCACAGAGCAGTCGGAGCATGGAATCCAGCAGAAATGTTCAAAAACATTCAGGAAGGAAAGCGATGTTATCCCGGCTGGGCGGGGCTGCCACGGCTTCCTCCGGGGCAGCATTCCCCTCAGATAGCTCGTCAGGAAACAGCAGGCAGGATGAGACGCATCCCCAACACCCTTACAGTCCTGACTGTGCTGACTGTGACAGCGAGGACAGGAATTCTGCCCAAAATATTCTTTCTTCCTCCAGACTTCTGTTTCCTTGACCTTCATTAAACTGTTGAATGCACAAAAGGAGAAGTGTAGTGTATTTGGGGGATTCCAGATTCAGCCGCTCTGTCATTTGGATTGTCAGTTTAGAAGAAATGAAACCAAAAGAAGCTAAAGTAGGAGAAGAAAAGTTAGTCACTCTTTGGAATGAGGAGGATTTGAGATAATTTGTTTTATAAGTTGTAGCCTGTCCTTAACTTGAGTAACATCGCAACAAGGCATATGATATGAAAGCAGTTATAGCAGTTAAAAAAAAAAACTTTTAATTTGACATGCTGAGCAATCATTTGCAGTGCAGTCTGGAAAAAATTGTGACCCTCCAGGTCGGCTACTTCCCCAAAAGCTCCAGTTAACCATGTCTTCATGGCAGCACCACAGGATCTGAGAACAGGCATATTTCAGATGGATGAAACTGGAAATGGCTGCGAAAGCATTTCTAAAGTCTGGAGTGGTCATGAATCTCAGTAAAGAAAGTCTTCAGAAATCTACAGAAATCAGGATTATGGTGATTGTCTGTGAGGCCGATGGACAGAATGAGTGCTGGCAACCTGACACGAAATTCACTTTGACTTTTTTTTCTAAGAGTTGTATGTTTAAAAATAACCTCCCCACTGTTAATCTAGATAAATATAGATATATAGATTTCTTGGTCATCCTCCAAAATTTCCAATGAAACACGAGCAAAAGTCGCCTCCCATCCAGATGGTGTACTTTTTTACTTTGTGGGAGGTATTGTGTGGTTTAAAAAAATAAATAAAATAAAAATAAAATAATATATATATATATATATATATTTATTTATTTATTTTTTCTTCATTGTCCAACTATAACGGCCCTCTACACAACAAAAATGTCAGTCTACCTCCCATAAGTAGCACAGGTGTGCTGCTGCTGTGCGACAGCAGGGCTATCCCCGCTATATGATCACATTAGTTTAAAGACCTTCATCCCAATACAGAGAATTTGTTATATCCAATATGTGAAATTGATCTTTTGCTGGACATGAACCTCTGGCTGCTCATAACAGCTTGTGGGAATGAGGTGAACATGGACAGGGTTTTAAAAGCATACCACACCGTAGAAATACTAGATGTTTTACGGAAAGATTAAGTTTGGATGTAATTTATATGCAGGCTGCTTATCTCTCATCTCTCTCATATCTTTATATTTCTCTATCTCCCAGGTGCCAATGATCTTGGTAGGGAACAAGTGTGACTTGGAAGACGAGCGCGTGGTGGGGAAGGAGCAGGGCCAGAATCTGGCAAGACAGTGGAACAACTGTGCCTTTTTAGAGTCCTCTGCTAAGTCAAAGATCAATGTCCTTGATGTGAGTAAAAAAAAAAAAAAAAGAACAGGCCACACTTTCCCAAATATTACCAACATTCTTGATCTGTCATAGTTTTTATTATTGATAAACAACTAGTCCAAGTTTGATCTACTCGGTAACTTTGAATGCCATCCTTTAAATCTTTTAAAGAAAAGCATAATTAGGATGTGCAACAGCCTTGTGACTTGTGTGTACCAATATGACACCAGCATTTATTTTTTATTTTTTTGCCTGCTCTCTCAGATCTTCTATGACCTGGTCAGACAGATAAATAGGAAAACGCCTGTGGAAAAGAAGAAGGCTAAAAAGAAATCCAACTGTGTCCTGCTTTAAAGACCCCCCCTCCGCCTCCTGCCCCTGCAGCAGCTCTGAGCCAGGTGAGCGTGTGTGTCCACCACCTGAAAAGAACAGTAGTCATACGCATCCATGCTGTTGGCGTGCATCCATGAGGTCATAATCCGACAAGCTGCCGGGCTATAATGCCGTGTCGCGGCTCTGATCTTCCTCGGCTGTCTCACCATGACCAGAGCCTACATTAGTCATTGCTCATCATTCATTGTTGGTCTTCTGAAAGCTTCCTCTGCTGCAACGTCTAATTTGTTCAGCACAAGTGGGCATCAGCAGTCCAACTGCCCATCCTGGACCACCTGAGCACATAAAATGAAAGAAACACGAGATATCGTTTATGAAAAGGATGAGTACACAACAGATGCTGCAAGTCAAGAGAAGTGTCTGTATTGTTAAGCAAGCAAACATAAACAATCAGCTGTGAGAAACGGCCAACCTGACCCACATTTACCAAACCAGACTGAGAGGAAGTGAGTGTTCAGGTGAGGCAGAGCTTCTCCTGCACGCTGAGTCAAATGCGGAGACGGTGTTTTAACAAGTTTCTATTTCACGTGCCGGCTTACCAGCCAAGCTTTTTTCTTTTTTAACTTATCACTTAATGACAGACGTTTCATGTTCCCTCTATTACCATAGAGCAGTCAGCCTGTGGTAAAAAGGTTAAATGCTCTCATTAGGACCATTAAACCAAGGAGTTGCTATTTTGTTTGCCCGATTTAAATTTCCGGCCTCAGCACACTGCCACAGCTGGTCGTGGCGGAGGAAATCTCAATCTGTCACCACATGATTTCACCAGAAAAATAAGAATCACTTTGTCGTTCTACATTTTCTTTTTTTCTTCTCAGAGCCTTAGTTCCCCCCTGTCTAGTCATATGTGGTTAAATGAGGAAGTCTGAAATCAGTTTCCACAGTTAATCTTTTTAAAAAAAACTAATGTTTGCATTATATTTATCAAATTCAAAATTAATTACACGTTAAAAGGTTCAACCCACCTCTTAATTGGGGGAAAAACACCTTAAGCTTTAAGCATTGGAGCAAATTACTCTTGCTTAATGTCCTTTTCTTCCCCCATCCCCATAAAATGCTGGAAACGATCAACTCACAGGTTTACATTTGATTCTGATGCAAATGCTACACATTCACATTTAATTTATCTGCATAGTAGCAACGCTTTCATGGCGCTGCATGGAAAACTCTCCGCACATGCATGAGTTTAATCTCCCTGCTTTTCAGATTTTGTCTTCTAACTTTAAGTGCAACTCTTCTCCAGCTAAGGGTTAATATTCACAGGGAGCTCCAGATAAGTTGCAGCCTGTGCTCTCATCCCTCCCTAATTTAATGTGGAAATTTCCCCCTGTGGATGACTTTAGATTTAATCAGTTATGGAAACCTTTGCAGGCCCGAAGTGCATCACCCTCACGCGGTTGCAGAGTAGGTGTTTCCAACAACAGGGGGCAGTGAAGCCTGAAAGAGCACGAGACTGCTTAACATGTCGATTAACCTTCGACCAAAGGTCAAAATGTGTGTGCCCTCTCACCTTTGCAGTCTGAACTGGTGCTCGGTCTGGGGTAGTGTCGCTTTTAAGCTCTCAGTTACACTGGATTAAAAATGTTTGACTTTTAAAGTGAGATTTATCTGCTCGTTGTTCGTATCATTCTCCCAGCACCTCATTTGATCAGTCTGTATCTGTTGCTCTATGGTGGTCAGAACGGTGAATTGGCCATTATTCTGTCATCTTTTTTGGCATTTTCGGTAAAGGTGGTGTAAAGTGGGAAGTACAAAACAACAAAAAGATATTCAAGAATCCAAATTTTATTGTACCGCGTGAAAGAAAGCAGGATCAGCTTCAGCCCAAACATTATCTCGGTGGGGGTTAAGGGGATGTCAAAAAAAGAAGGGAAAAACGCATCACAGCAAACTGCAAAGAATGTTTTAATGCCTGCTTTCTTTAACTTGCTGAGAAGCAGAATAAAACTTGTGCATAGCTGCTATCTGTGGATTAGTGACACAGACGGCGGCATTGTGCCCAGACATCAGGGTCAGTAAGCCACCCACTGCGTTCCTCATCTGAATCCATCTGTGCCGTTCAGTTAGAGGTCCAGAGGGCGACGGGGCAGGGGCCCCCGTCAGCATGCCCCGGGGTGGTGTCTGCACCCCCACACGTCCAAGCTCACACGCTGGCCAGCCCATTGAAGCAGCACTAACAGGATTTTAGATTCACTGTTCCACTGCTCACAACACACCAGCTCATTCACTGTGAGGGGTGGAGGCGTTTCAGACGGACACACGCACAACTTAATGGAACATTTCACTCGGTGGCCATTTTCCAGCACGCTGACCTCATGAGCTCCGAACCACGAGTCTCTTGTTTCGGTTATCAATGTGTTCACCAGACAGGAATTTTTCTGTTAGCTTTTTTCCAAAGATTTTTTCAGAATACTATAATTTGGATTTTTGAAAATGCGTGTTTTTTTAAAAGAACCTGTGGCCTACAGGGATTCTGTTGTACTTTTTCAAACCGGACAAACATGGACTCTCTGTTTGTAAAAGCTTCTAGGCCTCGCTGACGGCAGGAAGCAGCCTTCCAGTTTTCGTTTGGCTCGTCGCCGAGTCAGATCTGCTTCCGTGTCCGTTATCCACATCCACACCACACTCTTGACTTTGATGTCTACAAATTTTCCTTTGTTGGAAGAAGTATTTTTACAGAAGCCAAAGGAAAAACTTGGTTCTCATCGTTTAATGTTGATAGACCTTTTAAAAAAAAAATCTTTATTATGATTATTATTTAGTCTTATGTCCGCTTTGCGAGCTATGGACCAGTTTACGGTAAAATAACCACTAAAGCAGGAGTTATTGGCCAGTCACGCTCTCCTTTCTTTTAAATGATTGGTTAAAACATGAGGCCATCAGAACCAGCTTTGTGTCAAACTGCACAAACCTTGTAATTGCAGCTTAAAAAGCAGCACAACCTGAACAAAACCACGATACAACCAGACAGATTTTAGCTGAAAAAGCCTGCCCAAAGGGTCTTGACAGACTCCCTCATACACCTTTTTTTTTTCTTCTTTTTTTGTTATAGTCTCATTGGCAGTGAGTGTCCATGGTCCTGGACCCCTGCCTGTTTTTTTTGTTTTTTCTCTCACACAGTGGGTATAAGCGCTCAATCCGGCCCTGGTCTGTGCCTCATTTTCTGGCACAGATCAATCATTTGATGGGCTTTCCTGGTCACTGTGTTCTTTATGTATAAAACCTGAAGAAATTGTGAATTGAGGTGTAAATATGTACTGATGTGCCCACTACTTGTTACAGGACAGCTTTGCGGGTCGATATGTGAACGGACTGCCCTTATAGTCCACAAACTTGCAGATCTTCGCTGATGTTTTTGAGAGGTCGGGTGTAGCGCGTTAACGATGAATGCTGTCTTGCAGAAATGCTGTAATGAAGAACTGTTGCCCTGATTGGAACGTGCCAGCATTCCAACAGCCCCGCCCCCTCCCTCCATCAGCCATAAAGGTGAATCAGCTGACTGAACTGCTCCTATCAAAGCCGAGGATGACCTATAAGAGTAAAGAGAAAGACAGTAAGAGAGGGGGAGAAGACTCTGGTCTCTCACCTCTGAGAACTTTCCTCTGTGTCTCAGTATCAGTGTGAACCCTGAACGGACAGTCTCCACTTCTGCACCAACAAACAGAACCACAAACTGATGATGATGATGATGATGTTAAAACGCAGCAAAGTCTCTGACAGTTTTAAGAAAAAAAAAGTGGTGTCCATGAGCTGCCTAAATGGCCATAGAGCAGCCCCTTATTTTCTTCTTCTTCTCCCTCGTTCATATTTTTTGACAGTTTAACAAAAAGAAAATAACAGCGTCTAAGAAGGAAAGCAAAGTTAGAACTTGGATTCAGTATTTTTCATCTTTTTCAGTATCAATCTTGTATTTGAAAGACATGGAAGTTGACCTCTTTAGTTGTATGATTATGAATATTCTTCAAAAACAAGCATGAAAAAAATGCATCAGTTATTACGTGTAGATGTTTTCAAGTGAAATCAAGTGGAAAAGTAAGAAATTTTTTATAGCCATACACCTACTCTCCATGCCTGTCATGTCAGTGATGATAGATCAAGGTCTATGATATGTATTATTTTTATTATATATTTTTCTTTGTTCACCCTGTTGTTCATGGACTTCTTTCTGCAAATATCTCTCTGATGTGACTTAATTTTATACTCAGTCACTGGGGTTTCATAGCTCCCATAATATATTCTAATGCCATTTTTTTTGCATAATAATGCTTCAGAAAAATGGGTCTTTTATAGAAGAAATATGGGGAAAATAAGGATTGATTTCTATGTCTCTTGAAGCTGAAATATATTATACTAAACCAACTCTAATAATGCTTCTTGTGTTTTTCTGTCAATGATGTTCCAGCTTTTATGGATTATTAAAGTACATTTTAGTACATTTTTCATTATATTGGTCAATGTATTTTTGTCAATTAAACTTTTATTCGAAGTGGATCTGACTTATTTGAGAGCAGTGAGATGCAAGCCTTTTTTCTTTGTTTTTTCTTTCTTCTAAAGCATTGACAACACTGAACATGCATAGGAACAATATGGGAACAAGGATGAGCTGAAGGAAGCGTCGTTTCTGTACAGAAACCGCCTGGTTCATAGCGCCATGTTTTACAATCAGCCTGCATTGTTTTTGGTAACCACTGGATGTCAGTAAATGAGCAGAGATGAATCCTGCCTGTGTCAGAAGTGGCACAGAGAACACATAAAAGCCCTTTCGCCTGCAGTAAACTACAGAACATAGCTCAGTGGGACACATTTGAATTGGCACACAGTGCGTTTTGAACCGGGTTCCTCTCCACAGTGAGTATTACAGAAGATGGAGGGATCATGTCTTCCTTGCATGTTATAAGCAGACCCCCACAGGCTGCTCTCTAATCCTACTTTGTCACCTGGAAAAGAGGATTTAACAAAAGAAAAAACTCAGTTATTACTTAGTGCAAAGGAATGAAAGGGGATTAAAACATCACAACAGAAGAAAGTTCAAGACTGCGTTGACAGACGTCATTGGAATAATTTTGTCTAAATAAAGGAGGGGGCAGGCGACGATCATAAAGCAGTTAAAAAGGGACACTTTTTGTTGTTATAACTGTATGATATTCAACTTGGAACTTCAACCTGAAAAAGATTAGAAATAACTGAATATTTTTTAAAGTGTATTTATTTTGGTAGTTGCTCGAAGTGGTTTAAGGCAGCCAGCATTTGTTAATTTGATTGCGGCAGGTTTGGGAACACATGATTTTTATTGATTTGTGGCACACTGACTTAAAAAAAACAATAAAACACCTTCTTCAGAGTAGATTTTCAGCCTCTACGGGAAGAACTAATAAAGAAGCAGCTTCAATACCATCAAGTCTTGACAGCAAAAAAGCCAGAAAACATTAAAAAAAACGGTGTGTGCATGCATATAAACAGCTGAAAACCAGGTTATAATGGTATTTATGCCACGTGCACAAACCTTCCCTCCCTACATCACACATGGTGGTTTGGAGCTCTGTGCTGGTGGTCTCACATTTGTTTATTTTATTTATTTGCGTCTTTTCCTTGCGCTGTAACTCAAATTTGCCGATTCAGCAGAAAGTGTTCCGGCTGCTGTCGGCGCAGAGCTTCCTGCAGGCCTGACTATGAGACGGATGCTCAGGATGGTTTTCATTCTTAGATTTGTGTGGATTTTGGGGTTCTTATTCTACATTTTGCAAAGAAGAAATGAGGAAATACCCCAGTTTTTCACAAATTGGAAAACTCTCCATCTTTAAATCTGAAGCTTCTCTCGGGATGATTCCAATCACCTCTGGTCTGTGACCAATTCAATTAATTAGTCATTAGCTTAAGATATGGCTCTGGGCAATTATCAGCTCGCTTCACCTTTTCTGGAACCTTTTTGGACTTCAAGTTGTGTAAAAATAACACAAGGTCTCAGTGTGCACATGTTTCGTGCTTCTGCTTAGACGTGTGAATCATTTGAAATGGTCTCCTTGTGTATTGACAGGCTCAAAGGGCCTTTTTTTGCTTTAAAGTGACTGAATAGTGATCACCGATATGGTTAGTTAATGGTGATATGATAGGCTTTAAGCTAAATTCAAAACCAGGTTCTCAAACAGAGCACTGTGCAAGAATCTTTGGGTGGGAAAAAAAATGCTGCATCATTTAAGCTCCTTACGTCTCTGAGGGGGCTGTGTGTGTCAAGCAGAGAGGGATGCTGAAAGTCCACTGGTGGCGACAGCGGTGATGGGATTAAAGCCTGTGACTCCTTTTTTTCCCCCCCTTGTTTTTGACTCTTATCACTTTCATTGCAGCCTTGATCAGGCCCTTAATCCCTTTAGTGTTTGAGAAGCAGAGTCAAACCAAAACACGTTTGCATCCATTATCCTCTCGGTGAAATAATGCCTGCCGTCATCCTCCTGACTCCCCAGGTTTCCTCGGCTTTGCCCGCTCCCCTCGGAGAAGTGGGAAGGCTGCGCGCTACCCGGTGGGTTTGAATCAAAGCGCTCACTCCAAAAATACCAGCTCGCTAAGTTTAACTTTGGGAACTGCTGTTAGACATGAGACTTCACAGGCATTTGCACGTAACAGAAAAGGGGGATTTTTCAAATTTGTACATTTAAGGATCTATTGTTACAAAAAAAAACAACAACTAACAAATAAAGACCCATGAAAATATGTTTTCTTCACAGTTTCATGAATGGTTCACGAATAACAGAAACATGGCTTTGTTAAGGAAGGACTCAATACACCGGCTCATTCAAGGTCCTGAACCCATTATGGGAGACTGTACTGTATTTCTTTAGCACGTCATCCCTAACTCACACACACACACACACACACACACACACACACACACAGTTCTCCCTCCTCTTGCCAGATCAATTAACAGATTAGTGCTTCAGCTGAGGAGACTGAAGGGTCCGGGGTGCTGTCTGTGGCTAATGCATTTTATTGGATAGTGAGTGAACATGAGCTCCACCGCCAGGGGAATACTGACAGTGTGGAGTGCAAGGTTACATTCACCCTCCAAAGATTCATCCTGTGCTACTTCCTGTCAATAATTCATTAGTTTTTTTTTTATTGGATTTTAATACTCCAATAATTGTTCGCAAATGATCTATTCTTACATGCCATTTGCAAGACAATG